TGTTTATCGCGTTCTGCTTCACCTTCAGGTTGATCTGCGAGATGCTCGGATAGTCTTGCAGGGACGAGTGGGTGTACGTGCCGTAGGTGTCCAGGTGACAGAGGCCGTCGTTCGGTTTGATGATACCGCCCAGCTTGCCGTCGCCGGCGTAGTGAAAACCGGCGTCCGTCGAGAACACCAGCAGCCGGCGCGCCTTCTCGCGCCAGCCGATCTGATTCCGGCAGACTATCGCCTGCATGATCGCGTCGAAACCACCCTCCGGTGCGTCCAGGTTGCCGGACACCGACGCATTGCGTACCAAACCCTGTGAACAGGGACGCGCTTTAATTAGTTTCAATCCAGTGGCCTTTCTGAATCTAGAGGAATTAAATTGAGGAATTAATCTTAAATGGATATTTGTCTCAGTTTCCAAATTAATTTTGTTTTATATTTAAACGAATGTTATTTACATAAATTTAAATAAGAGAACTAAGGCTCCGAAAAATACATTATAAATAACTAAAGAATGCCTACTGAGAGCCGACACTACATCCGTGTCGACTCTTATAGGCACTCTTTATTTGTTATTTATCTTTGTTATTTATCTGTGGATATTACTGTACCGCAAATTTGCTCGTGTCTTGAGAGAGCCTCATGATGTTCTTGTATCCGTACGGCGCCGCGCATCCGTCACACGGTTCGATGAGGCTGATATTAAAGATTGAAGAAAATAAATATTCACATGTGACAGCGTGATATACTTTCTTCTTCGGTTTATCTCGAGACTTACGATTTTGGCACTGTATTGACGTACGGCATCACGACTTTGTCGACAAAGCTGCCGAAACCCAAACGAAAATTGCTCGTAATCTTGCTCATACTCTCGACCAGTAGCTGGCCCAAATCGGATAGCTTCTTCTTATCATCCTCCATAGATTTACTTAGATCCATAAGATAATAGAGATCGACTGGATAATCCTCCGCTTGGGAATACGCAAAGGACATTCTGTAAGCCTCGTCTGAAACAGATTTACGTATCGTTATCGATAAAATAAAATATTCAAAAATAAAATTGGTAAAGGTTCAGTTGGATAAACAAATAAAAATTAACGAAGAGAGGGCTTATAGCAAGTCGAGTTAGATAATCGTGCTAAATTAAACAAAAAATTATTAATTTTAACACAATGTAATCAACATTATGTATACAAAGTTTAATGAATTAAAAAATTTACGCAACTCATACGAGATCAGTGGTCATTATTAAAACAAAACAGAAAATATTTAATATAAATACAGTAAATAATCGTTGTTTAAAATTGGCACAATTATTTTGTCGTTTTGCCTGAGGATTCAGTGGTGTATTTATATATATTCAAGGACAATGTATTTTCATTAGTCCACAGTTATATAATCAAAAAACTAACTGTCTCTCTGTCTACAATTATTTTCATATAATTTCATACTAGGAACAACAAAAAATTGAGAGAATAATTGACAAGACATATAATGTCTCTTAAATCGTGAAAAAATTAGAGATAGTTATTGTAAAGTGGCATGTCACTTAAATTAAAATGACTTCGCTGCTGTGCGTGTCTGAGTAACAATGAAAATTGAAAGCCACACTGAACATACATGAAAATGAAAAAAAGATAAAGAAGGGATGAATCAGCAAGAAGGGAGGGAGTTAATGACCGGAAGTACAACTCAGAAAGTAGGTCTGTATCACTTTGCAAAGGCCTTTGATTTTATTTCTTAATATAGATTATAGATCATCAAATTTTCTTATTTGTTTTTTTTCTATTTCTTAATATAAATCACCAATTTCGGACACCAATTTTTTTAAAAATAAGGTTCAGTATTTAAAATAACATGATATCAATCAAATGATTGGGTGTTAATCGATAATGAAAAATGACCATAGAAGGTATATTTCTTTTTGTTAATGTCCATGCGATATTCGTAAACCCCGGATCTTAATTAAACTTTGTATATTTAATGTTAATTATATTGTGTTACAATCAACATAATTTTTGTTTAGCACATCTCATCTAGCTTCGTTTACTAACTCTCTCTTCATCAACTTTAAACTATTCAAATTCAATTTTAATTTTATTTAGAATGGAATATTTATTTACGTCTAGTTTACTAGCCAAAGAAGAGACTCGATTAATGTTTTCTTTTTATCCATACACATCAATCTATCCTTCCTACTTTGTGGCATTTAAAATTCAACCACTTTCCTATATCATCATGCTTACAATATCCTTCACATCAATGCAACATCTATCCTACCCAATTTTAAATTTATTCTCAAACAGAAGTAACAACTTACTTATCCTGAGCTTCAGATTGACTTCTTGCGGCCACATTTGCACGGCCTCTTGTCGCCTGCCGCCGCCACCGCCCCAACTCTCCTTGTGGGAGTGCGATGAAGACGTGCTGGAAGACGAGAAGTTGGAGTACGAGCTCTCGATGTATCCCCCACCCGTTCCGCCGCCGGCGGCGTAACCGCCCTTCGTCAAGTTCCGGTGCCGCAGCATGCTGAAGACGTTGTCCGGGTTCCATGTGTATTCAGGGGGGCACGTCGCGAATATTTTGGTGTTGATATTCGGGAGGAAGCACCTCTTCTCTGGGAATTTCTGCGAAAGCGAAAGCCGTTTTAGAATCCAGAATCGATTGAAACGTTAATCGTCAGCGTTGCTGTCAAACATATCAATTGTCAGGAAATTCGATCATCTTTCTGTCAGCGGAAAGAGTCACACAAACAGAAAATATAAGGAATTTCCGATCGGATTAATATAGAGTTCACTTACTGGTGCTGCGCACCAAGCGCAGTGCGGAGTCTGTATACACTCGTGGCACGTCTGTTTACTGATGCACGGATTCATGCCGGTCAACTTCTCCGGAGGAGGAGGATAGTTCGCCTGCGCGAGCGAGGCCGACAGGCTCGCCGCTAGCAGCCCCAGCACGAGGCACCATCCTGAGCTGCCGAACATTCTGCAAAATTCGCGGATCAAGTGAGCCCCAGTGGATCTTTCTTCTCACAAAAACCGAATATCCGCGTATAGATAAATAATTAAAAAAAATAAGGGAGGGAGATGTGGGGAAACTTGAGCCGAGGGCAGTTGATCGAAGTGAGAGAAGCAGAGCTGGACGGGCGGCGAGAAGGGGCTAGGAGGACGGGTCTGCGTCGAATTTTCAGCTGAGGACGGGTTCCTCAGCGCGACGACTCGGACGATTACGTATACGATCTCGCTTCCATTTCCCTCCCAGGGGGGGAGGGGAGGACGTGAAACGCGAGGGGTCGAACGAACGCTCGGCCGGAGACTGGACTGGTCGGCGCCCCCGCGGTCGCGCTGAGACACCGCCGCGCTTATTCATACGACGACGGGGGCGCGATGCCGTCATCTTTATATTTGCGCGATCGGCATCATCGCCGCGCCGCGCGTGCGACCGAGGCGAGGACGATAAGCGACGGCGGGCCGGACTGGAGCCCACATCGGGCACGTCCGAGAGAGAGAGAGAGAGAGAAAGACGACGTGCCTGCAGCACGCGTGCTTACTTATTATTTGCGCCGAGACCGGAGCGTCTTTCCTCCTTCCTCTTCTATTTTCCTTGCCTCCCCGGTCGGCGTTGCAGTTCTACAGCATCACCGCAAGCGACGTGATGTTTGGCCGATGTTCTCTCCCTCGTCGTCGCTCGGGGATCACGATCACCATAAATGGCAATCCATCAAAACGAACGCACCGACGACGCGCACGCACTCACTCCGGGTAGGGAGTGTTCGCTTCTCCCGTTTCTCGCGTCGCGTCGCGTCGCGTCACTCGCTCGCGTCCGTCGCGCGCCGCCGCGTCTCCCCCGCAGCGAGCTGTTGGACGCGACCGTAAAGGATTGCGTTCCCACTGAGCGCGTCACGCGTCGATGATTAGGATACTCGACATTCTAGAGATAAAAATAATCTTTTTCTGTACGAAATCCAGGATCGCGCGGAAAATTACGCAATGGAACGGGATGTTTTGATTGGTCGATTCGGATTACGCGACGCGTGTCGCGCTCAGTGGGAGCGCACCCTAAGTTCACACGCGACAGCACAGCGGATTGGCCCAGTTGCGAACGCGCCTCGTTAAGGTTGAGAGTTTCTCGAGGGGAGAAAATATGATATATTTTTGGATAAACTTATAATTAGCCGACACGTCGAGTGATAATTATTGTATCAATATGAATTTTAATTGTTTAGTAATTTAATAGCCTAAAAATATAATTTGTACGATATTAAATTTTTCGGTCGTTTTCCGCGTTTGAATTGGACTTGATTTGACTCTGGGAGTAGCGTCGTGTCGCAGTGGGAGCGTCGGAGCGAAATTTGTGCGCCACTTCCGAGTTCCGATCGAATTGGTCAATCGATGAAGATACGTACCGATATGATTGTCGGTGAATAGCGGATCCCGAGTCAAGCTGCAGATCGAGTGGCACACATATCGCTTTCAATCAGTACAGCTACAATTACGGCCGTGTACAGATTCGTTAATAGGTTCGCTATGACAGAGAGGTTATGATACGAATTTGAGATTCACGCATCGGCGACGCGTAGTGTATCTCGCGGGATTTGATCGCAAGTAATGAACGATGGCGATAAGGGGAGGAGCGGGGGGGGGGGAGAGGGCAAGAGCGAAGGCCCGTATTTCCGTAGCCGTTTCAGCAGGTTTGTGCTCTCGATTTTATTTCGTTCAGTCATATTCGTTGCCATAGATAACGGCGAGATGATCGTCGTTTTGAAAGACATAAGCTACTGTAATGTATTTGTTAATATCTTTCACTTGAAGGTCTGGAAGTGCAGTGAGCTCACAGATGACGCGCGATCCAGCGGTGGCGTGAACGCGGCGAGAGATCGGTCATCGTTGCTGCGTGTGATCGTAGTCGCGTCGCCGCGAATTTCGCGATGCCGCGCGATCGCGGGACTTCGCGCTTTCGAATGCATGTGTTGTGCGCTGTTTATATAAGTGCCACGAAGGGGAGCGGATCAAGTAAAACAGGAGAGAAGAAGGCCCCGGTGATCCGCGCGCGGGCAGGCAGAATCGGACAGCGCGGCAGATCGAACCACGATCGAACTACAAGGTAAAAGAAATTGGCTCTTCTCTAATTTTAATCGAATAAATTGAAACTAATTTCATCTGTCATTCGTTACTTCCGTTTGTTCTCTCCGCTCGTTTATCTCAGAGCGTTGTATTTAATGAAATCTTCGTATAGGTTACTTCAAAACATACTCAAAATGACTAACATATATACTATTATAAATTCGTAACATTTTTTCAATGCGATTAAGATTTATCGCGTATATACGAATCGGATTTTCAGTTATCAATTAATAACATATATTTATATATTTAGAAAAATTATACGTGCGATGGTGTTAATTGTTATATTTAAGGTATCTTAAAAACAGTGTAGAAATTCAATACATGGCAAATTTCGAAAGATATATATTTATAATTTGTGAGAACTCCGTTTTAATTTGCATATCATATATATATTTCCGTTTTACAGATTACAATAAAACTCCGCTGCTGCACGCGTATCGGTGAGTGTACGAATTAAATATTGTCTTGCGTTTTAATCGGCCCTACTCGATAATAACAACGTACTTCTCGGAAAATTGTACGCACATATATACGTTGGATATTTTCGATTGAAAACACTTGGCGCAGTGCGACCACTACAAGACGTTGGTAAACACTGTCAAACAGTCCGCCGGTGTGTCAACAGTCAAGTTCGCATGTAAACCGCACGTTTATAATTTATACCCGTGTATGTACATACATACTCGCGGTCACAGTCACAGTGCTCCGAAGTGTCATCGAAGTCTCGTCGGCGTAGAAATCGCATTTTATTCCGGTGAGTGTTCGTCGCGTGTCATTCGCGGACTTTCGCGAGCGAGAAACGCGGAGAAGCGGCGCGGCGTGCGAACGCCGCGAACACACGTCAGTCAGTCGGAGAGGTTAACTCTCCTGCGATTAGGGTAAAACGTCGCCCTCAGGTTTCCCGTATTTTTTAGTGTTCTAGTTCCCTTATTGATGATTTCGTAACGCAGACAATAATGTTATATCGCGAAAATTTATATCGTTCTATTCGGATTATATATTTACTCCGGATTGCTCCAAAAGTTTTCAATCATTTTGTATCATTTTACACGTTATCTGTGTTATTTGTAAATATGTTTACTGCGCAACGTTGCTCCAAAATTCGTCGTTCAAAAAGTTTATAATTTTTAAAGATAAAGAGATTACTGCATTTTATGCATCTTATATCTATGTATATTTTTTATTAATGTTTCATAATAATATTTTCAATTTTGTTCGCGTGGATTTCGGAGCAGCGAGAGCGAAGAGAAAAATCTCCGGTTATCTCCCATCGATAAAGTAACTCCTCGTATATTTCTATTCGCGTGCTTTACCTCATATCCTCTGGACGTCTGGTTTCGCTTCCGATCTCACGGATGGCGCGACGATGCACTTTCCAGTTTGTTTTCTTGTGCGCTCATTCAATTCTCCAACTCCAATCCTCAATTCTTCTCTAGGGGAAGCTAAACGTTTCCCCCAAACCTCGTTTTCTCAGAAACGCCAATTTTATCTACCTTTATTACAAAATTCTCGATCGTTTAACGTTAACTTTGATATATCGCTGAAAAAAAGATCGAATATTGCAACGTCGCGTCGTCGAGCTCCAAAGCGATATTGCTTTTGCATCGCAAAACGAATGCGAATTCTTTAATTGCTGCAGCACGTAATTCCGACTCGTCTACCGTCCCCCAAAAACTACCCGAGGTGAGCAACTCCATATTCCGCTCAAAATACTTACTTTTACTTACTTTTCATGGTTTTTTAAAATGAAAGTATACCGCAAAGGAAAATATTTCGAATTTACACATTTTCCGAGAATGTGCAGCACGTACATGGAGAGGATTTTATTTTAAAATTTACCCTGAAAATCATGTTAATTGTAGGACATTTCGACTAATTTTATGTGATTTTCACTATTTTTAAAAATATGTATTACAACAAATATGACATGCAAATTAAAACGGAGTTCCCACAAATTAAATATATATCTTTTGAAATTTGCTATATATTGAATTTCTACACTGTTTATTGTAGTGCAGAGTAAAAAAAAAACAAAGAAAATCACATAAAATTTGCCGAAATGCTATGTTGTTTCACTATTAACATGATTTTCAGGGTAAATTTTAAAAAGAAATTTCGTATACAAATAAAAACAGGATTAATAAATGAATGCAGAAGTTCTGATGATACAGTTTATTATCATTAGCATTATGTTTACGCGAGGTACATGCGCCGATTCGCGCGTCGCAACGATCGAGGGACGTCTCCAGCTTTCACTTAATTCCTGCATTCATCTTTTTTTTTTTCATTTTTTTTTCTCACTCAAGTCCCCGAACGAATCGGACTCGCGTAAGGTGCGCTCAATCGTAAATAGGTACATGCAAAGGTGGGAATTACGAAAGAGAGGAAGCTAATCGGTATATAAGTTATCGAATTAAGCGCGCGAGAGGATTAATTCACAGGTGATGCGGGATCACACCACGGGAAGAGGGGGGGAAGGTGGTGTGATGCCGCGCGAAGAGAGAACTCTATATATACGAGACATTATTATCGTTAGCGTTAGTTATAAATAAATAAAGAAGCGGCATGCGTTTCTCTCGAAGAAACCGGGCCGGGGCTTCGGCGATTCATAAATAACGAAGGAACGCGGGTGCCCCTCCGCGTCGCCGCCACCACCACCACCTACGATCGACTCTCGCGAGAGATGTAGGTATATACACTCGAAATATACACTCGAAGTAACATCGCTATATAACGGCGAATTGATTGTAATATGGCGAGTCGCCGCGGGGCTGTAAAACTGTATCAACTGATCGAGATTGCGTATACGTCGCGTGTAAAAATACTATAATGGCATGTCTCGCGAGAACGGGAATTCGGCACGCGCGTTCCTTCCGCTTAACTCAACTAAGGAAATAGTGGGTTCTTTCCATTTAGTGACACAAGTCGACGCAAACGTCATTCTATTCTTCTCAGCATTTAGTGAGTATAACAAAGACAATACTTGTGTCGACTTGTGTCACTAAATGGAAAGCACCCAGTAACAACAATTGGCGATAGTAGTGATAGTAGTAGTAGTATTAATAAATACAGACGAGGCCGAGTGTGTCGATAGCTTTTTCGTACTTCTAACGTGGATCGCGCGCGATCGAGATCGCCTTTCAGTCGCCTCCGTTCGTGCCGGCGATTTCCCCTTTCCGGGGGAAGTCCCCGCGTGGAAATTACAAATTGACATCCGTCCCTTTGTCGCCTGGCTTCCCTCCACGAAATCCTCGCGCGTATAGTCCGTTTCAGTGCCAGGATAAAACTTTTACGTTATACGTTATTCGCGAGAGCGTGATCCGAGCGCGAGACGCGAGCGAGGAGGAGAGCCATTATAAATTCACGGTGAATTCGATAACGTATAAGCTCTTGCTCTTGTCTTCTTTCGCGCGCGCCTTCAATTCCTTCCTCTTTCTTTTCGACAGTGCGTTTCTCTCCCCGCTTATTATTCGACCTATTTGTTAGGCGCGACCGCGAGAAAATGGTTCGATTGGTGTCGATTAAATAATTGGCGCACAGTTGGCCAAGTTCCTCCTCTTCTTTTCTCTCACTGTGTGGCGTATTACAAGTGCGTATATATATCATTCAGCATAGCAGAAATCTCGCACATTGTTTCAATGGCGCGTCGTCAACGTCTCTTTGTCAACGTTTGCAGAACCGAATGAATTTTCTGGCCAAATTTTCGTTAGGAATTTTTTTGTTTGTCAAATTAATTACGAAAATAATTTTTCCGAAATAATAAAATCTATCGTTTCACGCGAAGCATAGATTGAAAAAAATTCGAGATATTTTTGTTTCGAGGGAATGGGGGATTTTATGGAACTTAGCTACGTATTTTAAATTCATTTCTGTACTTCTCGAGAATTAGTTTTATTATTGCAATCATTCAGACGTTACTAAATTGGTTGCTTGCTATGCTGAACGATTTCTAATAGATAGAATGTGTAACATGGAAGAAAGAGGGGACCGATGGATATTCACGTATTCGTAATATTATTAGGAACGTTTTTCGATATATTCGATAAACACACAAACCATTTAGTATTTTCGGCATAAATCGTGTTTATTTATTACTTCATAAACTTTCTAATGTTTCCTGTTACAACAATATATATGTATCTACTATATCTCTCGCCGAAAATAACTGTTTATTTAAATTGCTCGCCCGATTATTTAATTGACACCAGTTTTTCAAACAGTCGATATAATATTTTGCAAAAAAGAAAAAGAAACTATCTAACCACTATCTCTCGTGTTTTTGCCATCGACGAGGTACTATTAAGTGGATTTCGATTTTAATATCGATCGGTTTATAATCCGTCATTTAATCGATTCTATTTGTCTGAAATCCGAGCGATGCTCCTTTCGTTTGTATTTTTTTTTCTCTTCCGTTTTGCAAAAGAGGAATAATAGAATTTTTTTTTCCCTCGTAAAATTTCCCGTTAAATCGCGACGTCCGTCTCTTAAATCGAGTTATTAGTCTCCGAAATTTAACTGTGATTTCAAAGTTCACACGATAGCTGTATATGTTTTTATTTTTTTTTAGGGGGGAGGCCTCTTTTGGGTTCGTCAGGCATTCCAATTAAACCCGGGTCGCACAATCGAAACGCGTCTCGAAATATGATCGAAGGTTAATAAATTAGTAGCTTGGGTGCTTATATTTTACGTATATATTTCTCGCAATCCCATTTATTGAATTTATCCCATAGATTGAAATCAACGGCGGTCAGAATTTTTTAAGATTTCTCACCCTCCACCTTTTCTCTACTTTTCTTCCCTTTCGAAATATGGGATAATATTCGAATCATAAAAGAGAAGATAATACGGAATCCTCCGTTACATTTTTAATATCCATCAAGCTTCCGATATTGACCATAATCTTGTTGGAAATTCTCATTTCCGCGCCTTCGCGGTGTTTCTACGATATTACATTGCAATTTAGAAGATTGCTCAATATTTGATTGCACTGTCTACAACGAGCTACATAGGTATATTGGTATGTTCATAATCGATTCCGTATAACGATTTCTCCAGTTGTTTCTCCGCGTGACGATTAATTATAGTTGATAACGTAATTAATGTATTTAAAAATTGACAAATATTGACTCGGCATTTTCGATTTTATACGATTATCGAAATAAAAAACCGATTGAGGCAAATATCGATACAACTTTTCGGTAAAATACCGTATATTAGATATTATATAATTGAACGTCGATATTATTATAGACATTACAGATATTATTATAGATATTATGGATATAACATATCCTTGGTGTACATAAAAACAACACGAGTACGAGTTTTTTTAATTAATTACAATTTTGATGTATCGCGCACGTTAACTTATGTGCGTTATCTGTTTCTTTCGTGCGACGTACGTCAAATACATCACAGATCCGACTAATTTATCATGTCATTGACCTTAAAGCAATATGATTATACCACGATACAACGGTGTTATCAGTGAAATTATATCGCGGTATTTTTATTTAAATTTTTATCCAAATTTTTATTGAACTCTCCGACTTTTTTTTCTTATTAATTCTCTTTAGCGTTTCGGTCTTGTAAGAATAGAGATTTTGGGATGCTGACGGGTCGACTGACGACATTGTTTCGCTGTTTGATCGCGGATTTCACGCGTCACTCGCGTATCTACGTTATCGTTATTCCCGGAGTCGCGCGGTGTCTTCACTTAACAGGTACCTCGTCGTTGGTTTCTCGGAGTATCTCTCAGAGTAATTCCAGGCAACCGTAGTCGGGCAGCTCGCGCGCAGCTTTCGTCCGAACCAGTCGGACGGTGTGCCTTCGTCCGGCGGCCGAGGACGGTTTCGACATTTCGAACGGACGTATATATATATATTTTTTCTTTTTTTTTACGTTTTAGTTTTTTTCTTACACACGTTATTTCCGCTCCGCGATGCTTCGTTGTAACGGGAGGGAGAGGGGTGGGAAGAGGAGCGGAGGAAAACTTGATGAGGATCGACGTTCGTTAATGGAGGCGCTCGTCGAGCGGTCACATTGGCGCGTATCTCGCGATTCGCGTGATTCACTTTTCGCGCTGTAACTTTTCCGCACGTAGATCCGACGTGGCGTGTGTGTGTGTGTGTGTGTGTGTGTGTGTGTGTGTGTGTGTGTGTGTGTGTGTTGTGTGCGTGGTTGTGTGTGTAATACTGGTGACAATCATTGTCCCGAGGGGATAGCAAGGAGGAGCGATAACTTTTTTTGTCCGATGCACCATGTGTGTCTCTTGCAAATTGCAATCTCTTTCTCACCCCATATTTCACTGTACCATCCAGATAGAAAAGAATTAACGAATATTTTAATTGATTTTCGAATTGTTGAATATTTTAATTTATCCTCGAGTTATTCAATATCTTTTTAGTTTACTCTTACTGCTGAATTCAGGTACGCGTCCAAGACGACTGGATTTTAAAGACTTTCTCGACTTTTTCTTTCTTTCTTTTTCTTTTTTTAATGACCAGATGTCTTTGGAAGAATTGAAACAATTAAAGAACTGATCGCTCGTCGTTGCTATCTTCCTCACTTCAATTTTCAATTGACCGTGGCACAAGCTATGTGTTTTTCTTTTATTGATCTTTTACTTAATGTTTTCTTAAAGCACAATGAGGTCTCCTCCTAGCTCCTCAAGCTCCTCGCCGCGCCCGCCGTCCGTTTCGAACTTCTCGCGACTGCCTTTTACGGTGATTTATTTCTCTTTTGATTGCCTCTTACGTCCCATGTTGCAGATCTTGAAGTGGCACAGGGACATGTCTGAAACACGAATCGCGTCCGTTACTCGCCGCTGTCGCAGCCGCATCGCTCCAAATAACGTAGCGCAATAGATCGTAGCAATCGCCTTTTATTACTTGAACAAGTAACTTCTGCAGATTCTTCACATGCATATTAATTATAAACTTATTATTATTAATAACATACTAAAATTACTTTGAGTAGCGCAAATTATTTCGCTCGCATGAAATATAGCATAACATGATATTATAATGTTATAATATAAATGCGCTTGCGAAAAGAGTGTCAATATATTAGTTGCATTCGCAACTTATTTGGGCAGAGAAATTCAATTTTATCAACTTAAAAATCTAAATCAGAAAATTGTAGCAAATAGTATTATTATTAGTTAGATAATGTTAAATATGTCATTTGAGAGAGATGTCATTTGCTTAAGCGAACAAATTTAATTACTAATTGAGTATTAATCCATCAACGTTTTTTCCGACTTTTTTATCTGGTGCAATTCAACAAACACGATTTGTTGGATAATTTGAGGTCGTGCAGCGAATCTTTGTTTATGCAGAATATTTACGGAATGTACATATTTTTTATCAGTTATTTATACGGATTTTAAATGAGGAATTATAATACAGTAGCTAGCAGCTAATGTAACTCCTCATTTTCAAATTTTTATATGAAGGTGATCGATCAAATCACAATCTCCTTCGCGAAGTCTTCTCTACATCGCAATTCTCACACGGCGCCAATTTTCGTCAGGAGTAGAACGGATCGTCGTCGGTGCTGCTTCGGCCGCATTCTTTTTTTAAAATTAAAACGCGAAAAGAATGCAACATCTAATATATCTTTATCGACTTGATCGTCGTATTTTTTTTTAGATTATTATTGGATCGTTTGTTCTGTCACTTGTGACACGTGTGGGATTTTATAGGCGCAACGAATGACATTTCGAGGCCGCGGTGAGGAAAATATTTGATCTTAATGCTTTCTAAGATCAAGACTAAAAGCAGCGAATTAATTTGCGCACCTACTCAAGAAAAAAAAATGAAGAGACTATTCGGAGTAATAATAGAATTGCTGTCTTGTGCATTAAACATATTAATATTTTCGAAATATTCGAGATCAAATGGAAAATCTGCGATCGGCGATCTCCCTTTCGAAGTTTCGAGCCTCGAATCAATCAGGGAAGACACGCGCGGGAAAGAGAAAGACAGAGAGGGAGGGAAGGGGGAGAAAGAACGAAAGACACGTAATGCGTCACGCGTCAATTGCTTCAATCAATTGTCCATCGACGGTCGCCGTCGGTCGATCGAACGAGCGGCGCAGATTGCCATATGTATGTACATATATGGACGTGTGCATGCGAAACGCACGTCTCTCCGCGAGAAGTTTATTCGTGGTGGATTAGCGATATAGCCGAGAGAAACGCTCTCTCGGACCATCTGGGAGTCTTGTACCTCCCTCTTCCCCTTCCGCGCCGCCCGTGTATTCTCGACCTCGGCCTTCCGAAGGCCGCCTCCCTCCCTTCCTTCCTTCCTTCGAAAAATGAAAAGGGATTTCTCCTCGCGGGGATTTCCCGAAAACGTGCGCGGCATAATCCTCCGATCCTCGCGGCGATCCGGCTGGAGCTATAATCCCCGGAAGAAGCGATAACGGCCGGGTTTTGTTTAACGGGCTGATGCGATGGCCCCGACGACGTCGTCCCACACACACGTCGTGACGACGGGAAATTCGCGGGAAAATAGCGGCCGAAATGATTCCGAATGTCCCGAAAGTGTATCCCCTTTCACGCGGTTCCCCACCACCGGAACGCTTTCGCGTAAGATTCTTCTCGCGCGCTCGCTTTATTCTCGCATTTTATCTAGTTTATCCCATGCTCAACCATTTCGCGGTTACCTATTCTACTTGATCTTTCCCGTCTCGCTGCCACAAAGCTCTATAAAACTTCTTGCAAACTGGACAATTTAAGCTCAGGAATTTATTCATTCCATTTATCCACTTACACGATTAATTTTAATTTGTAGCGAGGCTCGTATCCGTGCGATCTATCGTTTCTCTCTCTCCATTTGAAGAGTAGATTATTATCACAATCAAATCTTGCTCTACCCCCCTCCCCCTTTTAGACTCGGAAACGTCACGAAATCCCGCTGAAATTCATGTCTGGATTCCAGACACTCGAGCCCGCATTCTTTTGCATTTTTTTGCAATAAATAACGAGGAAAGAGATTGAGATCACGGGAATACTCACAGCTGACCGTGTTTACGCCGTGTCGTTTGTTCGGATTTTGCGTATCGTGGATCATGGCCGCGGGCACCGGCAGCGCTTCCGGTTCCTGCTCCCCGCTGGCGTATTCCGGCTGCGACAGCTGTTCCATCGCGCGCTCCCGCTCGCGCGCCTTCGCCTCCAGGATCGCCTGGATCTCGATCTGCTCGTCGGTGATCTCGTGCTCCTGCTCGGTCATCCGGTGCTTCTGGTCCATCAGGTGCTTCAGGCGGTTCACCAACATCTGCGTGTCGAAATATAATCGAAGAATTCAATTAATGACATGATTCTTGTGTATAATTTATTTTTATATTTTCACCGTGCAATATTCTTTCCGTGTCGCGACCCTCGCGCGATGTCTCGAACGGTTCGAGCCAACCGTTTAACATCCGGCGGTCATTTAATTTCGCCGAGTTTAATTTCCAATACTACGAATGTTGCGCGCGACAAGGGCGACTTTACGTCAAGCGCGCTCGTAGTGGCGCTTTACGTCATTTCGTTTTACTCGCGGATGATGCGCTAATGCGATTCTTTGTCGCGCGCGTATATACGTTTGATGTCAATGAATTACTCTCCAGCGAGGAATGTCCACGTGGATACAACGTCACGCGCGATTGGCTCTCGAGTAAGAAAGAACTTTCGAGAAATTCTTCGTTCAACAGGCAATTTTCTGTGACACAAGTGTCCGTTTGGACCATTTCTTTTCTTTTGTTTTTTTTTGTTCTAAAAAGCATCTTGCTCAAAAAATCAAGTGCAAACTCAGCGAGATTGCACTTGATATCCGCGGTCTTTAAATTGGCGATTTCTTCGAGTTAAACGCCGGATTGTTGGATGCAACGAGGCGTCCCAGAATTCGCGCAGAATTTTGGCTTATATACTCACGATATTCTCCGCCTCGTCCGCGGGGTCGAAGAAGATGCCCGCCGGCAGCGGTTCCGGCTGCGGGAACGCGTGGGCCCTGTCGCTGCCGCTTGTGGCGCAGGACAGCACGAGTGCCGCCAGCAGACACAGGCTTGTCCTAGCGGCGGCTCGTCGACTACCTCTTTTCGTCATTCCCTCGTATGTCTCGTGCTCTCTGCAGAAAAACGAGAAAACGGGCGCGCTCGCATACAGAAGGATAACATATATAGAGACTTACAGGCAAGACGATTCTAAGCAGACTCGTATACTTGTTCTGGTAAGACGCAAGAACTTATGACTTAATGCTTATAATTTTGTGCAGACAGCTTCTTGCTAACCGTATATAAGGATTTACGAGAAATTAATATTTACGAACGATCATAACATCCTACGGTACGCAGAATTACAATTCCAATCATAAGTTCTTACGAGTCTTATATGACAACAAGTTACGATTTTGCTTAGAACTGAACTCATTAATTTAGATGACTTATTGTTACAAGAATTACATGACGTAATGACGATTAGTAGAGAAATTTCACGAAGGAGAAAGGTGATATATGGATAAAAATTATGGAAGATTTGTTACACATTTATTATGTACGGAAAATTGCGGATTATGGGCTCTATCTAATTGAATCGATTGAAACGAATTATCGCTGGTTTTCAATTGGACAGTTCCTTCCCGAAATCTCTTTTTTCCCATCTTTAATATAACGAAAATATTTTCGTGTTTGTAATATGACTGTTGTGAGAAAATCAAGAAGTTTTCTTTATTTTGTTATGAATATACCTGCGACGCACATTTTTTTATTCTTTGATATTCTGTCTCGCCTTCCGCGGACACGTTCGAAGTTACACTGTTTCGGACTTACATTTTACGCCCGGAATGCGTCGGAATTCTCGCGGAATGGAATAATTTACTTCGGAAAGTCGGTTCACGTCGGTTCACGACTGCGGAACGGTTGTAACCCGAAAGGAAAGCGAGAACGTGTCCCGCCGAGATCGAATAAGAGAAAATCAAATCGATCAATTATTCTTTTCCCTTATGGAAGACGAGTTTCCAGAGGCTTCCATGTAAGAAGGAAAAAAAAATATATATATATATGGGAGGTGCAAAAGTAAATGCGAATCAAGTAGATGCGACCGGAAGGATTTCGACGCGTCGCAGCCGCCGCGTTGGTCGCGGCGAACGAGAGATCGAGAGAAAACGGAGAGGAAAACGTCCGTGCGGCCGCGGCGATTGTATTATGTGTAATCGCGATATGTGCCTCTCACCGCCGCGGCGCGAGATAGAAAAGTTCTCGCGGGTTATCCGCGCGTGCGGGAGGAGAGGACAGAAGGCGAGGCGTTCCGTCCGGCGAGGTTGGTCTAATTGATTTTTTGCCCTGTCATGGACCCGAATCTCTCAGCTCTCGAGGCGGGAACGACCGTGGACGGACAGGGGGCAATTTGGTACGATCCGCGAGCGAGCGAGCGAGCGAAGGTCCCTCGCCCCCTCCCTCCTCTCTGGGGGTCATCGCGGATTATCCTCTTGACCGATACGGCGTTATCGCCGTGACGGGCCGCGTGTCACGTGATAACGAAGTAAAATCGCGTGCGAGGGAGAGAGAGAGAGAGAGAGAGATCAGAGACGGCATGAAACTAACGGGGTAACGAAATTGCGCCGATATCGCGCGTCACGTATACGTACGATGACGGGAAAACGAGATAGTGACAGATGTACGCGGACGTGTCGCGTCACGGGCGGACGATAATAACAACGCTAAACGAGGAAAATAATAATAAATACTACAGAAATCGGTGGTAACACGACGGAACAATTGCTGTCACTGTCCGTGAGAGACGGACAGGCGAGGAGAGAGAAAGAGAGGCACAGAATACGCCGCGCGCGTTTAACGATTATTTATAGATCCTAAATCGATTTCGCCGTTATTTGCCGGCCGCGAGAACGGGCGAGTATCGCGACGCCTCGCCTCCGCGCGCGCGCCCGCGTCCGTCGCAAACAAAACTATTAGAAATCAATTCGCTCGCGCGCAGATTCGCTCGCGTTCGACGCAGAAGGCTCTCGCCGTTGGCGCGGTAATACGGCGATTCGGAGTTACGGCACGGCGGCGGAAGCGGATCAGCGAATTCTTTAGCTTCGATCGGCAGCAACGGAGAGAACGGAATTTAATTCATTCTCATGAAGTATTAAACAAAACAAAAAAATAAAATAAAATGATTAGCTGAAAACAAATAAAGCCACCCGATGATTTCAAAAAATTTCCGTTTGGCAAACCGAGGGTTAAATCAAATTAAATGAACCGTATTTAATTTCAACGAGGAACGCAAACCGTTGTTGAAGCCACAGGTGTCGCGCGTGCCGGAACGTCGCGAATAAGTCCCCGGCGGTCGGCCGGGGTCGCGATCGGGATCGCGCGCGAGCGGCAACTTACTCTGGTAACGGAATAACCTGGCCGAGAAACTCGCGCTCTATCTCGCCGTCGACGACGCCGTTTACGACACGCGGTGGTAGAATGAGCGACGAAGGGCTGTTGCACCCTCTATTATACCCGCCGCGCAGGTATCCACCTCCGCGCCCGCCCCCTCTCCGTGTGCCTCTCCTGGTATACCGCCCCTATAGTATAGTAGTAGGTGTTCGGACGGAAGCGACGCGGGAAAAGAAGAAGGGTTGCTCTCCGCGATCTCTCCTCCTGGCCTCTCCTCCTCTGCATGCCCTGTCCCGCGCGCACCCTCGACGTTCTCACGCCGAAACGCGTGCGCTCGTTGTTTACACGGTTCTCCTTGACCGCGCCGTTAAAGCCACCGCGCGATTCTCTCGCGGGTTGCCGACTTGTACTTGGGATCCAAGGATCCTGATATCGCGCGCGAAGAAATAAAGAGTGCAGAGCGGCTTTTCTAGCATTACCGAATCTCGGATCGAAGCCTTATAAATTCTCGTACGGCCGAATCGCGTTCGCAACTCGTACATGTAACTTTACTTGCAGCGTAAATGATTTTAAAACACGTTGAGAGACGTGTAAGACGCTCGTTTCCATCGATGTAAACTGACTTGAATCTCGGTTCAGTTTCCGCTCTTTATCTCTTCCTAATTCTTATAATTAGAACTAAAAAGAAGACAAAAAGTAAAATCAACATTGATAGAAACGTGTTACAAGTCTTATTTCTACCAATGTAGATTAATTATAATCTCAGTTTAATTTACTCTTTAGCTTTTTCTAATTTTTAGAACTAGAAGAAGATGAAAAGTAAGTAAACTGAGATTAAAGCTAATCTACATTGATAGATACGGACGTAATAAACGCAGAACAAAAAAAGTGAAAGATAATTAGAGCGATAATTTTATAGCGAATTTAATTGGACTTAGTACGCATTCAATGTATATTAATGCCGTTTGTATTTCATCTAATCTCAATGTAAAAGTGAAATAACTCGAGTAATAAAATGGCCAATACATATCTTTTTTTTAATCCAAAAATAAAGTATTTACTATTAAGAATACTATTAAGAATTTCGTGGCTTAACCCGTTTCGATATTAAACATTTCTACGTCGATTTGTATACAATGGTTTTAATACGCACTGATTGAGTGCGCATTACTGCGTTCAATCGAATTCACTATTAGAAAAAGCGTTTTTCGGTATAGATATATAATTCGTCTGCCTTTCGCGTGGAACCACGTCTCTTCTTGTGCAACAAATTAATTCCTCATTATTCTGTATATACATGTATGTATATAGGCGTAAGAAGGTATTCGGATAAGATTGTCGAAAAATGAATATTTTGTGAGGCAAGAGAGAAGACTTTTATCTTTTATTTTTGTTGTCCGAATATATCGAGATAATATATCTCGCGGATATGAAATATTTCATATACAAAGTATCCATTTTACTCTCGACGAATTTTTCTTTAATAATTTTGTGCGCGGAATGAGTTCGAGGATCGATTTACGTAAAAGAATTACATCGGATACAGAATGAAAATTATCAATCATATAGATTTTTAAATGAATGAATTTTTAAATGAATCTCTACAAAGTACAAACGAATATCGTCTAACAAAATGAAAAATTATTTCTATCTCTAATTACATTCATTCTTCGTTCTATGTCAATTGAATATTTTTTTGTTCCTTTTTTTTAGTACGTTCATGTATTAACACTTTTTTCTTTCAAGTTTAAGCTGCAAGAATTTTGATGTAGAAATTTTTATATACAATAAGAATCGAGTGTCGCGCGCGACACGAATCTTGCCGATTTCTCGTTTGCGAGAATCGAATGAAGAGAGGCGCGTATCGCGCGCGTCCCTATTATTCCGTCCAGGAGAAAAGTGTTTGAAATCCGGTTCGAATACTCCCGCGACCGCCCGATTCCGCCGCGCGTCTCTTCGCGCGCGAGGGTCTTCCTCAATCGCGCGTTTTAACTGCGACGCGCTGATTATTGCGCGCGATGACGAGGAAAACGATGCGCATTACAAAGACCCGCCGATATGCGGTCTCCGGCGGATGCAATGAAAACAAACGAACGTCAGGCGGGCGGACAGGCTCGCGTCGATTCGAGATTGCGTGCAATTCTCTCGCCGAATTCCGTCCGTGGAATTTAAGATATTCGGCGGCGTGGGTGTGGAAGAGGGTGTGTTAGCGCGTTTTAGGATCACGCGCGCTCGAGAAGATACGCGTATATAACCGCGGACGATCTCCGATCTCTCGTATAAATCTCGGCGCTGATGAGCGAATGTTTATAATTAGAACGTTTAGCAACGTTCGGTCCTACGTCGCGGGCGGATGGTGACACTCCGAGATCGCGTCTTATCGCGACTTATCGCGGAGAGGAAAGGGACAGGGGGGAAGGAACACGCGATACGGAGAGGGAGAGTATTATCGAGATTCGATGAGGAGATTCTTCTCTCTCTCTTTCTCTCTGTCCTTCTCTTCCTCTTTGCCCTCTTTCTTTGCCTTTTTTGCCCTCTTTTTTTTCTCTCTTCATCCTCGCGCGCGTCTGACGAAATTCTTAGCTCTGTGAGTAAATATTAAAGAGCATCCGCGATCGACTTCGATGGGGACCATCCGATATCGGTCGGCAGATAAGACGTATAACGGGATCGTCCCACTCAGTCTCGGCTTCTCGCTAACGAAAAGCCGAGAGAGAGAGAGAGAAAGAGAGAGAGAGAGAGAGGAATGTTATTTAAAGCGTTTCCATGCTACTCCGCGAGGATTATTGTATATGTCAAGTCTCTCTAATAAGAGCTTAATAACAGATTATTGATATCATACGTAGGCTCGCTCACATTCTCTCTCACATTGCGCAGCTTCGTCTGGGCAATTCGATACATTTCGCATGTCTCGACCTCGACGCTCGTCTCTATACACGAATCCGAATCGTTCGACAAGGCGAGATGTGAGAGGGGACGCGGAAGGTACTGATCGTTTTCTCGCGACAGAAATTCGTTCGCACATTTCGATATTTTCAATCTCACAGAGCGACTCCCGGTGTGAATTCCTGCACTTTATTAGCTGGAGTCGAAAGGGTGTTTGTTCCTCGCGTTGCATCGATTTTTTTCCTTACACCAGTCGCCAGTCTACTTTGTCAAATGAAGACCACTCCTATATATCAATGCATTTGAACGCGAACTCGATCGTCATATATCCACGTGCATCAAAACCCGGGGAATCCCGCGCCGTGCGCCCGTTTGGGGTTAATTACCTAATGCCCTCCCCCCATTGCACGTGCGCGTCATTTGCGGGCGTGTAGTGTTGGCGGCTTGCGCAACTGTATACACACCACCCTCGCTTTGTCCTATACCTTTACGGGAAGGAGCTGCTTTAGTTTGAACGTGAAATTAATGCAAATCCGAGGTGTAGTATATGCGCGATAGATCCGCAATGGATCCCCGGGTTACGCGCGTACGAACCTTGTAACGCGCAAAACAGTTTCGAGTGCGGTAGGGAGGAAGGAAGAGAAGAAGACAAACAGAGAGAGAGAGAGAGAGAGAGAGAGAGAGAGAAAGCCACGCGCGGAAGCCTCGCGAGTACACTCGCAAGGTATTTAATGCGACATACACATATGTATAATACATGTGTAGTTTACATAAGGGCGCTCCGTAATTGGCGGTAATCGCAGGAAAAGCGACGATTCGTAGCGACGTGCGAAGTAACAAGCTGAGAACATTGGAATAAGCGCGCGAGGCGCGCTTCTCGGAAGCAGAACAGAAAGTCATAACATCAAAATTGCATTAAAATGAATCCAAAATGATTATTAAAAGTCACTGTTCGAAGTCACGATTCATTTTAACGTTATCGTGACCTGTTTTTCTGCTTGGATTGTTTTCGAGAAAAGAAGGATTGAAAATTAATAGCGTCTTATTTTAACTTAGCGTATTTTTTTCTTCGTTTTTATCATAAATTAATTTCTGCGGTATTAATAAATTAATTAATAAATGAATGATATTGATTTGCGCCCACCCGACTATAACGAATCAATTTATTAGCGAACTGAATTCAATCCTGTTCGAACAAATGAATTTTATTCCGATTCAGTATTCTAACTTTTTCTATTTGTACACGGTAAGAATGATTTTGCTGAAATGTCTAAAATTTAACTAGTATATTAATAAATACAGACTCTAATAAAATATAATTTTATTGGACCATTGAAATAATTATGTTGAAAGTTCAATGATAAGCAATGCTGCAAAGGATTTTCTGGCCACCAATTTAAGTTTTCAACATAATTATTTTGATGGTCCAACAAAATTATTTTCAAATGTGTATTTAGCTGAATTTTGGATATTCCAGAATCGTCATTTCCGTGCTTTATAAAAAAATTACTCTTCTTTCGTTCACAGGATAAAATTTCCTCGATTATTCGCTACCCCTAAATTCACGTTGAACACATCATGTTGAGCGACGAGGAGGATCAGCAGCAGCAGCAGGAGGAGGAGGAGAAACCGTTCGCCGTGGAGCGCGCGAAGACCGGGCGCGCGAAATGCAAGAGGTGCAAATGCCCGATCGAAAAGGGCGAGATACGGATCGGCAAGTACGTGTCGAGCTTCTTCGCAGACGGCAAAATGATGCCGGCCTGGCACCACGTCACCTGCATGTTCGACACGTTCGCGAAACAGCGCGCCAGCACCAAGAGGATCGACGACCCCGCGGAGGACGTGAAGGGCTGGGAGCGGTTGTCCGACGACGACAGAAAGGTCATCCTGGAGAAGCTGGAGGCGTTCGAGAAATCCTGTAATTATCCTAATATCGAGAGGAATGAGAGGCTTCCTTTTTCTTTCGCGCGATTTTCCCTCGCGCGTTTTTTCCGTGGTGTCTTATATCCTGCAGTTCCGGAGTCCGAAGAATCCCGTTGAAAAATTTCCAGTGTAATTTTTGTTAATTAGTCTTCAGCAGCAAATCCTTCGAAGTTGACTTTTTCCTTAGCAAAAATGTCGACGAAAATGTCATCGCAATTTTCCTTCGCAATTCTCAAGTCCATTTTCATCAATGTATGTATATAGATTGACTTTAATCTCGACTTTAATTTACTGTTTATCTCTTTTTCTAATTTAAAGATAAATAATAAATTAAACCGAGATTAATGTTAATCTACATCTGATAGAAACGGACACCTCGTTTTTTGCCCTCATATCTTTCTCTGATATATCAGATAAAAATCCCATTAACTGCAGATAAAATTAGCCGAGGAACAAAAAGTCCAGGTGAAGCTTCGTCATTCATACGACTTCCTAAATAATTTATGAAAAGCTTCTTGCGCGAGAAACTCGTCGAAATTATTGTCACTTACATACTTCTGTTAAGGAAAAATTAATTCCGAATTGTGACGGACGGTCCTTTCGAGACACGCTGGTCCGCGAGCTTCATTAGCTTATCCGTAGATCTGCCGTTGCCTACCGATTTCTCAGAACGGAATTGACGTTTGCACGTAGTCGTCGCATTATCTCGAGGCGTAGTCGCCCGACGTTACACGGTGGAATCATTCAAAGGCTTTCCGGCTTTTCTCTTCCGAAACTTCCGCGACTTCTAATGGGTTTTCCCCCCCCTTACAATTGGAGCTTTGCGACGGAAAGTTCTAAAGAAGCTCGTCGCTTATGAGAAAGAGAGAGATTGCTCATTCTCGGGGACGAACATGAAGGGGAGGGGGAGGGGAGGAGTGGCAAGTTCATCGGTATTGAGATTACAACGTGTTATATTGCCCTATTTCTATATACTGCGCAATTTCAGCCTGTAATTAGAAATCGTTTTGCGAAGGTGGATACTATTCCCGGACGTGCGATCGCGTAGGAAGGAGATTTCCTGCACTTCGAGAAATTTCGTCACTGCAATCTATTAATGATTACCTTCGAGGCGGAAGTTTTATTGGGATTTTTTTCACCCAATTTCATTACCATTAACAATCGTTTTAATAATATCATTTTAATAAATAAGATGTCAAGTGTTTCTTTTCAATATTTAAGTTCCAAAAATATTGTATAAGACGAAATTTTACGGAATTTTAGACTGCGAATCACGCGCGATTCGCGCCGATAATTGAAAAGTAAATGAGCCGAATAAAATTAGATTTATATAATAAACGAAAGCCCAGGTTACGGCTAAGCCGAACTTCTCCTCGTATTAAAATTATTAAAGCGGAATTAATTACTCCGCATATTATAATAAATATTAATAACCTTTAATTATTAATAACCTGCGTTAATTTCTTCTTCTATAGTGCCGGACTCGAAGAAGGCCGCAACGCCACGTAAAGCGGCTTCCTCCTCCGGTAGTTCTCCGGGAAAAACGGCGAAGAAGACTTCGGACCAGAAGAGGGTCGCGGCGGACGATAAGAAAAAAGGTAAAGAGAGGGGTAAGGAGGAAAGGAGCAAAGTGCCGTCGAAGGATGACTCCTTTCGCGAATTTCGACGGGTATGCAGCAACGTCGCCGACGTCGACGCTTACACCGACAAGACTGCGATTGTCAAGAGGATGTTCACGGGAGGATCGCTCGGCGGTGAGTACTTCTGTGTACCTCTCTTTCTCGTTATACCAACAAGATCAAGAAATACAATGCTAGTATTATTATTCATGTCTCGCATAAACGATCGAACGAACGACTGCTTAGATGGATATTAGAAGGAAATTCTAGTCGAGTATTCTCGACGAGAGAGAAATTATTTATTTGTCATTTTTGCATTATGTTATATTATCTGATATTATCTGTACGTATTGGATATTACAAATTATTATTGCTCTCCAATGTGAAAAGTCGAAAATATTTTCGACGAGAGAGAAATTATTTATTTACGTCATTTCTGCGTCATGTTTTATTATCTAATATTACGTGCACGTATTGGAAATTAAAATTATTATTACTCTCTAATGTGAAAAGGAATGATCCCTCAAGTAGACTATTTATGACGTTTAAAAAAAACGTTTATATTTTTGTATAAAGACTGGTGTTAAATAGACGTCATTAAGTTGGCGTTAAAATTATACATGTTTATTGCACGATTTTTAAACGTTTGTTAAACGCATTTTGAACATAACCGCGTTGCTTGAGCCGCCATAAAAAATTAAAGGATCCGAGGATTTGGATTAAATTCTTTCTGGACGAGTTGTAGTTTTGCTAAACTGCAACTTCGAGGATCGAGAGAATCTTTCAGGAGATTCTCAAGAATATCCGATCATTTTCGATCGGGGCGGGCGAGGTGCAACACTTAATCTGCACGCATTTCATATTATTCGGCACACTCGGTAAAATAAGGCTGCGATAAACTTTGCGAGATCAGGGATTCGGTGTTTCGGTGACCTCGATAAACCGGCGGAAGCACACTGCAAATTGGCAAATCGTCTCTCGGTTCTAATCGCGAGCGTTTCTCGAAACTTGCGACCTCGCGCAAACTTGGCCTGTAACAAAATCGCGGATTGGATTGTCTCCTCCTACTCTCGCGACGGGGGATTCGCGTTCCATTATTGTGTTATCGTTATTGTGCGCTCCTTTCTTAATATGTGCCGAGGAGAATGAATAAATCCGCGTGAATAAATCCCTCCGGACGGACGGTGAGTGCCTTATTAATCAGGAATCCTTATGATATTTTCACGAGGGTATCGAGAAGCGGAGGTGTTTATTAACGACTTATCCTGCCGTTAAAAGACGTGATCCTCGCGCGGAGAGGAAGATTTCTGAAAAATGTATGCTTCATTGCGACGTGACGGACACGGTGCGATTAGACAAACAAACTTGTAAACGGATAAACAACATTTCTGCGCAGTTCTTCTTGGAACAGTTTTAAACGCGTAAATAGAAAACGTGTTACATATAGATAGTTCAATCTAGATGATATGCGTTGCTTTTTTTTTAAACATTATTATGGAGAATACAAAAATTATCTTTTGATTCTTTTAAGTTCAACATTTTTTTTTTAAATAAAACTTCAAGGATATGAGATACTAATTGTAAACTTTATTCGAAATTAATAATAATATTTTTTTCTTAACTGGATTTGTATTTTAATATATCTATATAAAAATCTGTATACAAAGATGTGCGAGTTTTCCAAGTTTCCGTGAATTAAAAATTCTTTCCAAATTCGCGGTACGGCGGTAAACGCGATGGCACCGACTCTGCTGGCCGTATTATACTTATCGCGACTTATCGCATGATATAAGGCACAAATTTGCGACTTCGACCGGAAATGCGAGTTACAGTTGGAGCGTGATCCCGCGATAGCGGTATCGGATTTATTTTCGGGCAAAAACGCGGATCTCTTTCGAAATCACCCACGCACAAAACACACGCACATAACACCCTTCTTTCATCATGTTACTCGTTACGAAACAAAAGTGACTTCGCTCGTCTTATACGGTCCGTCAAAAGTTGTATTCATTCAATTAATTCAAATACCCATTGCGAAACATTAAAGATATCTTATAAAAAATAATAACGGTAAACAAATAAAAAATACTAACAATAAGTACCTGAGAAGATTTCAAAATTTTTAGATTTTTTCTTTTCTTGGCACTATAATTTTTCTCGTTGAACGAAAAAAAAATAGAAAACCGTATTGTGTTGCGTTGTTTTTTTGTATTATGTTGCAATTTTAATTAGGAAAATATCACGAAATTATCTGCCGCGTTTGAGTGAAAGGTTTGATCAGTTTATCATCAATGACTGGCGAGAATCGTACTGAAGACGCACCTATCGAAATATGCAGTCTTAATTTGTACTAAATAAAGCTCCTGCAGCGGTATTGCGCAAAGTACTCTCCCCACCCACGCTTATACATCTTATTTTTATTCCTTATTTCCTTTCTCCCTACCGCGCTTTACATTTCTATTATGCCCTGTACCTACGCTTACACATATTGTTCTCATATTTAATAGTGGATAGGGAAAGTACTAGATACTTTGCGCAATACTGCTACAAGAAGCTATGTTTGATACAATTTTCAATATCCGATATCTATATAATATGATATCTCTGGCCAAGGGCATAATAGAGTTGTAAAGCGCGATAGGGAGAAAGAAAAGATGAGAATAAGATGTGTAAGCGTGGGTGGGCAGAGTACTTGGCGCAATACTGCTGCAAGGAGCTTCAATTGATATAAATTCTGATAGATGCGTCTTCGGTATACGATTATCGCCAGTTATTGATGATAAACTTGTCAAACCCCCAATTAAACGCGGCAGATAATTTCGTAATATTTTCCTAATTAATTAAAATTATTGTTCCCCTCGTCAATGAGAAAGATTACAAATTGTAAAAAGAAGCTTAAAGAGAAACGCTTCGGCAGGATATCGCTCGTATATATAATCTGTTATGCGCGATACGTCCTCCTCCCTCGCTTGTGCTTCTCGCGAATTGCTCCCGCTTTACCCAACAAATAGAGAAAGAGAGATAGAGAGAGAGAGAGAGAGAGAGAGAGAGGCGGAGGCAGGACATGACTCGCGCGCGAGGCAGAGGAATAAACCAGGCTGAGTGTGAGTCACAGGGCCTCCGTACGTCGTATAGGTCGCTATACGTTACGCGACCTACGGCGGCGAAGACGAAGACGAAGAGGAGGAAAGAAAAGGCAAAAACGAGGGCGCGAAGGCGAGAGTGCGAGCGAGTGAGAACCGACGCAGAATATTTAACCGGATCCCCATCAATGGGGATAATATATCGATGAGCTCGCGGCGCGGCGCGGCGCGACGCGGCACGGACGCTTTTCTCTCCTTCGCGTAAACACCGCGAGGTCTATCTTCTCGTCTCCTCCGGTCGCCCCTTTCCCCCACTGCCACCGCCCCCGAAACTCCTCCGCCTTTTGCGCGTTTTGCTCCATTTCTCATTCCATTGCCAGATCCTCTTCGCCTGCGCTATCGCGCTTCCCTTCCTCGCGAGGAGAAACCTCGCCTTCTTTTTGATTCCTCTCTCTCTCTCTCTCTCTCTCTCTCTCTCTCTCTCTCTCTCTGCTCTGCTCTGCTCTGCTCTGCTCTCCCCCTCCCTCCCTCCCGCCCTCTCTCTTTTCCTCCCTCTTTCACGCTTTTCTCGGTGGCGAAGGGGCGAGACCCCGGGAGAGAACGGCGGCGGTTAATAAATATGATACCGGAATCGGATACAAGGAAACCATTAATCACCCAACGCGGGCGCGCGAACGGGAGACCCGGGGCACCGCGGTTAGCGCGAGGGCCGCTGCGCTAACTGAGTGGAAGATTTTTAAACCGGGGTTATCTGCGGCCGGACGAAAGGAAAGAAGAGAGAGAGGCCGCGCGAAACTCATCGTCCCCAAAGCGCTCGTCGCCGAGTCGCGTTTCCGCGGGAGAGGCTCCGCGCCGCGCCGCGCCGCGCGAAACGTATGCCAGCCCTCTCCCTCTTTCGCGCGGGGGACGTCCGTTCCCTTTCGGGACGGGCTGTATATCGCACTCGCGAAGTTTCGGCCCGGATGTTACATCGTGAGAAACGGCCGACACGACATACGCGTGACTGGGGCAATTTTTCATACGAGTAACGAACGATGAGAGAGAAATGAAGCTTCAGTCGTTGATTATAGAAACTATTTTCTTAAATATCTATTGTCGAACGCACAAATATATAATATTGAATACGTAAATATTGATAATTTTTAAAATAAAAAGTCTTATCAAAGGATTATCATATTTTCGAATAAAAACTTTATGAGTTTACCTCGAATGAATGCAGTGAATATTTCAATAAACTTCGTGTTTAAAACTTTTATTATTTTAGTTTAAATTATTAACTCTGAACGCGCGTTTTACATTAATTAACCGCAATTATTCAATTTTTATTAAATTTTCAATTTTTTATTAAAATATCCAATTTTTATTGAATAATTTATTTAAAAATTCAATGAATGTTGAATAAACTTATTTATTAATTTTTATTTTCTTAGAGCTTACAGCTTCTTCAGTAAACAATCCTTTTTCGCGCAAGATACCGCGAAATTGGATTTTATCCGGATTCTTTAACTTTGACTCTGTCGGAATTTATCGTGTTAACAAGTAGCATTTTTCGTGAAAATCACGGTATCGCGGGATTTGTTTTCAAGCTGTCCGTTGTCTCAGTTTTTCGCGTCTCATCGCGAGCGGATGATTTTCACGAAGAGTAATACTCACTGTCGCTGTCGCAAGGGGTTGACGAGATTCTTCACACGTAGCCAATAATATCGGTCCTCACGAAGAGGTTCCCCGCTTCTCCCGCTTCTCTCCGAACCTCCCTCGGGTGCTGCGATGAGATCCGCACGGGGCTCGATGAGATCCGCAGCACGCACGCACAACGGAAAGAAAGATCGGCCGCCTTATATAAGCCTCGTCCTTATATACACCGTCCGATTCGCGGGTGATCGCGATTACTTTAAGTCATCCAAGAAAGCATCCACACGCGTTTCTCGTTTGGGATACTTTCGCGGTATCTCTCTATCTGCCTATCTCTCTCTCTCTCTCTCTCTCTTTCGCCTCGCGCTCTCCTCGTCTTTTCGCGATACTTCTCGAATGATCTCACTCGCCCCGCGGTTTTGCGAACTTACTATCGATTCTCGGTTCTCTCGCGCGGCGGGCAATCATCGTGTCTTATAAGCACTCGGACGGTCCCCACCTCCTCTAATCGCGCGGGGGGAGCCGCCGCTGCTTCTTCTTCTTCTTCTTCCTCTCCCGCGCGGAACGCGCGCCGCGACGACGACGGCGGCGGCGGCGAGCCGAGCCCCCTTCTCGCGTTAGCCAGCTTGGCTCCAGACTATCGTCTCCTCTCTCACCCTCGTGTTCCTCCTTTATCGCCCTCCTCCTCTCCTGTTCGCGTTCTCTTCTCCTTCTCCTCCCTCGTTTCCGTCGCCGTCTTCCCGCGAGACAGAGAGTCCGCGGGCTCTTTATCTCCCGCGCCTGATTCCGCCCCGGGCCGGGCATTCCTCGTCGCCCGTTGTTCGCCGGCGCGGCGCGGCTTGAATTTTTTTTCTTCGCGCGACCGCGCATTCTCGGCGTAATTACGATATCCATTCGTGATAGAAATTACGATGTTTACAATATGTGTAGACGCGGTATTACGACATTTCCGGACACCAACGCGGCTAGGCGAAAGAGGAGAGATGAAAGGGGTAGGGGCGGGAGGGAGTTTGCTATCGCAGGCGCGGATTCTTTTACCAAACAACGAGGACTTCAATTTGTTTGTAACTTTGGAATTGTATACACTCTCATTTTTGTCCGTGCGATTATTTTTTTTCCTTTTTGTACACATACTTCTCGGAACTTATATTTTAAGAAGTTGAAGACGTGTGCTCTCAGAAATTAAAAGAACTTATATATATATACAAATACCTATAAATACTTTTTGTAGTTCATCGAAATTTCATGCAGCTCGCATGACAAAGTAATCCCTCGTAAAAAAAGAGACGTATGTAATTTTTTTTTAATAGTATGCGGGAAAAATTAATGGAAAAATTAAATTTAAGGAAAATATGCGGATTTTTTAAAAATTTATATGTATATAAAATTAATATCTTTATATTGTATGGACACTATACGTTTGGATATTTTCAGTCTTCTTTTCTGTATTATTATTTTTTACTCAGAAATCTTAATTTTTAATCAGTCATAAAATTAATTTTTATTTTATAACTATTATTATATATTTATAAAGGAGCATGTCTCAAATTGGAAAGATTTTGTGATACAAAACCAATCGTCGCGAAACTTGACACAGATATAGTACGAGATAAGATATGAAGAAATTTAACTAAAATCGAATGGTTAAATGAGTGGATCTTGATAAAAAAAAACCGGTGGCAACAATACCCATTTGTCACTCGTACAATTTTACCTTGACAATAGAATAACATTGTTCGTGAATATTCTTTCACAAATATTCTTGTGGCATCTTTGCTGGCTACATAAAAATGAGGAATGTGCCTCTCTTATTCGATAAAACTGGACGATTAGTAGTGGTAAGGTCTTATCCATTTCTTTGTCGTTGTTCATTTCCGCATAATCAGCAGTATCTTCTTCTTGCTCATCCACTATCTTCGATCAATTAATCGTAATTGTCGAAGATATCAGGTTTGTTATCGACCACATGTTTCTCCTGACTGAACAATTCTTCGAAGTCGTCAATATTAAAGAGTCGTTTAATAGTTGCCGACGATAAAATACCACCCAATGGAGAAAATGTGGGCACAGCATCCAATTGTTCGGCTGTCTCGTCACACATTCATTCATATGCTTGCCCAATTATCAACAGTTATTTAGTAGGTCAATGAACATTCCCGCCACATGACCCATCAGACCACCCATTTTCTGGCATGATGATATCAAATTGCGTGGTGATATCATATGACATTTCATTAATGTCTTACTCAGATGTCATTGAGACGTTATTTGACGTTCATCTTGCTATTTGGGCAGGAAGTAGGAACCGCTCGTTTAATTATTCAGTTTTGGTTAGATTTTTCATGTTTTATCTCATATTAGTTTTATGATGATTGATTTTGTACCACAAAATTTTTTCATATATATACTTGTTGGCGCGTATTTCATAATATAATTTTGTATTTAGAAAATTTAGAAAATCTTAAAGGTTTTAATTTCCTTCCGTCTGAAAACGTATGTGAAATAAATCTATTTTGCAATAAAATAATTACATGGAAGATTCACGAAGGGGGCAAAAAAAAATCGTAACGTAACATTCTCTGAAGCGAATTATAAAGAGTTATTTGAGAGACACGTGTAACGATATATAAAGTAGTTTGCTGAGAAATAAGATATATGACACTCTCGAGGATTTTTTTTTCTGACGTTGCAACGACGTTTCGATGAACGAAAGTGTCGTTTCATTGCTGACGCGTCGAAGCGCGTGCGCGCGCGGGCCGGGGTTAATTTCTCGACGGTCGAAACGACGGAGAAGTGTATAACGCGGATCAATTTATCTTCCGCTCTCTTCGGCATATTCGCGCAACGCCATACGTCAACCTGACGCAATCGTGGCGGCGAAAAAAATCATCGCCAGAGAACGAGAGGGGAGAAAAGTGCGCGATGAAAGAAAGAGGTAGAAGAGAGCTCCCGTATCACGTGGAACGATACACGCGCGCGATAATGCGCGTGTTTCGGAGCCGATGATTGCGATAGGCGATAACGAGCGGGTGTCGGGTCGCGCGGTGTTGGATGCGATCGATCAACCCGGCGGGCGCCTACGCGCGCGATCCGCGCGATTAGTCGCGCTTTCTGATTGCAATTTGTCGCGGCGCGCGGCGACGCGGGGCCATATTTCACCGGGAGGATCAAAGCAAAAGCCCACGCGCCGCGACGGGGCGGGATGAGGTACGAGAGATACCTAAACCACCGGTTTAGCCTAGCAGGCGGAATAGAGCCGTCCGCGCGCGGAATTCGGCGCTCCGGCATGGCACCCCGGATAGGATTCCGGCCCCTCTATTCTTAGGCACCATTATTTACGAATCGCCGTGGCTCTCGATCATCTCATCTCTCCCGATCCCCTTCTTGCCTCCCGGCGGGAGAGACGCGCGCGCGAGAAAGAGTGACGGAATCGCAATCCCGTGGAGGAATTTACCGCCGTCGCGCGTCTCAAAGGCCCGCGGCCCCCCGGAGGATCGCCCCGTCCCGTTTGCGTTTGATAGCGCGCGCGGTTAATGGAACATGTGCGACGGCGAGACAGGCGACTCTGAAAGCCGCGCCGTTTTAACTTTGTGCTCAAAATCCCGCCCGCTGGCCGGCGGCTCTATTTTCGCCGATGATGAAGGAGAGATTCCGCGGATGGGCGCGAATTCTAAACGCGCGCGTCACGCGGCCCCGGTACTTCTCCGCGCCCTGGTGCGGTGCTTCGCACTCGGTTTATCGTTCCTCGTCGAGGGGAAGATATATTAGCTTCTCTATACTCTGGTACGCGAGTTTCACTCGTACTTCGCCGGTGCAGATCGAGAGCGCTTGGTTACAATCGCGTGCACTTTTGCAACAAATACCGTGCCTCGGCGGCAATCTTGCGCCCGAAATTGCGACCGCGTTACGCATAAGTATCTGAGAGAGGAAAGAGGGAGAAACAGAATTCTCCACGCTCGCGTAGAATCCTAATATTTTTTATCAGTGTCAAACTTAAAAGATTGTCAAAAGGTTTCATATTTTCAATACTCCTTTATTGATGTTCAATGGGAAACATTAAGCACAGTAAAGAAAAAAAAAAAAGATTTTCGTAATTATATTAAATATTTTACTAACAGTCATTAGGTTTTCATTATTATTAAATACCACTTATAAATCGTTACCACTATATTATCCATGATCCCGACGGAAAATTTGTACATTGTGTTTGTTGAAAATTACAATTTTGATATTTTTTATTGACATTAAATATACAAAAACATTGTCTTCGTTAAAAAATTTATAATACTCTTTTATTGATGTCTAATTGATGTCTGTGCGTAAAACATAAGCATAATAAATAAAAAAATGAAGTTTTTAAAAATAAAGTAAAATAAGCAATTTATATATTACTACGCAATTGCATTTTTATTATTATTAAATATCATTTGTGAATCGTTTATTATATTATTATTGAAGTTAACGTTAATAGTAACGACGTAGAAGCGATCCTATGACAAATAGATTGCAAAATTGTAAAATAGCGAATGGTTAGTCACGCGATTTCGAAATAATTATCGCTTGCAAATTGCAAATCTTCGAGAGATAAAGTAAACGTTTGATGGGACGAAATTAATCGAATTCGCAATTTTTTAAAAATTACTTTTTCAGTTACGCAATATTTATCTTTTCTTTTTTTCTCTTTCTTAACCGCGCGTGCACGCGGATTGATGCAACCGAGCTTTCTTTCCATCAGGTTTATCGGATAATCGCGTCTTTTTTAATTAACTTCATTCTTGTCATCCTGCACATGGTTCTTTAAAATTGTTATAAAGCGCAGATAAAAGTATCGAGCGTGCACGAACGAGAAATTTTGTCTTAATTGCGTGCTTAATCGTCGAAGGCCAATTTCAAACTGATAAAGAGTTTCTGGTGTCCTGATTTTTTTCTTTAAAAACAGTTTTTTATCTTTAAAAAAATTGCCTCGTGTCATCGCAAATTTAATAACTGATCTATGAAATTCGTAAAATATATATACAACAATAATAAATAAATTTAAATATAATAATGTTAGTCATTTACAATAAAATTCCTTTTGATGGACAATCAATTAAGTAGCACAGAAAGATGTTCTTGTTTGACAACCGAAGACGAAACGTTGCCAATTTTATGAAAAACGAAAGAAAGAGACGTTGAAAGTATCGCGAATATCGCGAGCAATCGTGAATAAATACAAAGTTCGAGGAAGAATAATAACAACGATATTTACGCGCATGCAGATTTTCTTTTCTTTCTCTTTTCATTTCGTTCGTTCTGTAGACGGTTTTAAGAGCGACATCGTGCTCTGGTGCAAGCTGCTGCTGCCCGGCGCCGTGAAGAGAATTTACAATCTGCAGAGCAAGCAGCTGATAAAGTTGTTCGCACGGCTGCTGCTCCAGGACGAGGACGCGATGCTGGAACATCTGGAGCAAGGCGACGTGGCCGAGACGATCAGCGTGTTCTTTGAAAATAGCGCCGCCGCGTCGCCTTGCGCCGCGAGCGTATTGACGATCCAAGACGTAAGTCAGCGCGAATCTTTCGCGAATTTTTTTTCGAGGACGGGGAGAAATCACGCGGTGAGAAAAACGCGGCGAACCAAATGAACGAAATTAAATAAATTGCCGGTCCAATTAAAAATAATTTCTCTCACCGGTTTCACGTTAAGAAAAGAACATTCCCGCAGAGAGGAAGGTTTCTCCGCGGATGAAGAATTTACTTCATTATATCGTGATGGACGTACAGCGAATAGACAAAGTTCTTGCGCAATCTCCTTTTCTTGGAATAATTTTAAATGCGCAAATAAAAACATATATATTGACACAAAATTATTGCTACGCAATAATTTTACGCGCAAATAAAGGAGATATTGTTATAAAATTTATATCACTATATTGTTTTTATCTGCATTAACATACACAGGGTTCAAGCCGTGTATGAATAAAGTGTGTTACAAGTGTTATTTAATTCCTTTTATTCGGTTCTCCGCGGTTTTTCTCTGTAATTAATTTTATCATTACAATGTGCAGAATGAAAATAATAGAAAAGTTAGCCATTATTTTAAAAAATTGGATTAGAAACGCGGGTTTAATATAAAGTATTGAAACTTTAATTAAAAACGGTCTCTCCGTCTATTTATTATAATTCCCGTCTGTAATAGAAATTAATTGGATAATTTTGAGATAATAAAAGACAATGATATCTTAAATTGTATAATATTTATGGAAAAAAGAATACAAATACGCGCAGAATGATCCACCGAAGTCTCATATCTTCATTAATTAAACGAGCTTTGTCGAATAGGTTGATCTCTTTTTGGAAAACCTGTCGCGTTTGACCAAGGAGGAGGAGCAGATCCAGCATTTTCGATCTATCCTTAATAAGTAAGTTCGTTGATCGGCCCGTTCTTCTCGTTAACTTTCCTGCAGCTGCAGTATATGAGAGGGGAGGTCTTCTCGGAATTTTTATCAATGAAACAAATACGCAAACGCACCGCGATTAACGTTCGCACCGCTTCGATTTTTTCATATTCAATTGATATAAAGTAAACGATATAATTTTATTATCGCTACCCAACTTTCTTTGCCATTAATTAACGCCCACTTATCCGTTTTCATACCCAATTGGTATATATTATAAAATAACGATGAAATTTTATCGTCGCGTTAATTGCCAAAATCTTGCGTTTGGAGTTTCAACGGCTTTATGCAGTTTATCGTATTTATTAACGTTAATGAATACTTGTCATTGCATATTTCTTCTTCAAAATTTCATTCGTTTCGAATTATCGCTCGCCTGCTCTTTTAACACGAAAAAAAGAAATACACACGCGTAAGCGACGTTCGCAGCTGAACGGTTAAACGACTATCTTTTTCTTTTTACTGCATTATTTTCACGTTTACTCGAACACTCGATATAAAATTTTAGATGTACCGCCAACGATCTGAAGATGATTGTGCGTCTGATCAAGCACGATCTGAGGATCAACGCCGGACCGAAACACATGTGAGTGCGCGCGCGTGTTCAGTTGTCCTTTTTTGAGGTTTTAAAATCAATTCGAGGATTATGATTAAAATAATTTATATACCTACATTCGCGTTGTACATTCAGCCTCGAGGGAGTCCACCCGGACGCGTACAAGGCCTTCCAGATGTCCCGAGATCTGGATGCGGTCGTGCGACGCTTCCTGCCGAACCAGGAGGAAAAACCGTGCACCTCAGGCTCGCCTTCGAGTCGAAATAAAGTGGCCATCTCGCTGATGACGCCGGTTTTACCGATGCTGGTATAGCGAAATAAATTCCCGAGAGTAGTCTTTTAATAATTTATATATCTATATAATTAATAACTTTAATTTACTATACATGATATCAATACTTATTTACATACAAATTTTGTTCAAATTAATGTAATTAAATTCTAAATAGATTGTATATTTGCTTGTGATTATTACGAGACATTTGTTTTAAAAATTAAATTATCTTTAGAAAAGCGCGTGATGTTAACATAATCCTTCATGTACACATTAATAAGTTATATATTTGGAAGCTAAATAATCGCGCGCATTGTTATTAACCATTTGTTACAAGTTAATTATCAGCTATAATTGACTAATCAGTCGGATAGGCTTAATTAAGAGGATTAATTAATTAATTAATTAAGGCAGAGGCGTGCACGTCCGTGGAAATGGCGATGCGAAAGTGCCCGAATGGGATGTTGTCGGAGGTCAAGTACGACGGCGAGCGCGTGCAGGTGCACAAAAGCGGAAACGACTTTCGTTACTTCAGCAGATCACTCAAACCAGTCCTGCCACACAAGGTAGAAATGATAATTTGTGAGAACGTCTAAATAATTTGGAAGATAACGTTTTATTATTTAAAAATTGAACGCAACAGATTTATAGTAACAGAAAGTCATAAAATGTGGAAAAAAATGTGATTTCTACGTGAAATTTAACGAAGCCAAAAATATATTTTCGATTTTTAATACGTATAATTTATATACCTATTACTGTGTATAAATAGTTAATTGATTATCACGTCAAATAGTTAACGTTTTCAAGTCGAATTTATATTAAGAAAGTCGAATTTTATTTCCTGGAAAATTATTATAGAGTCGTTGACTTAATTGTTGCGCAATGATTTAATAGAATGCAAGAAATAATGAAATCTAAAAATTAACGAAATCGCACGCATAACAACAAAGTCGCGTTATACGATTCCCGGGATGATAGGCGGCCGATCGAGTGATCTATTTTTTTTCAGGTGAATCTCTTCAAGGATTACATAGCGCAGGCGTTTCCCGACGGTGACGATCTAATCCTCGACTCCGAGGTACTCATGGTCGATAACGAGACCGGGCAACCTTTGCCTTTCGGCACCTTAGGCATTCACAAAGTAAGAGCGATCGGAGCTTTTCGTTCTTCGTCAACAAATCTCTTCATTTTTTCATTTCTCCGATGACTTTTGAACGCAACGTCTTCGCGTTCGTTTCATTCATTATCTTAAATTTTGCGATTGACGAGTTTGTAACAATATTACGTAGTAATATTCTATATAATAATATTTTAAATAATAATAAGATTAACGACATTTCAATATACGTGGTCGAATTTATTTTCAGAAAGCCGAATTCAAAAACGCCAATGTGTGCCTTTTTGTCTTCGACTGCTTGTACTACAACGGCGAGATACTTATTAACAAGTAAATATCGAGTTTTTAAAAGCATATACGAAAATGTATTATAATAATTAACTATAATAGTTTACAAAAAATTTTTATATTACTCTGAAGAGGACAAAGTACTTCTTATAGATTTTTGAATGCTGAAAACATGCATTTTTAACGCCATTTTTAAAAAACCACAATTATTTCGGAAACCTGAAACGTGCCGGTGAAATTTGGTTTGCGACATCAAGTTTTCAGTATTTAAAAATCTAAAAGAACCGCTTGAAAATTCAAAATAATTTTTGGCTATAAATTAACGCTATTTTCTGACGACAGTACATATGCTAAATCTTTTTTTTCTCTCTGTCTCTCTCTTGTCGTGTTAGATCTATGCTGGAGCGCAGGAACATCTTGAAGGACAGAATGACCGAGATACCGAATAGAATTATGCTGTCGGAGGTTCACGAAGTGCATGTAAAGAGACAAAATTTTTAAAAAGAAAAAGCGATAATTTTACCATTTACGGCATCATAGATTACGATTCGCGGTTTCTATACTTTCAGGATCCGCGGGATTTAGCGGGAAGGATTGTTCACGTATTGAAACTGGGTCTCGAGGGTTTGGTTTTGAAGGACATCGACGTACGTATCGATCTAGACGTATAGACTTCTCCGTATTACAGAGATTCCTATATATAGATTATTATTTTTTTAAACAATATTATCAATATAACTAAACAATTAATTGAATAATCGTAGACACAATTTACTTACTTGATTATTCATATAAACGTGTTTCTCTTGTTTTATTTACTTGTAATTTTCGACAGATAAAGTCAGTAATTTCGCGTAAATTTTCTTTTTCGTGGAGGGAGGAGGGGGAGAGACATTTGATGTTTCATTTCTTATCGGAATCTTTCCGCGTTTCCAGAGCAAGTACGAGCCGGGCAAGCGGCACTGGTTGAAGGTAAAAAAGGACTATCTGTGCGGCGGTGCGATGGCTGATAGCGCAGATCTCGTCGTGCTTGGTGCATGGTACGGCACGGGCAACAAAGGTCCGTACGAGTCGCGACGCGGTGCGGTGCGGTGCGAAAGATAATAGAACTCGCAGAGTTGAACTATATAAATGCGACGAATGCACAGCGCGCGATAATTTTTATTAAATAAAATTTCTATTAAATAATCGCGATTGTTTAATTACGTCGAACGAGTCTCGTCCTCATAATAAGAATTAAATAGTCACCGTGTATCTTGCCTTAAAAAAATTTAAATTAGCGAAGCTAACATATCATAGTAACGTGGAGGTAGATATATAACGCAATGAAATCGATAAAACAAAATTTGTACGTCTATAAAGCGAAACTTATTTCAAACGATAGTATTTTGAGATATGTTAGAGAAACGATCTTTCGCACCTGACTCGATCTCGAGGATTGACATTTCTAGATGTATTTTTCTTTTCCTTCTTTTTTTTTAATTCGCAGGCGGTATCATGTCGGTCTTCTTAATGGGCTGCTACGACGAGAGGCGCGACAAGTGGTTAACTGTCACCAAAGTAAATAAAATGTTTAATGAATTTTAAATGTGTCGAGTCAACTTGAATCAGCGAGCGAGAGGGAGTTTCACATCCTCCCCCTGTCGTCGTAGGTACACACGGGACACGACGACGCCACCCTGGCGGAGCTGCAGGATCAGCTCGACATGGTGAAGATCGGCAAGGACGCGGGGAAGCTGCCGGGCTGGTTGGACGCTAAGAAGCCTATGGTGCCGGATTTCGTGGCGAGGGATCCCAAGGTACGTAATCCGGCGAGTCAACAATCGTTGTAAGAACGAAAATTTGATTACTTCAATAATGAGCTGCAGTCTTACGTTGAACTTTTCGACATACAATTTCCAATTTCCCTTTCGTAAGTTATTTTATGACTCGAAGTGTTGACGCTGCGTGTGACATTTTCTTACGAGATAAAGACGATTTAATTAAAACTCTTCGTATTGTAATTATGATTTTCAAAAACACTCTCATTTTGATATATATATATATTTTTTTAAACACTTTCCGCTTTTGACTGATCCTATATTTAAACGATAAATTGACACGATCATTAATTTCTCGTCATTTCCGTTCGGGTCATCATTCGGGTCTCATTTTCAAACCGCAAACTATGGACTCCCCTGTGTAATGCAGAGCTGATACGCCATTAGCCCGCCGTAACCGCTAAATCATTATTTTAACGGGGTGAAATAAACAGAAGCAGCCGGTGTGGGAGATAACGGGCGCCGAGTTCACGAACCAGGGGGTGCACACCGCGGACGGCATCAGCATCCGGTTCCCGCGCGTCACGCGGATCCGCGACGACAAGGACTGGTCGACGGCCACCAGCCTGGACGAGCTGCGCGGTCTCTTCCAGAAGAAGCCCGAGTCCGTCGATTTCGACCGCCTGCTCGGCACGGTGGCGGACGCCGGCACGTCGCCGAGGAAGAAATCGCCCGCGTCCCCGAGGAAGATAGCGAGCGCGAGAACGAGCGCGCGGGACGAGCCGTCGACGAGTTCCAAGGTCAAGGAAGAACCGTCAGACGTCAAGGAGGAAGGCAAGGAGGCACCGGGAGGAGTCCTCAAAAGGCGAAAAGGGGATGAGCGCGACGGAGGATCGTCCGGCAAGGAGGTGAAGAGGTCGAAAGTGAAACGCGAGATTAAGGAGGAAACGAAAGAAGAGCCCTCGTCGGGAGCAAGAGTCAAGACGGAGGGGGGATCGGACTCGGGGACGAATGGGAAGGATCGTCTCGCTGGCGGGACGGAAGGATTCGAGGCCTTCGATTCGGACGCCGAGGATGACGCCGTAAGTGATGACACCGTTTCTTCCTTTAGCCGCGGAGAGAAGTCGTTCCTCGACTTCTAAAAATTTTAACAAGTTTCTGTGTTTCTCCCCGGACAATGTCGCGAATCTCCTTTGTACGCGCCCGTCCTTTCTACTCGCCTTCTTAATTCTCTATTTGCTTAACTAATTAATTAATTAAATTATTAATCTAATTGCTGCGCGCCCGAATAACATTAGCCACGCCGCTCGGCTGATATGTTACTCGCGGGCTCGTTAAACACGTTATACCCCTGCGTACCCTGTTTACTTCGGCTCGCTGCCTGTGTTTGTGCTTGAAAACCGTTTATTTATTTATGTTATACATATACAGAGAGTCGGCTATGTCGCGCGGCGTAGCGCATTAAACTATATATGTATACGCCGTCCGGCGATTTGAGTCCGCGACCGGATTTCTCTGTAATATTTAAGGAAAATAACGTATCTTTTCGCTCTTAATTAATGATACGATGTGCGTTCAGCTGAAGGATTCCTTCAGCTTGTGAAAGAGCAAAGGAAATCGATGGGGAACTGCAGAGACGGGAATGCGCGAGTTCTTCTGTGTGTGAATGGCGGGTATTATGCTCCCGATGCGGACGTGTTTCGCCAACTCGACTGTGTATGAAATGTCCTCCCGCGTGAGGAAGAAGCTATCTCTCGTTCAAAGAGGCGAAGAAAACTATCCTCGATTTTCTTGCTTCTGAAACATCTGTTCTCTCTCACATACACACATATCTCACGTACACACACGGTTATCTGCATCTTTTTATCGAAACGGATGGACGTTATCGGCACTTTTCTGTTTTTATATATATATACTCTTTTTTTTATGCCCTTAGAGGACAGTGATAAATTTTACGTCTCTTCCTCCCGCTGATTTCTCGTAATCTGTCACCAGCAACCGTGGTCTCCTTATCAGAGCGATCTTTCGCAGTGCAAAACTGTTTCCCGCTGCTTGCAATTCGCTATCTCGACTGTTCGCGATGCTGTAACATCAAGCCACCGAAGTCGGTCCCCTCTTCCGTTTATCTTCTTTGTTATCTAACTGTCACTTACCTCGCTATATACGCGTATTTACGCTGTAAGTTCCGTCGCACACGTGTACCACCTTCCGCTCCCTGTGTGCGAAGTTTATTCAATTGAACTCGGCTTCGTGGTTATGTTATGTATTATTCTGGCATGTTAAATTTATTCACATAATTATTATATACCATTATATCATAATTATATAAATATAAACACTTATAAATTATTACATAATGATAATACATGTAACTATTATATATTTTATTATATATATATATATATATATATATATATATATATATAAAACATGTTTTATTATGCATTATATTTTTAATTATTTTTGTGTTTTATTTTATTACATTTTATTATATAATACTTACGTATTTTATATATTGCGTATTACAATATATAAAAAAATATTTATATATTTATCATATATGCATATATTTACGTTTATTTGTCATTTTATATTGTTTTTACTTTTTTCGTAAATTTTTTACGTATTTTATTTATCTTTCTTTTTCTCCATCTTACCATTTATTTTTTTTTTCACGTATTTTTATTATTCCTCTCGGTTACATTAACTCGCCCTCTCCCTGTCTCTCTGCCTACCGCAATTTTTCTTTCAGAAATTCAATAATGTGCTGCAAAACGTGCGGGCGAGCCTCGCGCCTGGTTTCGACGCGGACAGAAAGAGGAACGCGCGAAGGATGCTTAAAACGTATCCTTTCCTTCGTCATTATTTTGATAATTCCCGCGCCGCTACTCTCGCGGCGTAATCACGTTATCTTTACACTCGCATTACATTCGCGATTTTCATAAAAGCCCGATGATTTTATGACGGCCACGCTCGCCCCCGGTAATTTCATAAATTTTTACCACCCCCGGCCTTCCTCTCCTGCCCGCTTTCTCTCCCTCGATCCCCTAATCGATTTTCGAAGTAATGTCGCAATGTCGGCCTCGTATTAACGGGAAAGTTGCATTATCGGAACTTGCAGTGCGCGTTTTCTCTACCCATCTGTGCATGCGCAATAAGCGTGGGGGGGGGGGGGCGATCGTTCCTCGCTATTTAAAAAAAATATATATCATCGTACATTATAAATTATATGTGCGCGTAAATTATTTCGGCGGAAAAGAAAAAGTGAGAGATACAAATTTCAACGGAACCTGAAGAGGCCACTCGAAATCGATGATAAAAAAAATTGACGACACACAAGTTGACACGATTTTCTCAAGAAAATAGATGCAAAGTCAGATTTTCAGAAAAAGAGAGTACTTCGACCTGAAGAAGCCGCTTTTTTAAATCTCGTCGAGCTTTTACCTGCCACTCGGGGCGGAAATATCGCCGTGGGAAATGCTTTGATGCGGTTTTGAGTGCGAAATCTTTAAGCTTTAAAATGCTTCCTCGAAAGAGTTACTCTCATGCTCCGTTTTTCGTGAAAATCGCATAAATTTGTACTTCGTCACTCTCGCCGTTTACGAGATTTGAATTGTTTTTTTTTTTCTTTTTAAAGATATACAAGTTTTAAAGATTTTTCGAAGATTATAATATATTATATAATATATTGCAACTCAATTATATAATAATTATAATAATTGAGACACGGCATGTTGTAAGCTGAAAGCGTTGTAAGTTACTTGAAAGGACGTAATTTACGAACCGTCGGGCGACACAAAACACTCGACTCGACTCGACAACACGGTGCTGGTGCGTATAAATCAGATTCTCGATGGGTTACAATGGCCAGAGACGTCGCGCTGGCTGGCTCGCGTAGGAGCCTAACATCCCGCTGGCCTGGAGATCGTCCGGGGTCGCCCGTCTCACTTCATCTCTCCGGAATCGTCGCTTCGCGACGCGTTTCCGCGCGGCGCGGATTCCCAGGAGCCGCGCTCTCTCTCTCTCTCTCTCTCTCTCTCTCTCTCTCTCTCTCTACGTTCTTACGAAAAAAAAAACACTCCCTTCCCACTTCCTCCCTACTCGCGGGGCGAGTTTGAAGTTATACTGCTAACGTCCCTACGATCTTCCTTGACGACGACGTTGGAAACGTTAGACTCGGCGCCACGATAGTCACGCCGGCGAGCGGACACGACATCACGGCGGCGGCGACCCACGTCATCCACACCCGCGCGGAAATTCCGTCCACGGCCGTCCTCGGGGTAAGTTTGAACTAGTTTAAACGGCATAATGCACACGTGTCCCCCTCGTGAGATTGCGATGCGCGATTGCGCGCGCGGAGGGGCGCGACGGAGGGGGTTAATGCCAGGCGCGGGACCGGCGACGTAGTAAGAAATTCAATTTTTGAGCGCGGGACGGCTCCGAGAAAAATCTGTTGGGTAAACTCTGTAGGGTAAAGATACCCTGCTGGAATAGTCTCATCTCTCTTGTGCGTGAAAATCTGTGGAAGTATTTGAGCCAAACAGCATGGATGTCGTGGCGTAAGTTATAATATATAAGGCGCGACAGATAAATTTTTTAATATGTATGTAAAATATACAATATATATTATAATATTATATTAATATATTACATATTTTTTTATTTTTTATCATTTTTACACTATAACATATCATATTATTTATATATAGGTATAATATGTAATATATTATATATTTTATTATTTACATTATATTGTATATAATCAGTCGGATGTAAATTATAAAATTATATCTTGAGAGTAAAATTTTATCTCTTTCGACACATTCGTTTTCCACCCGCAGTATTTTCACTGAGGGTAGCGCAGAGGGTTTTCTCGTTCGGTCCCAAGCCTGGGGTTCCTCCGCGCGCGATAACGTCCCGCAGATTCATCGTCTAACGGGCCGCCGGGCGGCCTTGCCGCTTTTATTGTCGAAAAATCACGGCGGGAATCCGGCGGCACGGAAATTTAACGCGCGCGCGAGACCGTATGGCGGCGAACGGGGGGAAAAGGAAAGGGGCCGTAACCGGATTAATCGCGGTTAATACCGTGGCCATTACCGCTTCTCCCATCTCGAACGTTCAGCACTTTCCGTTATCCTGGGAAGCCGCGAGTTCGCCGGGGCTCGATTAATCGTCAGCGCCGATTACCGGCGCCGTCGCCGTTAATTTTCCTCCGTTACTTTACGTCGGCGGCGCGCGGCAAACATATGTTTGCGAGTCGCGCGAGCGACGCGATGCGGATTGCGTCGCGATTGTGATTACACCCCGACCTCCGACGAGCTTTCTATTCTTCCGTCACTTTGTCCCTCATTTTTTTTTTATATCGAGTACTTTGTTTATATCCCACCGGCACCTCAATATAACTCACAAGCACTCGTGCTCGCGTCATCGGCGCTGTCGGATTTATCAGAAAGGTTTATTCATTTTATTCGCGCTCTTCTCGTTTATTTAGCGGCGAATGTGGGCGAAAACGAACGGACTCCCTCGATTATTGTGACTTAAAAGTATTTTATTCGATCTGAAATTACTTCGCGCACAACGCGCGGCGGATAATAATTCTCCGAGGCACCTGACACACGCCACCGCCCGGGGAAAAGAGAACGCGAAACGGGTGGAAAGGGCTATTTCCGTAATCGAGGCATTACGTTGATTAAATTCGTTCGAGTCCACTCTTTTTTTTTTTTACTTCGATTCTTGAAGACGAAGACGAAGGAAAGGGAAGACGAGCGAATTTTCCGGCGAGTCTCCGACGATACTCCGCATGCGACCCATTATATACCCTCTGTGTGTGAAACGTTGCTCTCTTTCATTTGCAAGGACTATGCGGTCTTCCCGCGCACCGTCAGGCACGTGAACGTGTCCTGGCTGGAGGAGACCGCGGCGCGGTCGAGGAGGCAGGACGAGATCCAACATGCGGTCCAGCTGGCTGGCGATTACTGCGAGTGTCCGTGCACGCATCGATAACGCAGCGAGTGTATTATACTTACAGGTACACGTACGGTTTGTAATTTATATATACAATTCGATGCTTGCTTTGCGAATATTTTGAAGAGAATTTGTGCAAATCTGTAAAATAAAACAAAGTAAAAATGCCTTCTTTGAAAGCAAACGAAGACAAAAATAAAAGTAAAAGCTTAAGGATAAGAGTAAAAGAAAAGTTAAGGCTCCCGGTCGACAAAATTATCCTCTTGGTTTATCTCTCTTTAATTCTCTTCACCCTATTTCAAGTAAATTTCTACATGCATTTAAGAAGATTTAAGAGGCTTATGTAAAATACACACAGGCAATTTGTACAACACAATGTATACTTCGAAAATGTCTATAATAAAATGAAAGATACAGATTTGTGACAAAGCAAAATAGAAGTGTTTTCTAATAAAAATAAAAATTAATGACCTAAGGAAAAAGGAAAAAGTAAAAGATACTCTTGCTTGATAATGAAATTACCTTCTCAATTTATCTTTATTTTTCTTTCCTTCCTCCCTATTTCAAGTAAATTTCTACATACATTTAAGGAAAATTTGACATACATAAAATGCACAATTTAGATATAACACAATGCATGCTTCGAAAAAATTTCTATAATAAAATATATAAACTTTTTGCAAAGCAAAATGTGTTTTCTGGTGAAAGTGAAAAAACAAAAACCTAAGGCAAAAGAAAAAAGTATAAGGGATACTCTTGCTTGACAATGAAATTACCTTTTTTTATCTTTAATTCTTTTTCCTTCCTCCTCATTTCAAGTAAATTTCTACGTACATTTAAGAAAATTAGACTTACATAAGTAAAACGCAAACACACGCCTTTTATGTACTGTCGTAAGAAATGAAGAAATGAATGAAGTAAGTAAATGTAACGAACGAAAATCTCGCTCGCGTTTGTTCGCGGCGAACGTCTTTTGGAGTCGCTTCTGGAAGACAAAACAATTAGGATATTCTCATTTGAGAATTATTAATTCACGCTGGGAGATTACGAACAACTGGGAGGGGGGAAAGAGGGCGGAGAGAATAACCCGCGCTCTCTCCGTGCCGATTAAGCGAGTTATAAGCAGACCCAATTCGCTAAGTGGCATCTCGACGATTAAACCCACACGCGGGACCGCAAGCAAATTAAATTCTACCGACGGTAGATCGCGATACACCGCGTATATATACGCGTAACGATACGCGCGTTTTCGACGATCTCGTGCGGCGAATAAAATCAAATCGGGCGGGATAGGGGTGAGAAATATCTCTTGCAATCGAGGAGCCACAATTACAACAGTTTAATCATTCATAGAACTCTGTGACGTGTACAGGCGAGACACATTGGCAACAGGCAAAATGAGATTGCGCATATTATAATTAAACATATATATATATCTCTCTCTATATATGTGTATGTGTGTTTATATATATACGTATACATACATATATATATATATATATGTATACATATATGTATATATGTATATCGCGCGATGTGGCGAACAGCGTTAAATTGGTGGCCGGTAGATTTACAACATGAAAGAAGAATTATAGATTTGGCACGTGGTCGTCCGTGATTATCCTCTGATATGTATCCCGCGATTATGCAATCCCACCGCGTCTCCGCGCTTGTCGTTGTAATTTTCATTCGATCCGCGAATCACCGCGTTTGTATTAATTTTTTGCATTCTCTCTCTCTCTCTCTCTCTCTCTTCTTTCTCTCGCTTCGCGCGCTTGCTGTCCCCTCTCGCGAGGGGCGGGGGTGAAGGGGGAAGAGGACGAGGTCCGGAAAGAACAGCCGACGGAAGTGTGTGCGGACTTTCGCAGCTAACAATAAAATCTGGAAAGCTCTAGGATCGAACAATTTGCGAGGGGGTGAGAGGAAGGATTGTTCTCTTTCTTCGTCGTTTTTTCTTTTATTTGCCTTTTCGTTGCGCCGCCGGAAGAATTCGGGAACCGCGCGCACCTACGCGAACGAACGTTGTCGACGAGGTGTTTGGCACGATCGCCGCGGACGACCCTCGGATCCTCGGAACGACGCCCCGCGCGTCGTTTTAACGCAAGAAGAGACCATTTTACGCGCCAATTGTCGATGTTTTTTTTTCTTACACCCTTATCATAATGTCTCTCGTTTGCGCCGATTAATTATTTTCAGCCGATTCGTTCTCGCGATAATTTACTCGACGTCATCGCGCGTTTTAACAAAGAGATTTTGCCTACACAGCGATGTCTATGTTCTTTTTTTTTTTTTCAACACTCCCACTGTTGCGCTTTTTATTTGCGTTGCTTATTTTTCAGCCCGGTGCGCGTTCGCGATATTCTTCGGATTTAGCAAATGTTACCGCCGTCAGGTGCAGAGCGGCAGCGGGTATAGGAGCAGCTCGCGAGGCAGAGTCGATTTCCGGACGAGTTCGCTCGCGCGCGAATTGCACGCTAGACCGCGCGCGCGCACATCGGAGAGGGTGAGCGCGCTTTATTAAAATTCATTAAACCTTTTATTGCATTATCGGTTGTGCTGCAGAGAGAGAGGGGCCCCCCTCCCCCGTCGCCGAAACACATGTTTTCGTGGGTGGCGCGAGAGAGTCGGGTCGTTCCGCGCGGCGCGGCGCGGCGCGTCCGCGACTAAAACGGATTACATTCGCTCTAAATACCTCGGCGGGTAGCAGTCGGGCGGGCGGCTGTTATTTCTCGTACGTCGAATTATATTTCGTTGAACGGATTACGCGCGCTACATCACGCGAAGCGGCGGCCGAGAACGTGCGCGTGCGTCCGCGGCTGTATATATATATATACGTGTACAATTTAACGGCGCGAGGAAGTAATTAATTGTCGTTATCGCTAATAAACAGTGGCCGTTTGTTTTGCAGTCGAATTGCGTTGCGTTTTTCACTTCGCGGGGCTAATTTCCCTCTCGCGCGGATTCCTCGGTGTGTTTTCCTGATAAAACGGCTGGGGGGCAGGCAAGGGGGAAGGGAGGGGAGGGTTCCTGAACTCTTTCCGGCGGTGACGCGCACGTAACGAGATCATCTTTCTCTCTCTCTCTCTCTCTCTCTCTCTCTCTCTCGCCCGGCTTTTCCTCCGTCCTGCCGCGCGCCTATTTACCGAAGCAAGACACCGCGTTGAAGGCGCACTGCTTCCAGTAGTTTCGTTTACGCTGCAGGTCGCCGACGTCCAGCTGATCGCGGAGACGCTTGACGATCTGCTTGGTGAACAGGTAGTTTATCAGGGCCGTCTCGATGCTGCCGTCGTCGTCCACCAGCTGGAACAATCAAAAATTCCGTTGTACACTCTCGTTCTTTCTTTTTCTTTTTTTCGTTTTTTTTTTGCAAGGGGGGGAGGAGGAAGAGAGAGGGGAAGTTAACACGCGCTTTTCCGGATAAGCCGGGACGAGTCGTAACTTAATTTGCGCCTAGTTACGAAAGTCTTTTTTAACGTAAATGTACTGGCGTAATTTATTCCGTTCTGAATGAACGCGCGCTCTCTCGCGAGAATGGACGAGCAATGTAGAAAGGGGGAAATACAATTAAAAGAATAAAATTTGAATCTAGACAGACATCGCGAGAGACACTCTTTCTCTCTTTCTAATCCATCCAGGCTCGTCCTTTTTCTGTCCTTCTTGACTGTAATTGTGCAACACGCAGAGTCTCTTCTATCCGGGAAGAAATGAGTGTTATGTAAATGAGTGTTCTGAAAATTCGCAATCTCGCTCTCGTAATATCCCATTCATCGTCTCGTCTCGTCTCGAGTTATAATTTTAACGCACGGTAAACAAGTTTCAAAACGACAATTCAGATCGGTACTCCCCCTTTCCCTCCCCTCCCCTCGCTCTCGCGCGTGCCGCATTTCGATACGTCACAATTTTAACGTCGATTTCAACGGAGATACGTTATACGCGCATATACATACGTGTGAAACACGATTATCTCGTCTCCCCTCCTGCGCGACCCCGTTAATGTCCCGACGCGCGCGACGGTAAAAAGCGAGAAGCATCCTGCCTGCTCGTGGCGCAATTTACAAGCGAGCGCGAACGCGCTTTTTCGTTAGCGGGGCGTAATGGGGTGTAAATCGCGTCATCGTCGGGGGATGATGATGCCCGGCGGTACGGGCGGCGCGGTGGTGGGGTGGGGTAAACTGTCGTATTTATTGTCGGTGGTTCTGCAGTCGTTTGTACACGGTTCGATTGACATTTATTTTCAGCTTTTCCCGGTGTAGCGACAATATAAAGGGGAGCAGGAAGCGCGCTCCGCGTTTTGTCGCGCAATTGCGTTTCCGCGACATGATTCGCGCGGACGCGTGCGCGCGCGCAGAGCGAGGGTTGATCGAGGGAAATTGGAAATTAACGGCACGCGCGACCCTCCGCGGAGCAGCATCGCGAATTCGATTCCATCGAATCGGGGAGATACGTATGTGTGTGCACAAACGCGGGTGCACGCACGTGATGGACGCAGGTCGCGGCGGCTTTGGATCTCTTCGAGCGAGTTTTATGGTTCGATCTTACCACTTTTGACTGCAATGTCTGATATCTGAATGATACGTGAGTGTCTCTACTCTCTCCGCAAGGATCTCGTCATTGCGCATGACGGTTTTATTTATTCGGTTAAGAATGATTTTAGTTGATATATTTGAGATATGAAAAAATTAATTTAAATTACATCAAGGCAAAGATGAAAACAAAGAGTTAAATTAAAAATGATATGTTTGAGATTTATTAAAAGTAGAATTATTTTATTTATTTCTTTTTTCCTTGGACATATCTGTTTGATATCTGTCAATCACAAAAAGATTTATTATTTCGACCTCCGAGTGAGAATTTTATTTATTTCATCTAATTGTAATCTTTCTCTTTCTCCCAAATTTATAGTAATTTAAAAATATATAATACATATTTTTATTTTTATTTCTAGTAAAGGTAAATTTTTTTTTACAAGGTTTTTTATTATTTTTATTTTTTTTTATTTTTTTTATTACATTATATAAATTTTTATAATAACAGCCGCGCACTTCTCGACTTCAAACAATCTTAAAAATATAAGATCGGATAATGAACCTATCCTTTCAACTAATTGCTTTCTCGCGAAATCGACTGTCGGTCTTTCTTTGAATTATTTATAATGAGTTCTAATCGGCTCCTTCTCTGAAGTTTCGTCGCAGGGACGCACCCCGCGCGCGATCGCGGAAATGAAAGAGCCGACTTAACCGAAGAAACGTTGTGGATTTCCGGGATACCCAAATGATGTGGGGGGGGGGGCGGGGGAAGATGAGCCGCGGGACGTGTGCGAGAGAGCGTAATCCCAACGGTAAATTGTAAGATACTACACGTTGACGAGCTCCATCTCGTCGTGATGTATCGCGCGTGATTTCGTATGGGAAATCTCGAGTCGCTCCTCTCCCTTCCTTTCCCTCACCGTTCCTCCAGCCCTTTTGCGAAATTACCACACTTTATGCAGTTACGTTTATGAGAAAACTTTCGCGGGACGAATTGTTCGCGTGCGCCCGCGCGCGTGTCCCTCAGGGTCTTCGGTTTAAATGTCACACGAGCTGACACAGTTAATGCGCACCTCATGAAAATGTCAAACGAAAATGTCAATCGAAAATCCCGCAAAATCAAACGTGTGACATTCGTGGATTTTTTTAGAAAAATAAAATTCCGTAAAAAAATAAAATTTCAAACATTCATAAAATTAACATATATGTATATTTTTGGCTTTCCAAGCAAAATATTGAGTCTTTGATTAACATTTAAAAAAAAGGTCCCTTTCTCTGCTTTGGAATGCCACATATCCTATAGGCAACACGTTATGTCTAAAACACGTCATGAAAACGTCATAAAGATGTCTTTTAGATATGCATACGGATATGCATGTCAAAAGATATCTTTACGATGCTTTATGACATGTATTAGACATCCGTTATCTAGGATATGTGACAATTTTTTAATATTGTCTGGGATCTTTGTGCACACGATATTACATATTTTTTTCTTGACCTTTAATTTTCTTCAATAATATATGAGACAGGTTTAAACGATTAATAATTAGGATAGGCACTTAGAGTCAATAATGCAGTAATTAGTGCATGGCTAATTTAATTTTTAAATACAATATTCTTTAATACATCGTTGTATTAAAGAATATTGTATTAAAAAATTAAATTTTTTTACCACACACTAGCTAATTACCGCGTTATTGACTCTGAGTGCCCATCCTAATTATTAATTCTTTAATTTTTGCGGCGTCTTATTTTCTTCTGTTTCTTGTATTCTCTCTCTTTCTCCCAGTCTCTATTTCTTCTACTGCGATCTTCTCCTTTAAATCGAACCTCTCAAAACTTACAGATCGACGTTCCGCGCGAATTAGGGGCGATGCGAGATGTGCCGACAAACCGCGAAGGGGCGTTAAATCCACCGCACGCTTGCAAGTTTAACGGGCGCGGGGGAGGGTACCGCAAAAATTCAATTGTCGTCGACGGTTTATCGATTATCGGGATGCGACTCGCGGATTTATTGGCCCCGTCGTCACTTCTCCGCGTTTTCTTGATTGCTTTTCTTCACCTCCTCTCGCAATCATGACTTCTCTTTACTCGACTTGACGTGGTCGCGGCGACAGAATTCCTTGAATGGAGAATGCAGCCCAAAAACACAGAAACGTCTGATCTTCATTTTTGTTTCTCGAAATTTTAGCCCGTCAAAGTAATTTGTTTAATATTCCTGACTCTATTTCGGCACGGCGAAGCATTCCTGCGCCGCAATACCGCGGCGATATATAAAATATTCACAAAGCGAGCGTATATATTCAAATGTATATCGACAAAACCTTGTCTCTCTCTTTTTTCCTCTTGTTTCTTTTTTTTATACGATTTCTTTGCTATTTCCAGCGGGAAAGCGAAACGTGAATCTAAATTACGTCGAACGAGTTATTATATTTTTTATTATTTAACCGCGCGCTCGCGCGCTTACGTTTCGCCCGCTGCTGAAAGACAAACGCGCAACCCCCGCCGCGCGCCGACCGGTTGTCTTTCCCTCTTTCGATACGATACACCGCTCTCTCGAACGTCTCTCCATCCCCGGCATCGACGCGGCCTCCTACGTGGTTCTTCCTGCGTTCTTCCGCTTCTCCTCTCTTTCCTCCCTCTCTCCTTTTCCCTCTTTTCCCCCGCCCTCTCTTCACCGTCTATCTCATTTGCAATTCAGGGACGCGACGCGCAGTTACGCAACGCGCAACGCAATTTCTTCGAACCGTTTATTCCGCGCGTTGCAGATGGGAAGCTGGGAAAAAAGCATCAACGTTTTCATAAAACTTTCCCACCCGCACCCCTTTCTCCGCTCCCTCCCTTCCCCCTCCGTTTCCCCTCACGTATATCGCCGCCGCCGCCGCCGTCATCATCGTCGTCGTCTTGTAACGGAAACGGGACGAAACACAGAGAGGTCGGGATGCTGCAGCGTTAGCGGCACGTGGAAATTCTCCCCCCCCTTCCGTCCTCCCTCCGCTCCGGAGGTTCGCCGGGGAAATCGAATGACAGCGTACCGATTTGCCGAACGAGTTCACGACGCTGCGCCCTTTGACATCTGTCGGTTACGCGACGGTTTCAAGTTTTCGCTCTTCCTACATGTTTCTCTGTCCCTCCTTCCCTCCCTCTCTCTCTCCCATCTGCATTCCAGATCGTCGTTTAACCGTATTTTTATTACGAGCGCGTGGAATTTTCAAATCGAACATGCGGAAATCGCGGAAGGAGGAAACAAATTGCGCAATAACAACTACCCCGAGCACCGCCTCAGGTAGCGGTCGCGACCTTTCACGACGACGACGACGAGTTTTTCTTCCCCTTTCTTTTCGCCAACCTCGCGCCTTTCCTTACCTCCCCCCCCCTCCTCCACCTGCGCCAATTCCTCTTCCTCAAAGTCGCGCGCGGGAAAGTTCAGCGCTTACGCAAAACGCTTGCGCCCGCGTTTTTTCATCTCCCTTCCCGCCCTCCTCATCCTTCCGTCGTCCAGCAGCTTTGACAAACAGGTCATCGGCGTTGAATACCTCATTTTAACTTTAACGTTTGGCAAAGTTGTCGCCGCACCACTCACTGCTGCGAAGCAGCGAGCACCTTAGTTGTCCAGAGAATTTCTCGGGGACCTTTTTAAATTCCGAGGAAAAAAAAACCGTTCACAGAGATTCGATCGACGTGCCCGGCTCGTCGTGGTCGTCGAGTTCCCCGAGGATCTCCGGGGGAGGTTTTTTGCCGGAGAAAATTCGGCTCGCGTCGACCGGACTTGCATCGGTTCCGACCGGTGTCGCGGCAGGAAAGGGAGGGAGGGAGAGAGAGAGAGAGAGAGAGAGAGAGAGAGAGAGAGAGAGAGAGAGAGAGTGCCGCGCGAATTCGTCTGGGCGAACTTCCGCGCCGGATTCGTGACGTAATCGCAGGTTCGCGGCGAGCGGCGATACGTCCGTTTCCGATCGTTTTCCGATCTCGCCCCGTCGCCGGGAGTTCCATTACAAAGCGACGCAGAAAGAGGAAGACGTTTCTGACAGCTGTCAGAGGCGGGGACCCCTCGCCGTGTCCATTTCGCTCGCCCTCCCTTTCATCCTGTTCCCCTATCCCCCTCCACCCTTCCCCCCGTCTATCACCGTCTAGCTGATCCACAAGTCCGGTAGGATCAGAAGTCCTCCGAACGGGGAAAAAATCGCGGACACACTCGCCTTTCTCTCTCGCTTTTTCTCCACCTTTTTTCCTTTAATTCTCTCTCTCTCTCTCTCTCTCTCTTTTCTCTCGTTTTATTTTTCACGTGTCACTAGAGAACGTGTAACTGGAACTTTGACGAGCACTCGAGCGGCCCAGATTTTTTTTCGCACCGTCCGGAGAAATCCACGGTCCTACGATCCGTCGGCGGGCAGGACCAATCGCGAGTACGCTGATCGATTTCGTGAATTTCCGAAATTCGCGGAAGTCGCGACAGTGCGTCGATTCTTCAGTTACATAGAATTAATTTTCCGCGAACGGGAAGAATAAATCCAAAAGCGCGTCTCTCGGGACTTGAAATGTTATGTGTGCGTACTATCTCGCCGTTTTATAAATTTAAAAGCTTCGGAGTTCGCTTTGTTTGTCGAACATTCGGCTTTCCAGCTCTCGATTTTCTCTTTGAAAGGAATTAAAAATGTCACTCATAGATTCGCCAAGTCCTTCCGGCTCGCCTTCAGGGCCACAGAATGTTATAATGTCTCGAAATTAATAGCTTTTTTGTGTATTTTGCGTCCAATTTATTTATGTATTAAGTATAACGCGCGCCACTTTGATAAAAAGGACACAAGTCGAAAATTAATTTTTGAGATGAAAGGAAATTGAATCCGAAATTTTCTAAAATATTTATCTTTAACCTTTTGACCACCGGGTTTTTTTTTTAATTATCAAAACTTTGCTCTAGGAAAAAATAAAAATTAGTATTCCTGAAACAATAAAAGAAAATTTCCTTTCATTATCTCAAAAATACTAATTTTTTACTTGTGTCATATTTTTATCGACGTGACATATTTTCCCAAGTTTTTTCCATGATTTAAAAAAATAATAAAAATAAAAAATGAAGAATAACAAAAAAAAAAAATAAATAGCTTATATTATTTAAATAAATTCAATGTTAAAAAAATAAACCTTGAAACATTAAAATAGAAGGGTAAACGTCACCCGAAAACTTTTTTTTTACTTACGTCCACATTGTTCAAAAATCTGTCTTTGTCTTTGTCGATCGTCGGCATCGCCCCCGAGTATTCCGCCAAGACGAAGAGCATCAACGCCAAAGCAACCGCGCTTCGTATGGACAGCATCGCTCCGCGAATCTGAAAACAAGCGTGAAAATGATCGCGAGTGGCTTGTGTAACTCGATCGCGACAAGAGAGAGTTTCGCATTGTCACAGCGGGAAGCAGGAAGCACCGTTCGGGAATAGTTTTTACTCGTTGACGATGACAAACTATATATTGGTGATCACGCGGCATCCGAAGTTATGTTATAACTTCGCCAAAACGAAAACCGTATCGTCAGTTATATTATTACAGCAACTATTTAATTATTATCGAATTAATTAACGGTATAGAGTATAGCAGCAGTGAATTCGCGCGTGTGTCTGACGGCTCATCTGATGAGTGTGGAAAAAAAATGTAAAAAAATATCAGTAAAGTCACAACAAAATTGTCGTTATATTTTACATTTGTAATTTGTGACTTATATTTTGGGAACACTAAAGATCACCGTCAATCGACACGTTTTATTATTTATTGAAACTTTACATTTGTAATCCATGATACTTAGGTAATTTTGTTTTATGATCGTCTTTTAATATACTTATATATAAGCAATAACTTGACTTATTAGGCCTCAATATCTTTATATTCCTTTATGTTTTTGATTTGAATTCTATTCTTACGAGCCGCAATCTATATCTATTTAAATTTTCGTATTGGTTCGAATTGGGAAATCGCGTTGAAAATACTGCCGCACCTCGACAGCCCCGGCAACGGCTTGACGTCAACGAAACGTTCGATCGACGCGGACATGTGTTTTACGTTTCACGCCTTGTTCCGCATGTCATATACATTATAGGTCTGTGTTTTTACAACGAAATTAGCGTACACCTTTCGGCGTGCTTAGAGCGAAACAGGCTGATGTTTGAAATTTGGCGAAAGCAAGAGAGGGGAAAGTTCTTGTAAGCAGCAGTGAAAAATGAATCTATTATTGCCGATAACGATAAGGTAAAGCCGGCCGTGTCATTTCGAATCGTGGCCGCGGGTAGGATTTGTATTGCGAGTCATCCAATTACTAAGCAGCCAATCGGATTGATTGATCGATGATTTGCAGCTGACAAACCGAATCCAATTCACGTCCATAATGCGTTATAATATGTATGACACGAGCTTAACGGTAATTGGTCCACTAATGGCTTGAAAATCACGATCATAGACGTATGCATCCTTTCTTGTTTTCATTTCCAATTTTTGACATCGCGATTATAAGTAGACTCTGTTATCTCTTATCTTTCCGCGCTATTTCTTCGTCCAGTTCCGATGGCGCATGAACAATACGCCTGGTAACCGTTTGATACCTCCCTATCTAACTCGCGTGCCAAGCGGGCGGTGGATAAATATCCGCGGGATTCTCGTTAAAAAATTCTTCGCAAGAATGGCAGTGGATTCATAAGAATCTTGAAATATGTTTGCGAAAGAGAAATAAAGAGGCGGCGCATGCCGTCTGTTTCCCGCGGTGAAACTGCCCGTCAAGTTGGAAGAAGTTTCAAACTCCGCTGCCACCGATCGGTATTTTAATCGAAGGCCCCCGAGAGCGAATCGAACCGTGTCGGAAATTTCTACAAGAAGTGTACAGCTGCGAAGATCCTTCGCTTCGCGAGGGAGATAATATTTATTCTTGATGAGTTACATTGGGACCTCTCAGAGCTTAAACTTTGCCTTCTAACTTTTATTTGAGCGAGAAATGGATATAGATCATTAAAATTATCAAATATGGATATGCAGTATTTTTTTATTCGTTCTTTTTTTATGTTTCTAAACATAATATTCATATTTTTAAATGATTAAGTAAGATATTTCTAAATGATTAATTAAGAAGAGAAGTAAATGATTAAGTTAATGTTACTAAGCTACGTTCAAGGGGCAAGCGAGGAAAAAAAATTTAAAGAAGATACTGCGACCGATTCTGTATTGATTTCTTGACGCTGCCAATAATTGAGAATTAATTAAAACGAGTAAGACAAGTTTGACAAGTTTAACAAACTTGATAAGCGACTCGCTTACAAGTTTGATTATCTAGTTGCATGATTAATTAATCGGCAAGTTTATGCGCGCGGTATAAGTGGGAAAAATAATATATTAACAAAGAGTAAATAATACGAGCGGGATTCTTTGGAAAAATGTTGCAATCATTTATTTCTACGAAAAGTCGCGTTTCAAAATGTTGCTTGTGTAACCTTTAAAAAATGTCAGACGTTTTTCCAAGAAAAGTTGCGTCCTTCCTTTCAATTAACGCAACGCGCGGTTTTACCAATTCGAGTTTGTATTTAAGCAAACTTTGTCTACGAATTTAACGTACGACGCGCAACCGGAAACCCGATGTTCCTCGCGTCCCAACGGAGGAGGCGTAATGAAAGGTCGGCGAAAGGGGTGAACTCCCACGGACGCGAGGGATACAAATACCATCGGAGGTGGCGGCGTGGCGCGGCGCGGAGCCGAGCGGAGCGAAGCGGGGGGGCGGGCGCGAGTGCTAAATGAAAAACGAAGCCCGCAGTGGTATACAACTCGCCACCGCCGCGGTGGTCCGTTGCACAATCCGCTAATTGGAGGGAACAAACGAGTACGCATTACCGGCCGCACCGTGCGCATCAGATAATTGTTGCGGCCGCGTCGCCGCGCCGCGCCGGCCACCGCCGCGGCGAAGTGACGCGATACGGCATCACAAAGCGCCGCGGCGGCAGTCGCGGTTTACGCTCTTTCTCTCCTCTTTCTTTCTCTCTCTCTCTCTCTCTCGCGAATTTAATTCATTAATTAGAAAAGGTCAATCGCGATTATTCGAGAGAACGGCGATGAAAATCTCGCGTTTGTCGAGCGATACACGTGTACTAATCCCGCTCGATGCCGAAAACACACGATTAATAAAATACGATACACGCGCGCGTTCGAGATTCCGAGAGAAAGAGAGGGGGGAGGGGCGTGACGAGGAGAAAGAGCGGAAAAAACGGAATTTTAAGTTAAGCACGTTGAAAGTTGAAACTTTCGAGTTCACGATGAACGGAAACGTAGAAGAATTCGATCGCGGAAGGACTCTAGAAATTCTTCGACTTTTATCTGACGGAGTTGCAAAATAAAAATACAAAAACTAGATTCTTGCACTTGAACGAATTATTTTAGCAAATATACGAACAATTATAAAAATTGCTAAGACGCCGGAATTCTGAAGTTTTAATCGGGGACGTAAAATAAAATTCGAGTTGTCGAGCGACTTCGGAACGCTCCTCCCATCTTTATTTTTTTGAAAAAATACTGATATCAAATTTATTTAGAGATAACAGAATCTAAATAACAAATATTTTTAAAAATTTGATTAAAAACAGTAAATATCGTACATTGATATCCGATAGCTATTTTATTTTGAGAAGCAGATTTAGCAGATATATTAGACATAGCAGATTCATAATGAAGTTACTGTATAAATTAGGTCAATTTGGTTTCACTGTTAGGCTAATTTATGTACTTTCCCCTATTCGAGATATTATTACAAATTATCACGACATTAAGGACCGACAATAAAAGACCTTTCCAATTCAGTTTTGATGTTCCCGGAACGTTCTACATTGTCGCGGAAGCGATGTTCGCTCATAAACGGACCTTTTCTACTCGTCGCCGCGAGCATGCACGAACACGCGTCCCAATTATAAATCCATTTATTATTATTTTATTACTTGTCATTAACTGGTTTCATCGTTTTATTGTGTCATCTGTTTAACATTTCGAGAGAGAAGATATCTCCTCAGGGGGTGAAATAACACAAATTGGTAACGATTTTTCTAATGATTAACGGCCGTGCGGAAAAGCGCGAATTACAAAAGGATCGACCACGAAAATTACACCGTACACGTTTTCACCGTTTACACGGCTTATTTGTACGGGCTGTGCGCCCTTTTCTCTCCCCGCGAAGCTCGGGGAAAGCTCGGTTTAACGAGAGAGGCGGGCCGCCTCTCTTTCCGCCGTGGTACAACCGTATTATTGCGGAATAAGTAAGGAGGTGGCGCGGAAGAAGATCCAATTTGTCCTCGTCTGTCTGTCCGCCTGACGCGGACGGCGCGAACGGTCAAATTATACCGTGACTTGCAAACGAGGTCGCGAAGAAAAAGGGTAGCGCGGGAGAATTCGACAAGTTCACGCAGTTTTTCTCTCTCGGGACGCGTCTGGATCTCGCGCGATCGTATCTCACGTCGTCGTGCCCTTCGACGAGTGGATGAAAAAATAATGTACGATACGTACTTTCGCGTTTCCTTTTTATTTAATGTTAAAATTCGGTGTTTTAAAACTTCCCCTCATGGACGGAGACTTCCTTATGGAGAGTAGCGAAGCTACTTTCCACACCTATAGAGCTCTCGTGAGTGTGGAATTCCATATCCAGAATTCGGGATATTTAAAAAGATTATTTTAATTTTTGACAAATTTGACGAAATTTTGAATTTGACAAACAACATTTGACTTATAAAGGAAACTATATAAAAAGAAATATAGAAGAACATATGTAAAAAATATATTTCACACGTACAACAAAAGAGAGAATCAAATATATTTGTGTGTAATTGAAAACCACTCTCTCCCCCGCTCGGATGACGTATTCCATACCCAGAAAAGTCAAAAGTCTCCACCTCTGCTTCCTCTCGCAAGGAGCGACGCCCGATCGCGAAAAGACCTCCTCCGCTGACGCCGCGGGGTCGCGCGCGAATGTGCGCTCCACAGAGAGTTTAAAAATGTACGGCCCTCCCCCTATAATTTACTCATTTATTCGTTATTCATCTAGCGTTATTAATTATTCACGTTCCCCAATTGATATGATATAATTATTAGATAATAACGCGCGTCCAGGGTTTATAAATTTGTTTACTGTTGATGTGCGTTCCCAATTTGCATGTAATTTATTTCAGCATAACTGCCCGTTCCCCCCTTGCGCCGGAAGTTTATAGAATTGATTTAATTTACGTTGGCGCAATAATTAGGTTTCTTCGCATTAGGTACCAAAGAGGAAATGTCAACGGCAGGAAGTCGCGCACGGAAAGGGAAATTCGAGAATTCCGATCGTATTATTTAAAATTCCGACGGATTATTTCATCTCTCTCGCTTGTCGCGTTCCTTGTTGCGTTTCTCAAAGGGGCGAATGAATGAATAATCATGGGAGACGATCCCTATTATATGATCGCAATTTTCGGGAAAATGAACGAATGAATGTGGAATAGTGGAAAGGGACCCTTTGATCTCAATTTTCGCAATCTCACGTACGTACGTTTATTGTATGTTATCGTAGAAGTGACGTTCAATCATGAAAATCGTTTTCTATTGACACGTGCGAAACTTCGTTTCGATATTTAAATCTATTTTCTATTCGTATGATTTTATTTTGTTATTCTGCAGGTATCTACTTAATTATTTTCTTCTCTATAGAAAATTTATAATTTATTTAATTTATTATATTTATTTAATTTTTGTATAATCGATCTAATTTATGTCTGAATTGATTTCCTTTACGATAATCGGACCGGAAAATTCTGCAGAGATTCGGAAATTTGTATTTATATAGACTGTTTTGTAGGTTGCCTCTGGTTTCTAATTTAATGAATAAATAAATAATTGTAAAAAAAATTCGTTTTGATTTTAATTTTAAATTAGAGTTCTCAGATTTTGCCATATGTTATCGTAAAAGAAATGTCTGATCAAGAAAGTCCTTTTCTACTGACGCGCGCGAATCTTTCTTTCGATTTTAAAATCTACTTCTTATTTGTATTCTCTTATTCTTTTTTATCCAGTTTACATCTACTTAATTGTTGACTTTCCGCAGAAAATTTACAATTATATAATCGATCTTATTTATGTCTAAATCATTACTTTCTTTTACGATAAAAATGTGAAAATATCGAGTCGAAAATTCAGAAACTTTTATTTATATAGACTGTCTCGCACGATGTCTTTATCGTATTTCTGATTTAATAATTAAAAGAAATTAATTTTTATTTTAATTTTAAATTAGCGATCTCAAATTTTGCCATTCATTATCGTAGAAATAACGGCCAATTATAAAAACCTTTTTTTATTAACGCGCGAGAATCTTCGTTTTGATTTTTTTTCTGCTTTCTATCTGTATTTCATTACTTTTTTTTATCGAGTTTCTACATAATTATGTCCCTAGAAGATTTACAACTACATGATTGATTTAATTTGTGTCTAAATAATTATTTTCCTGCACGAGAATGTGAAAACATCGGGTCGGAAAATTGCGCAGAAATTCGGAAACTTTTATTCTTGTAGACTGTTTTATACAATGTTATTTTTTATTTTATAATTATAAGGAAATTTGTTTTGATTTCAATTTTAAATTAGCGTTCTCGAGTTTTGTCATACATTCATTTATCACAGATGCGTTTGACTATAAACGTTCTTTTCTACTTATGCGATTCTTCGTTTCGAATTTTAAATCTATTTCCTACCCGTAATCCTCCTGAATTCTATCCGCATTTTCTTATTCTTTTTTATCTAGTTTACATCTGTATTCCGAATTTTCTCGAATCTTATTCCATTATTTTTTTTATGTAGAAATCATATCTACGTAATTATTGTCTTTTCTATAGAAGATTTACAACTGTATCGATCTAATTTATATTTAGATAGTTACTTTTCTTCGCAATAAAAACGTATATAAAAAAAAAATACCAGGCCGAAAATCGTCCAAAAATTCGGAAAATCTTATTCGTGCAGACCGTCTCATGCGTGATGTTCTTTCTCGTAGAATAAGTAAAAAAATAATTGTAAAGAAATTCCTCGGTTTCGATTTTAACGCAGAATTATTTTTTTTCGAATTTTATATTTTATCGTATAATGTATGAAAGCGATGTCCGATCATAAAAGTCTTTTTCTACTGACATCACGCGTGTGCGCATCTTACGTTACAATTTCTAAAATTTCCTTTCTTTTTATGTTTCCTATTATATTTCTTTTCATTTATTTTAAGTCAACATACAACGGCTCGAGATTTACGTCCGTATAATCGATGCAATTACTTTCTTCCGCGAAGGGGGACCGTCGGGACGGAAAGCCGGGTCGGGAAGTCGCGCGGGAATTCGGGAAACACAAGCTTATACCTCGTATATAGACTGATGTATCGCCTGATGTGTGTCTCGTGCCCTCGTCCCAGAAGAATGGCACTCGTGAGTAAAGGTCTCTCTCTCTCTTTCTCCCTCTCTTTCTTTCTCACTTTTCGTCTTTTTCTCTCTCCCGATAGCGTCGTTTCGATGTCTCCACGACAGAGTGACCGCCGCTCGGAGCACGCGACCACTTTATACCCCGTTGCCGCGCCGTTGGCGGACGACGGTGGCGGTGGTAACAGAAACCCACCCCTTCTCGCACGAAGCCCACGCACCCTCTCTCTGCACCCCTCCCCCTCTTCCCTCCTCCAGCCCCCCTCTCGCTCGCGCTGTCCCGCGGTAGCGCCCCGTCTCTCGACGTCTCGCCGTTTGCCGGATACATCTAGCTGGCATCCACTCTCTAAATTTTCTGGAGTGAATCTCACTCCAAAAGAGTGAAAAGTTACTCCAGAAAATTTAGAGAGCAGCATTCCACTCCTGGAATTACAGAGCGAGTTATTAAGAGATTTTCGCAGAGCGATCCGCAAAGCTTTACGTTTCGCGTTACTTCTTCCCACCGCAACACCGCGGCGACCATTTTCCCGCCGAGGGCGATTCCGCCGATGACCGTTCGTGTCGTATAAATGCCAAGGGGACCGTCCCGAGGGCAAATTAGGTCGGCGGATACGCGAACGAAATTATACGAGGGAAAATGCCAGGGGGAGAGACACCGGTGTTTTGAGGAAAAGGAACACAAATTATACGGAGATACCGGCGTAAATCTGGTTATTATTTGCTCTCTTTCCCTTCCCCTCTCCCTCTCTTCATTTCTTCCTCTTTCTTTCGCGAGATCCGCGACACACTGAAAAACGTGTTAATCGTTGTCATTCCCTCGGGACCTCGCCTCACCGCGAGCTGTAATCACCACTTCTCGCCTTTACTGTTTCTCCCCCCTTTCTCTCAATCTCCCTCTTTTTTTCCTCCCTCCCTTCCTCCCTCTCTTTCTTTTTGTTTGAAAAAACTCGATTACTCGTATATGACACCATGTTCCGACCTACGTTCGAGGTGTTCCGGGAACAACGGGTGCTCTTTTGATCGCGCAGCTTTTTCGATTTATCCTATACGACGAGCTCTCCATGGTGAGCGAGATTGTCGTGAAAAAAAAAATAAAGGGGTTACAATTCCAATTTAAACATCATCGTTCCACAATGAACAATTTCCGCTTGAAACTTTTCTTTCCCCTCCCCCCTTCTCTTGGAATTCTGCGCACTCGCACATTTTCACTCAAAGTCCGAAAAATAAATAGATGCTCTGTGACACTTTATTTTTCTTTTTGCTCTCTGTTTAAAATTTTATTAATTCCCTCGTTTGTAACATAATAACAACAATAATTTTAATAATAATTTAATTATTATATGTAATAATATATGTGACATATTGAGCGTGAATTTTCCTCAAATTTTTTACTCTGGGAGAACAAAAGCGTCTGTCAAACAAAAGTGTCCGTTGCTGCGCCATCGTATAGGTCGCCCTCGAAAACTTTATCATTATTTATCGCGGCACGTATTGTGTGTGTACTAATTTAATGTGTAATTAATTTCGAAAAATCATTACATATTAAAGATCGTAATCATACATGATATTAAAAATTGAAGAGCTATACTGTTTTCGAAAGGTCTCGGGTATCAATATTGAAATATAATATTGGATTATTAATATTGAAATCAGATAGTACGCGTTTATACTACGAGACGCAGTTAAGGGATCGCTTATTTAGACGCACATAAAAAAGCGATAGAGAATATATAGATCTTGAAGATTTTCCGGTGTAACTTTAAACGCTCCCTCAGTAGACTTTCGTCTATCCGTTTTACCATGTTTTATCATGTTTTACTTCGTACAATTTTTACTTTTGGCTTTATTTACGAAAGCGTTTGAAAAATGGGTCCTCCCGCGGGTCCTCTGAGGATTGCTCAATAGTAGCGCGCGAATCGCTCGCGGCGCTCTTTTCTTCCGCGGCCACGCGGACGGGGGAAGTGCCGGCGAGTGCGCTTCATGCGAAAGTCTCGTACCCATCCGGAGGATCCTTTGAGCGACTATACGCGCGGAGGAACTGCGGCTGCGGTTTGACCGCGTCACTTTTCGCGGTCGCCGCCGCCGTCACGATACCGGAAGGTAGGCTCTCTCTCCTTCCGTCTCTCTCTCTCTCTGTCTCTCTTTCTCTCTCTCTCTCTCTCTCTCTCTCTCTCTCTCTCTCTGTTTCTCTTGTCAGGAATGCGTCTACGCAGAGTCCAGGACTTCGATCGAGGACTGCGCAGGGCAGACTGTTGCACGACGCGTAACTCGTCCTCGCGCGTTAAGGTCTTCGCAATTAAACATATACTTAATTGACTTAAGAGACAAGTAATATTTGTACGAATCCTCATACAAATATTACTTGTACAGGCAGACAAAAATTATGAATTTAGAATTTACAAAATCGAGACACGCTACAAATTTTAAACCACCGAATCTACATGGATTTTTAAATTATATTTGAATATATAGGACGTAGTTTTATCTCAAAGGTAAAAATATTATATAATTTCTAGTTTAATTAATGTGACATATTTATTGAAATTAGCATTTACGGTTTCATTAAAAATGTCACGTGCCTTTTCCGATTAAAGTAATGTAATATATTTGTTGAAATTTGTATTTAAAGACTGAAACAGAGGCAAGTCGAAGCGTCCCGCTTTAATATTGTCAAATTAAATGATATGATTACATTTTAATTTAATCTATTGTTTGCTCGTTTTATTGGCTTCTATTCCCTTTCATTTCTAACTTATTTCTAAATACAAGCCGATACACAATTTTTACTTTGTATATCTATGCTGTTTCGTTAACGTGATTGGAGTCATAATCTTTCGTTGTTTAACATATGGAAGAAAAAATTAAAAAGATCAGGGACGAATTATATAACTGGGGATATTTTTGCAAAGAAATTCCGTCGATTGAACTAACTGCTGATTAAGTTAATCGAAATTTGATTAAAGTCACCAAGTAAAAGAGATCGGATATCATAAAAGAACGAAAAACAGAACAAAGGAAATAGTATTTTTGTGAAAGTGCTTGCTGAGACTTTAATAATAAGTCTTTTATGAAGAATATGAGGAAGCTTGTGAAGATTTACTTCTTCCAATGTCCAGAATACAAGGAAGATATTTACTGAAATATATATGATTATAAAACAACTGTCATACATATATATTGTTGCACCGGTACGTTTCTGGTTGTCGCACGCTTGTATCACACGGTATTTGAGAAGATTCGGATCAAGTTTTAAACGCGAAATGATCGAGAGATGCGAAACCCGAAGAAGATCCAATCTCTTCTCAAATACCGTGTAACACGGGCGTGCGACAACCGGAAATGCACCAATATATACAGATGCCCGCAGGAAAAAAAGATAATTTTCTGGTAAACGATAGTATCGACCATTTTATGCAAAAATACATAGGAATGCGATATTCAACAACAGCCAGTGGCATAACCATCGCTACGGAAGCCGTAAACATACAGCATATCTGCATTCGACATTTATGAATATGTGCAGCATTTTTCAACAACACTTCTAACAACGAGAAAATATTCACAAACAGTGGCGGATACAAGAGCGAAGGAAGCGATCGCCCCACCCCAGAGCTTTCCAAACAAATTTTGTATTGGAAAAAGTCGGTTTTGATTGAATTGAGAAAAAAAAATTATCAGAAATTATTTGAAATTAAATAATGTTCACTCAATTTTTTTATAATAAAAAATATTAAAAATAACATTAACGACAATAATAACTAAATATTTACATTTTATCATACCGCTCCTCCAAAACAACTATCCGCCACTGTCCACGAATCAGACAAAAACTCATTTCGCGTACTTCCGTCCACAAAACGCACGCTATTCTATCCCTATGCGCAAACCGTGGATGGGGTGTATGTACAATGTTACAACAGACGTAAACAATAGTCAGCAGGTGCAATGGCAATATTACACGTTAAATTCAAATTATCTCGGAAACCGTTCGGAATAGGACACATGTTTGAACATTTTTTGCTTAAAATGACCGATACTATCAGCTCCCAGAATATTGGCCTCTTGGGAAACTCCGTATAGAAGAACAAATGATTATTATATTGTAATTGTTACGATTGTGAAGACTATGGCTCTCTACGTAGGAGAGAAAGAAAACGTTTACTGCAATTTTTTTTTATTACAATATAAATGTAAAAGTACACAGTATGAAATACAAAAATAATATAAAGTATACAATATAAAGAGAGGCGAGATTTAACTTCACAGGCTATCTCTTGAATACAAATTAGAGTAACATAAGAATTTACATTTATATTGGTATCATGTTTCAATAAATATGCCTAACTGCGTTTTATTCCCCTATTTTGATTCCCCTGTTCAAACGTCAGAGTAAGGATAAGCAGCGCAGGTAAATGTTACGTGGAAGACGTTTTTTTAAAAGTAAGCAGGTGTCTAATAAAGTCACAGAGAAAAGTAAATTTTGGTTAAATTTAAATATTTTAAATATTTTATGCGTACTTTAACGAAACGAATAATTAATTTGTTCCTTAATTATTATTATTAACTTAAGAACTATATTATAAGATATAAATATAGAACAGTATATTATTATATTGTATTAATTAAAACACGTGAAAGAGAGAGATCTCTTAAAATCCTTTTAAATAAATTCTAAAATTCCTGAATAATGTTAAATTTAACAAAAGGTAAATTTAACTAAAATAAATTAATATGACATATAAAATTAATGAGAAATTTCAATCGATGTCTTGTCTCTCTGGATTATTGGGACTGGGTAGATTACTTGAATAAATTACTGTGCAAACCCACTCTAATTAGCAGTTTCAGCATAGACATCTCGTGCGACACAGATTTGGCTGTCGCTCCAAAATTTATAACGGAAGAATAAGTGACGACGATACAGTAGAGATAATTATTAATGTAACATGTTAGATTTAATTGTGCACGCTTGACTGTAGATGTACGTTTGGGAATCTGCGGCGAATTTTAGAGATGAGAACGAATCGATGATAGTAAATTTTGTTGGACGGTGAGTCACTGTAGGCTAAATCGCCTGTTGCGCCACATTTAACGCAATAGTCTCCAAAACACTTAATTATACATCGACACGAATAACAACTGACATTTCAGTTAAAATACTTTGTGGACTGAAAATGCAAAATTATGCAGCGAAAAAATCGCCGCGACTGGAGATCATGTATAGTAGTTATATTCGCTGTTCGTGAATCGTTGTCCGCTAAAAGTTTTTAGCGAATATTCGATACTAGCAAGATTCTGTTTGCGTAAATCATCTTGAAATTCGTTTATTAACGATTGCACGTTCGCCCTCAGCTTTTTTTTTGTATAAACTTCAATTACTCAATTTCGTGAGATAAACATATACGAACTTTCCGCGGGAACGTTCAACAGTTTGCAATTATTTTGTAATAAGCTAGAGGCGATTTGCAATGCCTGATCTTTTTATTTCAAGCCAAAAACCGATATCGAACTTTTAGGAAGTGATATAAAAATGGGAGAGCGCCGGTCCTCGGGGCCATTCATTGTTGAATACTCGACTCGAAGTTTACATTGACGTTATCGATCCATCTCAGATTCGTTTAAATCCGAACCTCTGAAATTAGAATTCGCTTGTGATATTTTGTTTACGCTGCATTGCATATTGTAATAGATGTTAGCTGTTATTAAACTCAGTATTGAAGTAAAAACAAAAGTAAAAAGAAGAGAGGTACTTAAGTAAATTCTCTTTCCGTTCTAACAATTCGCTCGTTCTCACATTATCGCGGTCGCGAACAATAAAAAAACGCTTGTACATAAAGTTAACGTTTTTTAATTCTTATTTTTAATTCTTTATTTCACGTCGTTGGGATAGGGGGGATTTTTATTAGATGCCGGTGAGCATCAGTATTTATTAAATTGATTCAATTAATCACAATCATGATCAATTTAATAATCGTGATAATACTGTTTGGTTTCAAACCAAGAGCTGTGTTGAATCCGTAAGTCACGGCATGCAGTTCGTGAAACTAGAATGTACACATATAAATTCACATAGAAATATTAGGAGCACCAAGAGCCTGCTATGACCGCAGATGGCCTTTCTATCAATTTAATTAACGTAATTTTATTACAAAATGGAAACAATAGAGGTAATTAAAGAAACAAAATTTTATATATTCCGTTTAAATACATCGCATGTGTTTGCACTGCATAAAATTATAAATGTTATGCAAACTTATAAAATGCAAATAGGATCAACTGAAACAAAATATTGAGAAAAAAAGTTTTTATATTAAGTAATTAAATATCAGGACAGACTGTGGAAGATTACAGACAATTTATGGGAAAACGTCAACACGGTCAAAGCGGATTTTGATGCTCGATAATATTCTAATATGAGAATTTTACAATTTTTGGTTTAAATATTTTATATACTTTCTAATATATTTTCAGAATGTATGTATGCGACTTATGCAAACAAAAATGTGCATGTGATACTATCCGAAGTCTCTCTCTCTCTCTCTCTTTCTCTCTCTCTCTCTCTCTCTCATCCTTGCGAAATCATCCCCTTCAAGGACATGAATAAATTATGATATGAACAAATTATTTTGATCGAATCTTATAATTACTTTTATCCTCAGACAGGTAAAAAAAAAAAAAATATTAATTTAGTATATCTCATTACAAATATTATTTTAATAAATCTTGTATAATATTTATGAGATAAAACAGATAGTGAGATTAAGAAAATAAAATCAACATCAGAATTGTGATACAAATATTAACAAAAAAATACTGACCCAAATAATAATAATTATTTGTTTATATACCAGCAGAAATATAATACGGCAATTTCTGGTGCCTATCATTCCATAAAGCAGGACGTTCTTGTACAGCAGCTATATTAAATTTTTTTCTCTATTGATGCAATTGTAACAGCACTGTTAAGTGCACTACTGTTAACAGTGCTGTTACAATTGCATCAATAGAGAAAAAAATTTAATATAGCTGCTGTACAAGAACGTCCTGCTTTATGGAATGATAGGCACCAGAAATTGCCGTATTTTATTTCTGCTCGGGGACAAAGATTCTTTACCATCACAACGTGTACAAAGTAATTAAAGACAAACTCTGGCAAGATTTGTCTTTCGAGAGAGGAAATCGCTTTCAAATCGGTAAAAACCGATTTATATTGTCCTGCAGGGTGGGATTGGAACCTGAGTCTTTGGCATAGAAATCCGATGCGCCACGATCGCCACGTGAAATTAGAAAGTAAATAAATAGTTCGAAAATAAAAGAGCATTTCTAACAATATATGTAACTATTTTTTAATGCACAGTCATTAATTTAACATTGCTTAAACTGGAAGGCACTTTCTTCAATGATGATGTAGATTCTGAAAATGATAATCTCCATAAAAATCATCTGAAGATTATGAATTAAATAAAGGTTTATATATTTTATATTATAATAATATTGAAAAACTTTAAGCAATTGTGAAGAAATAATTAAAATAAATTCATCTATAAAACAGGCTTATATAATAATAAAGTTAAAAATAAACTTTTTAGGCAAGAAGAAAACTAATAGTACGATTGAAAGAATTGCAAAAGCGTTGAACGTATTCCTTCTTCTCAAATCTGATTAGCAATCACTTTTGCTCATGTTTGAATTAAAAGAAAAGAATGAAATCTCTGGTTTTTAATATTAAATGTGTTTCATATAGAAAAAGGTATAGCTTCACAGGCTATTCAGCTCTTAAATACAAATTGGAATAATAAAAGAATTTACATTTATATTGATATCGTGTTCCAATAAATATACCGAACTGCGTCTTATTCCCCTATTTTGATTGCTTATTCAAACGCCAGAGTAAGGATAAGTAGTGCAGGTAAATGTTACGTGGAAGATGATTTCTTAAAAGTAAGCAGATATCTAATAAAAAATCACAGAGAAAAGTCAATTTTTGCAATAAAAGCGGGTAAATTTTGGCTAAAGTTAAATATTTTACGCGTGCTTTAACGAAAGGAATAACTAATTTGTTCCTTAATTATTATTATTGTATTAATTAAAATAAGTGAGAGAGAGAGAGAGAGAGAGAGAAATATCTCTTAAAATCTTTCTAAATAAATTTTAAAATCCCGCAATACTGGACAATTTAAATATTAAATCTATTGAAAAACACGATTATGAAGACTATTGTCAGTTATGTAAAAGGTGTTTGTATTTCCCTATATATAGAATATTGTTGCACTGCCACCTTGCTGGTCGGAAGAAAAACAATAATAATAGGAAAAGGAATAAATGAGCCGACTTTACACTTGCTTGTATCGGCTTTCATTTCTGCAGGAGGATAATATCCGTCGTTGTGAAAGAAGGAATCGCTCGCTATTAAAGGTGACAACGCAAAGTTGCGTTATTGTGTTATTATCATTTTTTTACAAAGCCAGCATCGTTGGAAAAATTTAATCGATCGTGCACAATTTATACTGAGATATTATAACGGTAAGATATTTAAATTCTCGTTTCTTTCCGTTTTATAAAGAGACACATCGCTACGTGCCGGTCACGATCGCGATGTCAAATCAATTGTTGATATAAAATAAAATTAGTTTTGTGAAAGCTTGATTATGATCGATAGAATGGAGTGGCAAGGCAAAAAAAGCGCGAGCTTGCGAAGTAAGTTCACGGACAGGAATTATCAAACAAAACATTTCTCTGGAAATTTGATCGCAAACGTTTCGCTTAAGAGATATTGACTCTATAAATTGTAGAACTAGGAATAAATTATTAATGTCAAAATAATCTAGGTTTCCTCTTTATTGCTTTACAATAATTAAAATGCAAATATTAAACGTTTTGTTCAAAATGATAGTCCCCCTGACACAAGCATTGCATCTATCGATGAGAGAACGAGTGATGAGGCTAACTGACATTGTCTGTTTTTGCATTGCATAATCGCTTGCATTATTCCCCGTTTTAATTATTGAATATCGTTGACAGGTATTTCATACTTTTTGCTTCAGAGTACCCCACACAAAAATATTTCGACATTATTCATTCTTATAGTTCTGTAACTTGAGAAGTCAAGATTTCTTAAATAAATAATTTACAAACTTCCAGAAGAAAATTTTGTTTTGAGATCCTAATTTATATTTTAAGTTTGGCGTTTAACTCACAATCAGATCTAGAAGCACTCTGTATAATTAAAGATTAGTCAAGTCGTTCCTCTAATCCTCCATTTGAAAACGATGATTCGAAAAGCAAGATTAGATATAATTTTATAAATTTAGATAATGAAATATATATGACTAAAGTTATATATGAATATATAATTTTATATTTGCATTTATTTTAATTTACTAATTGTAAAATTAATTTGAAATAATTGATATTTACATTACAAATAAAAGTAATGAGTTAATATCTATGATTGTCTTTTTTTTAAATATATCTACAAACTTTTTCAACACTTTAAGGGTATTTTATTTACACAACTTAACAATATATACCTCATAAATACATATATCTATTCTCTCACATACATATGAAGTAAAGCAGTCGTTGTGACTTCGGTGCCATGAGCACAAAATCACATCACATGGCGAATATAAAACAATAAAAATATACATAATTTATACAATTGTAGGCCAAAGGTGGTAGAAAAAATTGAAACCGAAAAAATATCCGTATACGTTCCGACATACGATATACGCACGTATACCCACACAAACGTCTTTTGTTTTTTTTTTCTTTACAAACGCATCAAAGTGATGTCCAATGATAATCTCCGTTGGTAGGTACTATTGCTTAGTGTATATATATAGTTGGCCCCTCCTGTTTATGTAATCTTAATATCCTCGCCACGGTTCCCCTATGAGAATTCTTGTACGAAGTCCTAATGCTAATCCACGTAAAATATGACGTAAACAAAGTCTCCATGCTATTTTTTTTCCTCCTTATTACTTATCTTATCCGGTGTACTCACAGAGTTTCACACATTGTATTTACACATTTGGGGGTCAATAAAAGTGAAAAGTTCTCTAACTAAGTTCAAAGCCCGCGCCGGCCTGTATCGCGTATAGGAGTTTCTCGCGCAGGATTTTCTCGTCCGGAAACTCGGGAAGTTTCAGTAAGTTCATACAGGTACTCGAGGTCGGTAAACGGTCCACGGTGCCGGCATGCTGGATGCAGAACGGTGGATCGAGTTCCTGTAAACAGAAGTGCGCCGAATGTCGGTGAAACGATGGTAAAATAAATATCGATGACAATATATGATAAAATAAACGACATGATATATGTGACATGAATAATGATTATCAGGTTATTGATGGCTGATAATTAGATTCTGGGCTGAGATCTACCTTGCAATAATGATTTCGTGAGTAGATCGCTGAGTAGCAAGCATATTTATAACGCACCTTGAATCCTAGAAGAGGTGGCCGGCTGCAGCTGGTGACGAACTTCAGCAGCTGGCTCTTCTGCTGATCGTTGAATTCGTTGACGACTTTCCAGAAGGCGGTGATGGTCGGGTGATCGGGCGCGTATCCGCCGGTATAGTTCGTGTGCAGCATCAGGTCGTTCACGTCCACGGGGATCTGCGCGCCCGAGATGAGTACCTGCAGCTCCTTGTTGTTGAACATCTGCAGCCAGTCGAGCGGCACCACGCTGCCGATTCCCTGCTTGAACGCGAAGCACTGCGCGCGTATCTGCTTGTTCAGCTTGTAATCGGCCATCAGGTGAATGTACTCGATGCGATTGTGATTCGTCACGGGGATATTGGCGCCGCTCGGCTTCAATTCGTCGACCCGCCTCTCGCCCAGCTCGTCGCTGAGCACGGTGAAGTCCAGCCCGAGATCCGCCACGTCGCCCTTGTAACTCTTCAGGTAGAGGAGGTTGCGATACATGATGGGGTCGAGGGACGCCAAGTGGTGCACGTCCACGTCCGACTGGCGGCCGACGATCTTCGACAGGAAGAACTCGGCGAACGGCAGCTCCACCAGAAGATTCTCGTACAGCGCCTTTCCCAGGATCCTGCCGATGAAGTAATAGTGTTTCGGGAAATCGTCAACCAGCAACTGCACCGTGGGATTCGGGTACAGCATGTTGTCCTTGGTGAGCTTGAAGAAGCCGCGATTGGGGTCGAAACTGGTCTTCAGCAGCTCGGACAGGAACTCCCTGAACAGACCGCCACCGTCGACGCCGGCCTCCTCCAGTCCCGCGGTGTTGACCAGCTGCACTCGCATCTTCAACCGCAGCTCCGGCTCGTTTTCCGGCGACAGCTTCTCGAAGGCATCCTCGTAGAGGTAGTTTCGTCTCACGGAGATTTGTATCGACGGACCCTGCATAAAGTGCGCGAGCTCGCCCTGCTGCTCCGCTTTGTCCTTGTAGATCAACGATTGGAACACCACCACGCGATTGTTGAACGGCACGACGAACGGTATCTCGCGCAACAGCGTCAACGTCCGCACTTCCGTCGCCGACAGTGGTGGCCCCTCCTCGAACTCCTCCCTCGTGAACGCCCTCAGATTCTGAAAGGGTACGTAACCGCGTAGCCGGCGTCTGCGGAACGCGAAGTCCTGCGGTTTGTCGATGGGAATGACAACGTTGGACGCGATCCAGTGGCCCTCCGGACAGAACTGCCGCCTCAGATCCCGCGTGTGTAATTGCCGTAGAAGACCCACCGTAACCTATGATATAAATTTACAATGTACATAAGTATAGAAGCAAATTTGTAATAAATATGATTTTTTTTTAAATTTTAATACATAATATTAACTTTTGATTGCAATTACATAAAAATTATAGAAACTTGGATCTTTATGGATTTATGATAAACGTGATATTTCTTTAACAATTTAAATATTTTTAACAATTTTAATATATAATGTTAACACTTTTGATTGCAATTACGGGAAAATGATAGAGACTTGGATCTTTTCGTTAAACAAAAGAATTAACTTGAAATTAATCAGAGGACTAAAAAGCAATACGCGCGCGCGAATATAAAGAACGTGACTGTGCATAAAAATTAAATAATAATAATTGTACTGTTAGAGTTTATAGATTTTAATAGATATCAAGAATCTTGGTGGAACCTTGAACAAGTGCGTCCAGATCTGTGTATCGTGTCGGCACTGAACAGCGGACGCTGGGCCCAGTACGGCGTTTTTGTAGTCGTCGCGCACTGTGGGCCGAGTGTCGGGAAACGCCAGCTCCACCAGACCGAGGCAGACGCCCTTCAGATGACCAGACAGCACCGCCAGCTCCGCGATGGTGAAGGGCATCGCGTGCTGCTGCCGATTGTTGGACATGTGCTCCGCGGAGGTTTGCTCGAGGAAGAACTCGGTGTCGTGCAACGTCGCGATCAGCAGGCTGAACAACGAGCAGAACACCGCGAGCAGCGGGACTATTCTGTCGGTGTCCTCGGCCGAGAGGGCGATTCCGCGCGAAATGATCTGCAGAAGAGACGTGGCGGCACCGCCGCCGAACAACGACGTCTGGCGAATTGACGCCAAGCTGCTCCACAGGTGCTTGAGAAACACCGGCTTGAACGCGAGCATGTAGAGCAGTTTGTACTTTTGAACGGCCAGCTTGTTGGTGATGAGCAGATGATGGCACAACCGGCACAGCGGTTGCAGCAGCACGGGAGGGTCCGACTGGCTCTGCTCGATCGCCGACAGAATGCCGTTCACGCGCTGCTGCTCGTTCAACATCTCGACGCACTGCCGCAGGATGTCGGCCTGCTCCTGATCGGTCACGCTGCCGTTCGATTCGTTGTCCGAATCGTTGTCGGTCTGCTGTCGCTCCGAAACGCTCTGCTCGGCCATTAACGGCACGATGGTCGAGCTCAGAGACGCGAGCACTTGCAGGTAGTTGGTCAGCGCGTCCTCAGATTTGCACCATGCTATCGAAAAAAAAGGATCAAGTGTGAAATTGCAACGTTAATTCACCAAAAACAAATTATAATATTATTCGATATAATAACAGTTTTGATCGCAATTACACAAAAATTATAAAAACTTGGATCTTTTCGTTGAGGAAAAAGGTTAACTCAAAATTAATCAGAGAATTAAAAAGCAATACGCGCGTGTGATACATAAAGAATGTAACTGCATAAAAACTAAATAATAATAATAATTAAATATCAGGATTATGATCTCAATAATAATCATATTGTTAAAGAGTTTAGAGATGTAAATGGATAATATCAGAATATCAGAATTAGTGAAAACCTTGAACAAGTGCGTCCAGACCTGTGTATCGTCGGCATTGAACAGGGGATGTATAAACTTAAATTGCGTATTTTTTCATTACGGTATATAAAAAAAATTATATATAAATTAATAAGCAAACTTTTCGTTTACTCACAGAACTGATTAGACGAGTCCAACGACAGTACACAGTAGAGCAGGTTTATCGTAGAACCCAGTTGAAGTCGATTGATACAGGTGATTAATTGGATATACGGAAAGTCTTTGAATTCGGCCAATGCCGGCACGACAAACATACGAATCGGATCGGACAGTCTGGGCGAGAACACGCTTCTGCACAGCTCCCGCAACACGAGCGTGGAGAAGGTCTCCTTGTGATGCACGTAAGAAATCAAGTCCACGGGCCGTTTGATCATGTCCAACAAGCACTTGGAGATCGGCGTGGGCGCGACCGATGTCACCTCCGCCATCGGCGGCACCTTCTCGTCCAGCAGCTTCCTCAGCTGCTCGAAGTAATTGTGCTGGATCAGGTAGACGAATATACTCTCCAGATGCCGATAGCTGTGCTCGCGCAGCACCTTCTCCGTGTCCTCACGCGCCGTGAATACCTCTAGGACTCGTAACGGTATCGCCAAGGAGTACGCCCCGTCCGGCAGCGTCTCCGTGTTGTATCGCATGCACATGCGAAGGATCCACCTGTACCGAATAATGCGCCATGTAATTATTTTACTTCTGTTAACACTACCGCCGATCGTATCCCACTGAAGAACTGCCAATTTGTTAATTTCTTGTTTTTTGCTTAGTAAAAAATTATTTCGATATTATTTGTATCATTAGAATTATTTTAATATTATTTGTATCATTAGAATTATTTCAATATTATTTGTATCGTTACAATTATTTTAATATTATTTGTATCATTAGAATTATTGTATTATATTCATATATTTCCAAAGTAAATGTGTAATACAGAAAAGAAGGTCAAAATAATTAGATGGAAATCAAAATGACAGTTCTAGTATTAAAACACGATGTCATGCATGTAATGCTGCATAAAAACTGAGGCACCAGTTTTGGTTTTGTAAAACTATTCTCATAGAAATTAATATTCTAGAAAAAATGTTTATATTCGTATTTTACCGCAGCCTCCACAGCCATTGCGACGAGCTTATCGACTTCAGTTTAATCTCCCTCTGGTGCTTCAGGAAGTGCTGAAGGACCCATATCAGTCTGTTAGCGTCCAAGGAGTGATCGTAAAAGAACAGCAGCTTTCGCAGGTACGGCACCAGCTCCTCCAGGCTCAGGTTCCTGCGGCCGGCCGCCTGCTGCGCCTCGTCGAACTCCCTCCGCTTCTGCGCGCACGCCAGCCTCCTGGTGACGAAGCTGCGTATACGCGCCTGTATCTTCAACGCCGCATCGTGCTTCTTGCGCTGCTGCTCCCGCTTCAGCCTCTCTAACTGCGCGTGCTGCAGGAAAACGGCCCTCTCGTCCCGCCTGCTGGCGCCCGACAGATTCTGCTGGGGCTTGCGCCTGTAGTCTCCCTCAAAGCTATACATTCTGACTCATGATCAGTTGCCCGCACCTTGAGTTTGTTTATCTCTGAAATATTTGTCAAATATATAGTAATAATTATAGGTGTGAAACAGGTGAAATACTGAATACAATAACATATATAATTTTCATTCACAAACAAAACAATCTGAAATGAAAATTACATATCTGAAACAAAAATTATCGTCGCAAAGGCATGTACGTACGTATCCTTGAATTATACATCATAGTTAATTTACTGAATAAACAATGTATTTTTCCCGAATCATCTTGCCTCTGGCAAGATTCGTTTTGTTTGAAGCTATGCATTACTATTATACTATTTATTATTTTTTACTTGTTACCATTAATATCACATCCAAAAAAATGTATTTAACGTTACATATTATTATTATTATTATTCTGCTAAATGTATCGTGGAGTTTGAAGGTTTCGCAATAATTCATGCGTCCTGCCGAATCATGCTACCTAGGGGCTTACCTTCGGCCGCAAATCAAAGGCAGCAGCTCGCGTAACAATATTACAAAGGCAACCGAAGAACGATCTTCTCATTCCCTCGGAAGAAATTGACAGGACATTCTCCGTAACGTTAACATACTAACATTCCTATATTTTGCATTCCCCTCCTCTCCGTCAAGGTTCTCTCAGAGCACGTAGAGTACGTTAATACGAAAAAGTTTCGTGGAATTTTCAAACTTCGGCTGCTATACGAAGGTTAAGATCGCGGCGCGATCGGACGCGATTACTCGAAATGTAAGCGTTCCTCTCTCTCTCTCTCGGTTTTAACGGACGCCGCGACGACGGATCCGCGATACCATGCGACACTCGGTCGTTCCTCGACGGTCCATCGCCGCGCGGTGACAATGACTCGCGAAGGGGGATCACGCGTACAGCACCTCCGTACACGTCCAGTCATCGAGGCTCGCCATATTACGGCGCCCCTCGGCGAGAGACCCAATGCCGTCTGCTCGACGTCGACCTCGATCCCCGACGCAGTCCCCGATGCGCTCGTAACGTGGCGCTGGTGCTCGCACTGCTGCTCGCATCGCCATGCCACTTGTAATGCGCGCGTAGCCACGAGCACCTGTGCCCCCCTCCTCTCCCCGTGGAAACTCGAAATGCTGCAGAAGATATTCTCTTCACAGCAGGGTTGGATAAGTCAATATTTTTTTTAACTAAGCTAAGTTAACAGTCTTATGTCTATTTCTACCAATGTAGATTAATTTTAATCTCGGTTTAATTCACTGTTTATCTTTTTCTAATTTCTAGAGCTGGAAAAAGATACAAAGTTAAACCGAGAATTAAAGTTAGTCTACATTGGTAGAAATGAAGTTTAAAAACTTAACTTAGTTAAGATATACAAATTGGTCCATAAAAGTAGATAATTGAATTAAGAGTTAATTATCTTTTTACCGTTCCGCCTTTGCAGGCACGGGGCACCCCGACGTACGCTTCGCTACTGCGATTCAATCCTACCAACGCAAGAAACAGCGGCCGAGCCGGCCGAGCGGCGGACGAGGGTGCGGGGACCGGGGGGGAGGGAGAGGAAGCGAACGCGTAGCGCGCATGCGCGAGGGGCGCAAGCCGGTTCCGCGGATCGCAGCAGCATCGCGCGCCGGGCGCGCGGACGGATCCGAAGATTCCGAAGGGCACCGGGGATCGCACGCAGCGAATGGCCGGCGCGTCGTCGTACTGCTGGGCGAGGATGCGGGAAGATGGCGGCGGCGGCGGTGGAGTCGTGCGAGGTGAAGACGGTGAAGTGCGCCGACATTCCGCGCGACATTGAAAACGCGACGGCGGACGGGGCGGCGGTGCCGCGCGCGGCGACGCCGCGCCGGCAGGCCGAGCTTTACCGATTTCGCGCCGCCGACCTGCTGTACTACGCGTCCTCGGTCAGTTTATTTTTCGCGGACGTAGCAACAGGTGAACAAAGAGTGCCCACACACAGCACACACACACACACACACACGTACGCAGGCGCGCGCACGCGGCACGCGAGCGTGTGCGTGCGTACCACCATGGGGCGTCCCGCGATCCCGCGACTTCCGACAGCTCCAATTCCCGGGTCTCTCATCCCGGGATTAACAAGTCCGTGCAGTTCGAATGATTCGTTATGAAATTTGTTAAACAAACGAACGGAACGCGGAGTGAAACTTCAGTTTGATTCGACAGAATTCGCATTCGATTATTGATTCTACTTTGGCAACAAAAGAGATTTGCAATTTTTAATTTTAGTTGGAGCATTAATTCCGCGAGGATTCATAATGTTGACAGTTGCAAAAAAATCGCGACGATTAAGAAATTCTCGCTCGTTATTTCGCGCGAGTTCGCGAAATCCGACACTCTAATAATTTGAGATCGCGGAACACCCCGTACGCTTACGACAACTTTGTTTATATGTTTATTAATGACGCTAGTAAAAAGTATTGCGATCCCAAAATGTAACTTTTCGAAAAAAGAAAACGTATCGCAATCCTTTCTTTCTAAAAATTATATGTATATATAGAGGAGTTTTAATAGAAATAAAATATTGAAATGAATGGTAATGCATAGAATGCATTACGTTTCTTTATTATATATTCTTTATTATTTATGTATTTTTGTATTATACTATTAATTGTATATATTGTATTTTCATATTTTAGAATATTTGCACATTTTTTATTACATTGTAAATTTTATTATTTACAATGTAAATGTAATCATTTTTTATAATTACTGTTATATTTATTTACCAAATAATTATCAAAAATTATAACAAAAATCATGATACTTTTCATTAACGTCTTTCAACGTGCCTTTTGCGCTGAAACGTCTAAGGCTGATATTACATTTGCCATACGACAAGCGTAATATCAGTCTAAATGTCACACACGTGGTAAAACATGTTGTTTTGCACACACACTTGCTCAAAGCATGCACGGGAAAGCTTCTGTTCTTCCGTAAAAACCGAAACACCTTGTAAGATATTTTTCGCACACACAGACAGCATTGTATGTGTGGAATACCTTTTGCAAGGCCACTTAGCGTGGGGATGCTTTGCAATGGGTTTCACCGTCTTACCCGCTTGTGTTACCCAACTATTTAGTTTGAGATGGCATCGCAGCGACGGTTCCCTGCGGACTGTTCACTGGTTGCTGCACTTCCTTCTACTCGGCTTTTTGCACAGGTATACTTGATGTTCATTTTTTTTTCCTTTTTTTGCGCGCGAGTTGTCTCTTTATGCTAGAATTGTCGGCGGCTAAATTTAATATATGTATACAAACACCATCAGGTGTTCTCCCATCGTTTAATGTCGCTTAACAATTTAATGCTCTATTTTCCAGGTACTTGACTTTGCTTTACACTGCGATGCACTCTTTGAGAAATAAGTCCGGCTTCAGCAGGGACAAGAATTGGGTGTATCGGCAGGAAAGTGACATATGTATGTTGCACTTGTTTAAGTCGTTTATGGGAGCTGCTCCGCAGTTGATATTGCAGCTGTATGTCATTGCGATGCTAAACCACGCGCCGCTGTGGACGAGTAAGTGTTCTCTTTATTCGTGAATGTTATTTTATATTTTATATGTATGAGGTATACAACGATGTGTATAAGTGTGTATATTTGAATGTAAATATCAAAGTACAATGCAATTCCAAGAAACTCAAAGTCCAAGAAAAAGAATATAAGTACATATGTATTTTTCAATTACACATATTTTGAGAAACAAAATATTTTCTCTAAGAAAATATGAAAAAAAAAAAGATATTTAAAAAGTTCTTACGTTATATCACATTTAAAGCGAGGTCTTCGTGAAGTTTTAACGTGTTTTTGTATATGTCAATTACATAATACAGAAAATCTATGAGAGCTGCCTGTATAAATGGTATGATCGAGACGGAGACGCCGATAATATATTAAACGGACGAATAGTTGAACAGTTTATAATCGTTCTCGTAAATCTTGTAGACCTCGTCGAGAAGCGATCGCGATATCCCTCTCACGTATTGGTCGAGTGTCTCCCGGGTGGTCGCGCCAAGCGGATTGACGTTACGCGGATAATCCCGCTCGTACAGGTACCCGCCGAGCTTGGCGTCCTGGATGAGGAAGCTCTGATCCCTGTCCAGGGTTTCGAACTTGAGAATGTAGTCGTAGCGGACCGCGCAGGGCTCGCAGGTGCTGTAATACGGCGCCCAGTGCTCGTCGAAGTACCTCTCGCTGACTATGAATCGCAGAAACTCGGCGAACGTCGGCTCCAGCCGCCCCGCAGTCGCGTCACTCGACGCTCGACGGTACTTGAGCACGATGCGCCGGCCGAAGCGTTTGTAGTAATACTCGCGGTCCCGCATGTGCTCCAGCTTGTCCCTGTACGCGGACAGGAGACGCTCCAGCGGATGTCGCACAATCAGGAACTTCTTCGTTCGGCTCACCTTCTAAAAATCGCACGCTAAATTCGCAGCTTAACTTGTCGCTGCCTTCATTTATTTTAAACAATTTTTTACTTCAGAATTATTTTAGAATTCTTTTAGCTAAAAGAAACATTTTGTGTCTGATTATATTTTTTTTGTGTTAGAAATGCTTAGAAAAAACTTATTTTACAAGATTCTCGTTTATTTTTAATATATTCACAGTTCTATGGTGATGGATTAATTAATCGCGTATTTTAACAGAGCACAATATCCTTACCTCGTAGATCTTACTAGAATCCGCTTCCTGCTGAAACTTTTGCCGCACGATATCGCTGACCTGCGTAAGATTGCGACGTACCAAGTCTACAGTAGCGTCGGTCAGAGTGCCCTTTAGAACGGCGAAGTAATTCATCCACGTGGAACTCGCCGCCTTGTATATGGGACACCACGACACGTTGTGCTCCCTACGAATTATTTCGAATTAGAATTATTTGAATTAGAAAGAGAAATTATTTATTTTATCTTTCAACTTTCTCACAATCTAACGCGAAAATCTGGGAAAGGGGAATTAAAAGTATTTCAAGATCCAAACTTCTGTTTCATATAACGGACGATGATGAGATGTATCGTTAGATGTGCATATATATTATAATGTTGACAAAATTTTCAGCATCTCCCTCGCTTACGTGTCGACGATCATGCTCGTCAGACTGGCGTCCGGGCGCGCTCTCTTCGTGTCGATCGTCTCACACACGCGTGCCACCCACCGCCTCCTCCTGTCCAACTCACGCCTGACATCCTCCATCTGGCCGCGCGACATCGGGGCTCGCGGCATTATTCCAGACGCGACGGCACGTCGCGCAACAGTCGCGTATTTCGGCGATGCATACCTCAGCGATGCGGCCGGCTCTATGTTTGTCCTCTCCGCTGCGTTGTGCGAGGATTGCGCTAAGTTCGCCAGTATTAACAATGTGAAGATGCAAACCGTCGCCAACGCCGCGATCGACTCTATCACCGTGATCTGTCTCTGGAAAAATTAATCGAATAATAATAATTTTTTTTTTTGCGTGGAGAATTGTAAGGAGAGAAACAGAAAAAAGAGGAAAAATCGTTCGCAGAGGAAATGCACGGTTGAGGGAGGAGGGCCACGAATTTGACGCACTTTTTTATTTTCGTATCAATACCTACCTGTATCAGTAGGAGGAGCTTTTTCGAGAAGTAATAAAGTCTAGCTTTCAGTGATCCCTGACAAATCGTCGAATTTTTAACGTCACTCGACGTTAATACGTCGATCGTTTTGTACGACTTATGCATCGTGTGCATTTCCTGTCTTTTGTCACGTTAATAATTCACGAGAAACTCTCTAAAATCAAAACTGAAGAACACACACACACACACACACAGATTACATTGCACCGCTGTACCGCCGATGCTCTCGGGAACGTGAATATTTGTGAATCTCCGACGAGCCGATACTCCGAGAGAAGCCGCATATATTGTTATTATTCTACCGTTTCCTCCCTCGTGTCCGCCTCCGTAGATAACAGGAAAGAGGAAGGAATATCGCCGGCCTTTATCTGTTTTTCCGGACAATGCGTGGACACGACGACGACAAATTCCAAGGCGAGGGACTCTCGTCCTCCTCCACGGTTTTAAATATAAAAGCGACGAAGCGCGAACCGTAGCGAAGCGCACTCGAAGCGTATTCAAAAATAGCTGAAAAGAAGGCAGTAGCCCATCGCGGACAATAGCCACGGAAAAATATAGCGATGCTTCAGTATCTTTATTTATTTTTTGTTTTTCTCAATTTAATTACATTCTAGTTTTGTTTAACGAATTATAATGATAATTTGTATAGCTTCGGTATTTTTTTTAAAGAAATATCTATATATTCTCGATGTTTATTCCTTCATTATAGAAGACGTAGAAAACTATAATAATTAAAAATATATATATATAACATACACCCTTGATATACATTTCTATGTATATATAAATTTAAATTTTAAAAATGTATTTTTATAATAATTTATATATATTTACAAATTTAATTCGGAAGAAGGATGTGGCTGGATCATTTTAGATCCGTACTCTATTGGATCTAATTAAGAAATCGCTCCGCGTATAAATGTAGTACATAAAACAGCAGTTTTCGAGTATTAGATTTTTTATAGCGAATAACAAAAAGGGCTTCGAAAATCAACGAACACCATCCCATCAAGGATCTCGAATGATCCAGCCACCATCAGCCAATGGTCAATATTGTTATTGCAATCATCAAATTAACGTAAATGAAATTTCTGTACAGGTACTTCCGCTGTAGCTTCTTTTTGTTCCTTGACGTGGGCCGTGAGTACGTACATCAGAGCCATGCACAATATCAATCGCGAGCGCAGCAACGCGACCTGGGTCGCTCTCGCTCTTCAGGCTTGCTGGCGCGGCGGCATGCTCGTGTCGAGAGTCGCAGTTCTGGTACTAGCGGCTATCTTCCTAAGAACGTGGTTTTTTGTATTTCTGGGTGAGTTTCATCGAGGAATAGTAAAACGCGGAGGTCCATATTATATCTATTTAAAATAATCTTAGTTGTCCGCTTTAAATGAAAGACGCTTAATTTAAGCAAGGCCAATCTTCTTAGATTTAAGTGGACTGTTCGTAATGTTACATTATGTTGAGCCAATTATTTAATCTCTAAATAATCTCAAAATGTAAAATTCGCTGTTGCGCTGTCCTCAACTTTCACGGAATCGCGTCGTTTTCCAGGTCTGCATTGGCTGTTCATGACAATCTGGGTGATTCTGCAGAAGACGGAGTTCTGCCCCACCGTGTGGGAGGAGCGCATCTACAATTGCGTGATCGGACTGATCTACTGCTTCGACTTCTTCAACCTACGCGACGGCAGATCGCGCTACCGCGTGCTCGTCTTTTACTCGGTGATCGCCGCGCAGAATCTGACCTTCCTGATCTTGTACACGTTGCACTTCAAGGACACCGTCGCGAGCGGCTACACGATGATCGCGATCGCGACCGCAATAGTGTGCTGCATGCTCGTCGGTCTCGTGAGCATGTCGCTGTATTACGGCAAGTTTCATCCGTCGAGAACATCGGCGGCGAACATCAGCCGGAGTATCAGCGAGCACACGACGGCTACGAAGGTCGACATGCCCAGATCCTTCAAGCTGTTCCATCGCGGTTCCTTGGCGTCGTTGCACCACTCCATCGACATCTCGCCGAGGGCCACCCAGGAGGTGCCCATCGACAAGCAATCCTTGCTCACGAATATCGTGCAGATTTCCGACTGCGCGGAGGAGGGCATTGTCAATCGCAACTACAACTCGGAGAGCGAGTCCAGCGCGAGCGTCGTGCGCCTCTCCACCGAGTGCGAGAGGCCGCACAGTCGCGTCGGCGTCAAGCACAAGGAGGAGATCGCGTCGGTCAACGACAATCCGGACAGCGCGCTTACTACGAGCAGCGCGGCGCCGTTGTGCTCCCTGTACCCGGGCTTGCACGACGTCGACTCGTCGCGTAAACGCCGCGGCATTTACGAGCACGACATCACGTCGCAATTGGACTGGCACGCGCCGGACATACTGAACATCGATCTGGATCAGCTCGGCAGTCGCGACAGCTCCGAGCGGAGCAGCTCCCTCACGCTGGACTCCTGCAGCAAGATGATCGGCGCGCTGGACGTTATCAAGAACAGGGGAAAGCTGACGACCCCGACGCCGTTGGAGAGCAGCAGGATATTCGATATAGACAAGGTGTCGAAGGACCTGCAGCAGCAGGTCGAAAATTACTTGAAAATCTATATCTCCTCGCTTCTCGCAATTTGTTACATTGAACTCATTTGTTGTTTTTTATTTATTTATTCGCTGTGCTACTTTCCCTTCACGTTCGTTCATTTCTCTTACAGCAGCGGGACGAGACGATGAGCTGCGTGACGTCGATCCACGACTACGAGAACGTGTGCCCGCTGGGAGTCGCCCGGCCGCCCTGGTGCATCCGCAGCTGGAGGGGCTACACGGACATCGAGACGTACATCCACGACGACAGCGTGGTGCGCGACCGGCGGCGGGACACCCTGACGAGCACGACCGGCACGACGGTCAGCTCGGAATACTCGGACGGTATGATCTCGCGAGCGCTGTTGAAGCAGGACGATTACGCGGACGCCCTGACGTACGACCTGGTGGAATCCAAGGGCGACAAGTCGTCTTACAGCGACAGCAGCACGTTCTCCGCGTCCACCGTGGACGAGCAGAACGTCAGTCTGTACGTGGCCAAGCCGGTGGTGTTCGACGATCGGGGCGGTATGCTCGCGCTGGACACGATAATGGAGGAGCGCGACGACTTGTCGTCGTCGTCGTCGTCGGACGAGAAGTTTCAACACGGGACGGAGCAGTCGCGCGACTCCGCGTGCACCCTGGTGAGCACGATAGACCAGATCAGGCGGTACACGGCGGAGAACTCGCCGCGACACATCTACCACACCACCGGGACGCAGTGGGAGGACCTGAATCCCAGGAACTTGATGGCGCGGGCGCACTTTGCCAAGGTGTTGTTCGACAACGATCTCAGAAGCGCCTCGGCGACGACCGCCTCGATCGATCTGACCGCGCGGGACGTCGAGAAACGTGAGATAGACGCGATCCGGGAGTTCGTCCGATGCTGCGCGATAGAGTCCATCAAGAAGACGCCCCTGATAGAGGCTATCCTGTCGGACTCGCCGATTCTGGGCAGCAGGGCGAGCAAGTTCGTGCGGCAGGTTACGTTCGCGGATTGCAGGCACGACTTCGACGCGAACGAGAGCGATCTGTACGTCGAAATGAGCCCCTTGGTGTCCGTCGAGAACGGCGAGAACCTGTGCCAGGCCAGGCCCGCCGACGCGAAGACGGACGCCGAGGATGCGGACAGCGTCGCCAAGCGAAACAATCTTCCCACGATATCGAAGAAATCGCCGAACAAAGAGAATCTCTCGCCAATTCTGCTGTCGTCGAACAACAATGGGCGGATTAACAGTATTCACGATAACGGGGACAATAATGACAGGCACGCCTGGGCCATAGAGAGAGACGACAGGAACGACAAGTCGCTGTGCAACATGCGTTTCAATCTGAAGGAGAAGAGACACTTATTTCTAGAGCAGGTACTCTCGCCGGTTCCGAAACTCTGGAACAAACGTATCTCCTTTCATCCGAGCACCAAAAATTTATAGTAAAAACAAATTCTTCCCCACCCCTTCGGGTTTTCTCACTCGCGTATTTCATCCCAGACAACGTATATAGCCCAAAATCGGCACATAAGACGTCTCAAAGCTGTCTACAAAAAACTTAACACTAGAACCGCGGCTGTGTAATTTTGACTCATCTGATCATTCTTTTTTTTTTCCAGTTAATTCGGGTTTGCAATTTAGATTTTTGTGATTTTATAAATAATGATCATAATTTTAATTACACAAGTAATTTGTCTCTTATAGTGGCAGCCCTCCCTCGTAAAAATCCAGATTTATCTTAAACCGCGGATCAGTTTAGACCCACCATTTGATAACGATGTGTTGAGACATAGATTACTTCCTGCATCTATGGCATATCATCTACATCGGTTTTTGTGTTTCACGGGCAAATTTTGCACGGCACTATTTGTGACAATTGAACGACACGTTCCGTCCGCCGCGAGGGAGGGGAGTAGTATACTTGGTACGATAATGTTAAATTACGTTCAAACTCACGCGTGGATGGCACGTACACTTCTTGCTTTTATTTCACTACGTGTGCGTAACACTATCGTTGATTATGGCCATGCGTAGACTAAATTGGTTTAATTATTAGTACTGTATTTTAATATTGTAGTGATAAGAGTGTATTATTTAGTCACCACTTTGTCCACCTATCCAAAAATCACAAAAGAGTAATATGAGTCATAAGTCATCGCAATTTTAGGGAAGACCATAGTTCAGTTTTAAAGACATCTTTGTGAGAGATATCTAAAATACGTCTAGAAGATCATAAAGATCATCAGAATCTTATATCCCGATTTTGAACTTCACATTATTTGGGGCCACCGAAAATAATCTATTCGAAACTCATTTTTTAATATCGAATATTTTTATTACGTATTTACGGCGAATTTCCCTATGTATTGAAGCATGTTTACAGCGAAAATTAATTGATTCACGTTTTACAACTGAACGTGAAACAACTCACTTTCATCGAGCCAAAAATTTGAGCGACAGATGACAAAGGACTTATCGATTTTTTTGTTAATATACTCGGCACTGTTTGTCTTTCATTACGAATTAACTGAGCGGCAGTTCAGTTTTATTTTGCTCAAGTGTGTATTTCTCATTTATTTTTTTATATTTAGGAAATTACTCTTTAGAAGTTTTAGGACTTTTCCCTCGTATTGAAAGCCCTCGTATATAAAAAATGAGATCACATTAGAAATTGATCTTAACCCATTATAGTATTGAATACCTTTTTTACGAAAATATTACATTGTTATCGCGCATACATATCTGATAAAGTAAATCAGGAGGATAATAATTACGATGGAATATGGTTGAAAGACACACACCACAGTACAAATATACCGCAATATATACAGGATGTCCCAGAGAAGTCGTATGTCCTTTCACCGACGAATTCTGGGAAGCATTCTAAGCGAACGGACAATACGACTTTTTTTTAGGACACCCCGTTCAACATCACTCGTTAATTAGGCACATACATCTTGATTTTTACCCATGACTTTATAAGCTGCGTCGCGCTCGACTTTACATAAAATAACGTAAAGTGAACGCGACGTAAGCGTGTGATAACGCACCGTCCGATTGTTACAAGACAAAGCTATATATATATAACGACTTAAGTCTTAGTATTGCGCATTTGCGATTATTGTATATATAAAATATGTCTTATTTTTTACGTCTCGTACCGAGATTATTTTTGTACGCAATTTTTATACTATGTACAATAAAGAGACTTTGTGTAACAAAGGATCACTCAAACATCCTGGTCGCGATCATATATGCATTAATGCAGATTATGTAAATCGGAGAAGCTCAGACAACATAAAGTCTAAAATCGGGATGTAAGATATGAGACGTTTCTCGCAACTATATCTTACGTCTCGATTTTGGACTTTGCATTGTTTGGGCATCTCGACTTTTAAATCCATTTAGTAAATTGCAACAACAGAATTTGAGATTTAAAAAATTTTATGTGTAATTTATATGTCGCGTAATATAGAAAATGTCCGTGGAATTAAAAATTATATCATAACAATTGTAATGCTACGCTATTGTGCAATATATTGCTTTTTTTATATGGATTTTAATATCCACAGTTAAGAAATTTAAATATGTATATGCGAAAGCTGCGGGATTTTGTTATTCGAAAATAGAAAGCAGCAAATGTTGCATACGCTATAAATCGAATGTCTACGTAATTACACATTTGAATCGCGCAAATTAACGCAGGAATTAGCATTGATTTTTGGCTATTAATTGTAAATCTAAGATTTTAAAATTGCAAGGAGCGTAAGAGCGTAACTTAGAAAATTTAGGAAATGCGAGATAAAATATAGATTTATACATAATTACACGTTTGAATCGCACAAGGAATTAACATTGATTTTTTATTATTAATTGTAAATAATTAAGATTTTGAAATCGCAAGGAGCGTAGAGCGTAACTTAGGAAATTTAGGAAATGCGAGATATAAAATAGATTTATACATAATTACACGTTTGAATCGCACAAGGAATTAACATTGATTTTTGGTTATTAATTGTAAATAATTAAGATTTTGAAATCGCAAGGAGTAGAGCGTAATTTAGGAAATTTAGGAAATGCGAGATAAAAAAGATTTATTCGTGTTTGAAATCTCTCTAAAAAAAAGAGATAAGCGAAGATTATGACTGCGAGTGCAAAAAGTACGAACAGATCTACTTCATACTTGCAGTACTTGCTGCAAAACAGAACGAGTACCGCCGCCTGGCGACACGCGCGTGACGCAGGGTGAGGAGGGTTAGGTTAGGTCAGGCTGGGTGGAAGAATTCGGCGACTCCACGACTCCAGTCGCGAGTGAAAGCGGTGGCGGAGAAACGTTCGGGGCGAGCATCCACGAGGGCCTGGCCTGGCGTCCTGACGCGACCCCGCGGGACCGTGAGTTCGCGATCGTGTTTCGCCCGCGTCCGCCCTCCTCGCCGCCGCCGCTCTGTGCCCACCTCGCCATGGCCGGCCAGGCCGCCGCGCATAGCGTCGCGACGTCGCGATGATAGCGTGCCGCTGCATGCCTGCGCCTGCATAAGGAGCGCAAACGCCGCGGACGCATCCGTGCCAACCACCGAAGCACATGGATGCGACGAACGGGCAGAAGCCCCACGGTGAGAACGAGTTTTCGTTTTTTTTTTCTTGCGGGGAGAGATTGCTTGTTTCTCGAGAGAAAAGGCCTGAACTCGGAGGATTTCGCAGGATTCAACCTCCCGAATCTCCGAAAACCAACGCGTTTTGCGACACGTTGGAAATCAGGAATCGGTGGTGGGATTAATTAATCGACGGAATTATATTGATGTATCCTGTTATATAAAATGGTGTACCCTGCGAAGATGTTTAACAGCGTGTGACGGGTGTGATCGTGCAATTATACGTATATGCTTTTCCTTCTGGTTTTTTGACGGATTCTTGGAAATCTTTTAATCTGTACAGTGAATTTACCCTGTCATGTGTCTTAAGTAAAAGGAATTAATCTGTAGCAAAGTAGTGACTAGTGTGTAGTATCCACTGGTAAAACTTTTTGTGTACAGGAAATAGATTCAGCTATAGATTCAGCTTTCTGAGTCTTGAAAATCAATGTTTGCAAAATGTAAACTTACAAATCTGTGATGAATTAATTAATCGATAGGATTATTGATACACCCTATTAATAGCATATCTTCTAAAGAAGTTTAAACCACGTAATTGTGCAATTATGCTTATATATATTCTAATCCCTTTTATTTGTGGCTGGATTCTTTGAAATTTTCAGTATAATAAATTACATTGTTTATCTGTTGTTTGTCTGCGCAAGATGAAGAATTAATTCGCAGTAAAGTGGGTGGAAATAAGTAATCCTTTTTGTATACAGGAAAACCTAGATTCAGCTTCCTAAGTCTTAAAAATCAGTGCTTGCAAGACATGGGAAATTATGAAAGTGATCGATTAATTAATTGACAGAATTATTGATATGCTCTACTAATGTCTCCTTTAAAAAAAAGAGGATTTACACTTTGTAACCATGCAATTATATTTGTATAATTTCAAATTCTTTTATTTGCGAGTGGATCCTTTGAAATTTTTAATCAATATGATAAAATTATATAAAGTTATGTTTATCTGCTGTGTGTCTATGAAAGAGGAATTAGTTTATAGCAATATGCAGTACATTTAGCATTCAATAGTAGTATATTCAATATCGCCAGTATCTTTTGTATATATTTCTATAATATCAAATTCTTTTAATTGCGAGTGGATCCTTTGAAATTTTTAATCAATATGATAAAATATGTAAAGTTATATTTAACTGCTGTGTGTCTATGAAAGAGAAATTAGTTTATAGCAATATGCAGTACATTTAGCATTCAATAGTAGTATATTTAATATCGCCAGTATCTTTTGTATACGGGAAACCTCTTTTTTGCAGTGGGGCAACCTTCGACCGGCGGAGGATCTGTCTCCGACAAGGGTAAGGAATGGCAAATGGAGTTGCTGATGGAAAAATTACGCTCCAAGGCTTCCACGCTGAAACCTCTGGTGGAGACCGCCAAAAACGTGCGCATGGCCATGCTGGTGAGTGTTTTTCCATTCTCGCTTTGTCATTTCGAAGTTTGTCAAAGTATATAAGTATGACTTGTCGGTATGCAGGACAAGCGATTCGCGATCGACAGCATAGAGAAGACTCAGTTGCAGAAGTGTTTGGACACTCTGCAGCATTCTATCAAGGTTACGTCCTTCCAGTCCATGGTAGAGCGTCTGGAGAGCTTGGCAAGACAGTTAGGGTGTGTATCTGTCATTCAGTATATCTGTTAGCTCATAATCGTATAAATTGAGCTTAAATATGGACCGTTATCTCGTTACGCAGATTAAAGTTCATGATGTCAGGCACGGAAATATTCATATCCTCCGACATGTTCTTCTTGGAGGTTCTGCTAGAACCGTCGGGGCTCGTTAGGGACGTTAAAATCCATCATGAGGGAAAAAGCGAGCAACAGGTAAGAGACCACGAACATTATTGATATCAATATTTCTCTCTTATATCAAGTGTCCTCATCATTTAAAATATTTAATTATTGTTGATGCAGAGTTGCGAGGCACTGGCATCGGCTCTGTCGCGCGGTGACTTCGTCGACTTCACCACGCAGTTGGAAGGACTGGCGTCGATATACCAGCTGAATGCTGATAAGAAAGTGAAGTGCAAGGCGTTCAGTGCCCTGCAATCCCTCGAGGCTGACCTGGGTGTTCTGGCGCAGCTGCAAACGTTCATGAAAGAGCCATTCAATCTGGTTCACAAGAGTCCTGTCGGTTAGTTACTTGATAAATATGCCAATTTTTTTTGTATTATATAATTGTATTTTATTTTTACTTATAAAATATAATACAAATTATTACTGCTATTATATCTAACTTTTATATATAATAGCACACGAGTAGATTATAATGCAAATTATGCTGCTATGATATCTAACTTTTATATATATAATAGCACACGAGTAGATTTGCACGGTTGTCATATTATATGTGACTGATAAAACGTTATCGTGATCTAGGAATTCTGGAAAGAAGGAGAGGCGGCCACCCGATGAAATTGACATATTTCGTCTCGCCGTATGATTTAATCGACGAAGAGAATCGAACCTATGACACTCTGAATCCTGATATTATCATTAAAAGGAAGATCGGACATTCGGTGACCGTTTGTATGGAAGGTTCGACAGGTCACAAACTGCCTACCTCTAGTATCATAACCGTGAACCGAAGTTCCACGGGCAAAAGGTAAAAGCGAGCTTTATTTTTCTATTGTTTCTTGTACATAAAATCATTTGAAAATCAAATAACTGTAATTATATTCTTAATTATATTTTTGCTAATTGCACTTATTTTTTATTGATTAATTATATCTAATATCTAGTTGATTGTTGCTTTGTCCCCCTTTATAAAATTAGCAAAATAGATTTTGCACTCACGTGAGACAAAGAGAAAGTTGATTAAAACTTAATATTTATCAAGATTTTTTGTCTTAAATCTTTGTCTTAAATCAAATTAGCTTAGAAATCGAAATATATAGCTGTTACTTTAACTTTTAAATTAAATAATGATATCAAAAGTCGCAAGCGTTCAAGAAGTCAAAAAATAAAATTTGCCAACTTTACCTGCCGTTGTATTACAAATAAATTAAATGTCAAAATTAATTCTAATAAATTCGCAATCGATCTTCTGTGCATCTACATTTTGAATTTCCATCGCGATTCAAACAGTACTATGTTAATATTAAATTAATGATAGCTATAAAAAATTTTGATTATCTTTTATATTATTTTTTTATATCATTTATATTTTTAGTTTATTTGAGTTGCAATAAAATGAATTTACCTCTTTATCATTGTTTACCATTGTTTTTTTTTTCAGCACGCCTTCGTACGCTCCGCTGACCAGTACAAATTCCTCCATGTTGCCCGCCTGTTTCGTGCTGAAGCTCGGCAAGAAGATGCCCATCTGCATGGAGCTGGTGAAGAGGATACAGAAGGTCACGGAGCTCGAGTGCGGCGACATCTCCGCGCCGCATCCGTTGCTCAGTCTGATAATACAGCACGCGAGTGACGGTCAGCTGGATTGTCGAAACAACAAAGGCTTGTACGTGGTAAGTGACAAGATTAAAAAAAAAAATAAAATGTTGCTTTATGCAACATTTTATTTTAACCTGCGACGCTCATCAATGCTCACTCGCTCGCTTGCAGACCCTGCCGGATCAGCAGCACTGTTACTTCATGACGGAAAACAAGAACATGGAGGGCGTGCTGGTGTCCAGTATCCCGTTCACGCATCCCGCGCATGTGCCGCAGATCTTGGTTTACCTGCGGCAGCAGGCGTTGTTCAATTGTCTGATCGCGAGCTGCGTGCGCCCGGTGGCGCGCCAGGATCCGGAACACACTACCATACTCGAAGTAAGCGCCCTATCGTGGCAGCACATTAGCGTGAGCGTGGAGCATCCGTACGAGGAGACGATGGCCACCGCGGAGCTGGATCTGACGGACATATCCACGCTCAAGTGCCGGTTGTACGGCGTGAGTATGACAACGAACGTGGAGCAGATATCGGATCTCAGCGGTAGGGTGCTGCAACGTTGTCTCAGCATCCCGTGCACCATGCGAGTGCTGCTGAAGATCTGGGAGGGTCGCTCCTTACCCGCGGTGATGAACAATCTGACCAGCGGCGGCGGCAGCAGCAACGGCAGCTACAATCTCAATCTGGGCTCCGGCGGTAAGGATCAGACCGGGCAGAACGCGTCCGGCACCGCGTCCGGCATGCCGGACTTCACGAACGGCGAGACGAAGATAAAGCAGGAGCCCGGTTTGAACAACGGCAGCAACGGGTGTATGGGAGGCAGACAGACGCAGCAGCAGCAGCAGCAGCAATCGTTGTCGAGTCAATTGCAGCAGCAGCAGCAGCAACAACAGCAACAGCAGTCTTTTTTAGATGCCGGAACGGAAAATAGTATCGGTTTTCCGTCGTATTCCGGCCAATCCGATACGACGATAACGATGAGTACCGCCGGGACGAACAACGCATCTGCCTCTATGTTGAACCCGTTGCAACTTGGTGCGCTGCTGGGACAGGCGAAGAACTCCCTGGGCGGTAACTCGAGCACTAATGAGCGCGGCAAGAAGACGCGGAAAAGAAAGGCTGGCACGGACGGTCTTTGGCGTAGCCCGAAGCGGAAGAACGACGGCGGAGACAGCGGCGGCACCACGACGGAGATCCTGCTGGAGAGCTCGAGCTCGGAGAATTCGACACCGCTGGGAACGCCCACGGGCGGCCGAGAGAATCTCGCGTCGGAGACCAGAACGTCTACACCGACCTCGGCGACCAGTTTGACAAGCGGCATAGATTTTTCGAATTTGGACACTACCGATGTACTCGATAAGAGTGCCTCAGATTACGATCTCGATTCCGAGAGAGACAGCGAGATCATGGAAGTGCAACATAGTGGCGCGGAGCAGCAGCAGCAGCAGCAACAACAACAGCAACAGCCGCAGCAAGACGTGGAGGAGTTGATAAAGATCCGCGAGTCTTCGTCGAGCCGCAAGTCGAAGAAGAGTCGAAGCGGCGGTGGTGGTGGTGGTGGTAGCGAGGAGAAGAAATCAAGCCCAACAAATATATTTGTTGACGAGGCGTCGACTGCGAGTAGTGGCAACAAAAGTCTGCCGGTACCACCGTCAGTAAGTATCACTCCGATTTCGTGCGGTAATCTGGATCAGACGAGCACCACCAACTATAACTCCGTACTGACGGGCATGGGTTTGGAAAGGAGACCTGGCATCGAGATCATACCCATCGCCTCGTCGCCGTCGCAGACTAACCTACCGAGCTCGATCACCATCACGCCGATCGCCGGTCCGGCGCCATCATCGAAGACCAGCAATCTGACGAGCGGGACAGAGGATCGGCAGCGAAGCGAACGGAAGAGCGGCGGTGGGAAGAGCAGCAGTAGCAGCAGTAGCAGCAGCAGCAGCAGCAGCAGCAGTAGCAGCAGCAGCAGCAGCGGTAAGAGCAGCTCCGAGGACAAGAGTAGTGGAAATAAGCTAGAGAAACGGCGTAAGCGTAAACGGGAAGACGGTCCGATGGGCCCACCGGAGAAGGTCCCGTCGAGCGGCAAACAGCAAGATCCACTCTCGAAGCCGGTGTCGGTGAGCATCAAGCCGAGCACCGAGCAATCACCGCCGAGCGGTAGTAGTGCAGCCGGCGTCGGTCTGAGCTGCTCGTCCTCGCGGCCTACCTCGCCCGCGGCCGTGAGGAAGTTCAGTCCGTCGCCCACGCATTCGAGCTCGCTCGCCACGCTCGTAGGTAAGTCCAGTCCTACCTTGAAGGCCGGCCAACCGGCAGTAGCGACCTGCGGCAAGCCAGTGCAAAGTCCGAAGCATTCGCCCGTCTACGGTAGCAGCCCGAAGCACAACGCGCCGAACGTTCCGGTGGTTCCTATGTCGGTCCCGATGTCGCTGTCCGTGTCAACGGTGCCCAATACCGTAGGTAACGTGCCGTCTGTAGCAGTGTCGGTACCGGTCCCGGTACCCGCTGGTGCGAGCCCGAAACATGGCAACACCTCGTCTCCAAAACACGGCAGTTCGGCTGCGAGCAGCGGCAAACCCAGCATGTCCGCTCTGAAATCGGCGGCAAACTCGCCGTCCAGTAAGAGTAGCGGCAGTAGCTCTTCCGACACGACGGGAACCCCATCGAAGGTCAAGTCCTCTTCGTCGTCGTCCAGTAAGGACTCTTCCAGTCGTGGAGATAAGGAGAGACGAACGTCATCCGTCGGCTCGTCTGGCGGTTCGAGTGGCGGCCATCAGAGTCCGAAAACTAAGTCCTCCAGCGGTAAGCTGAAGCAGTTGGAGATGATCCCCCCAGGCGGTGGCGAAGCCACTCAAGTCTCTTCTCTGCAAGCCTCTGGCGGAAGCACTCCGCCGTCTGGCCAGGTCGATGCGGCGAGCAAATCTGCGATCGCTGCCCAGCAGGCACGGAATCGCAAGAGTTCACTCAACGCCGTGATCGACAAACTGAAGAACGCGCAGCACTGCACCGAGGCCGATGCCTGCGGAAACGGTGGCAGTACCGTGAAAGGTGGCGGATCCTCCGGCATCGGCGGTAGCAGTACTGGCGGAATGAGCAGTGCTGGACAGAAGGAGAAGGGTCTCGGCGGCGGTGGCTCGTCGTCGTCGAGCGGAGGGAAGACCATCGTCGAGGGAGGAAAGTCCTCTTGCGTCACCAAAAATGCGTCCATGGATGCGAAGAACCCCGCCGAATACATGGTGAAGCACAGCTCGGACGGGATCAAGATCACCATCAACAAGACTCGCACCAAGGATTCTAAGCAGTCAGCCGCCAATCTGAAGCTGTCGTCAGGAGCGATGGCGGCCGCGGCTTCCTCGAGCTCTTTGTCGTCCGTGGCCTCGTCATCATCGTCCAGCAATGTGATCGCCGGCAGCAACGGCTCGCCGAAGACGCACACGGGTCTCAAACCTGGCGTGAACTCCGGACCGGCGTCGAAGAAACCGCAGACGTTACAGACCGCGCAGAAATTGCTACCCGCGAAGATGATGCTGGCGGCGGCCGGCATAAAGTCCGCCATCTCTTCCTCGGGCGCGACGAATACCGGCGGTGGTGCGAGTATCACGGCGACTGCAACGGGGGGCGTCGGAAATCCACTGTCAAAGAGCGGCTCGTCCTCCAAGGCTTCCAGTTCACCGAAGATGAGCTTTGGGGCGACCGATCTGAGTCGCGGCCGAGACAAGCCTAGGATCCCGAAGTCCGGCGACAAGGGGATATTTGCATCGAAGAGCCTCGGCGACGTCAGAAAGTCGAGCCCGTCCGCTCTCCGGGAGGAGAGCGAGAGCGAGCGCGCGTTTAAGTTGTTGAGCCACTCGTCTACCTCCAGTCTGACGCCTCAATGCCTGGAGGGCTTGATGAAGCAATTGGATACTAAGTTTCAGATACCGAAGCTGTCGGCCCGCGCGAACGTCGTGGACGCCGCCGACAAGAACAAGTCGTCGGACAAACTGTCGATACTCCCCGATTCCGCCAAGCAGACCATCGACGGTCTGAAGCAGGAACAGGGCAAGATCGCCGGTCTGTCCAACGTCACCGTATCGATGTCCAAGTCCTCGCTGTCGGACGACCAATCGAGACGAGACCATTCGCAGAATAAACCGGACAATCTGTCGATCATCACGTCCGCCTCCGGCGCGATGTCCTTGAATCTCGTTGGGGAGAACGCCAGTTTGATGCTACCTCCGCAGTCGACCGCCGATCCCGACGTACCTACGAATTTGTGTATGCAACCGATGGTGGACAGCGAGCCGTCCCGCGACTCCTGCAAGGATCTAGGAATGAGGCAAACGTCCACCGGTCAGCAGTTCCTCGGCAAGCTCGACGACACAAGCGGGATCCTTTCCAAAGGTAACGTCTCCGATCAATTGGCGTCGTCAGGCGCGAAATCCTACGCAACCATGACGGGCTCCGGCGCTTCGACCGTGCCGAGCGGCGCCATCGTTGCCGAGAGCTTGAATCTGAGCACCAAGCCTGCCGACCAGGCTGCACTGCAAACCAAATATAATAAGATCACCATTGAGGAGAAGAAGCAGCAGCAGCAGCAGTCATCGGCGGCACTATCGTCATCTTCCTCCGCATCGTCAACATCGTCCTCGTCATCATCGTCGATCTTTTCGTCACTTGCCAACGTCGCGATTACGTCGGACGGTAATTCCAACGTCGCCATGACGTCCGACAGCGTCGGCGGCGTCGGCGGCGGCGGCGGCGGCGGTGGTGGCGGCAGTGGCAGTGGTGGTGGTGGTGGTGAACAGGAGGTGACGGCAGTGGCAGCCGCAGCGGCGGCGGAGATGCTGCTGGACTTCTCCGCGGCGAACAAGGACCCGATGACGAAGAGTCACGGCTTGTCGACGATGCAGCATCACTTGACGACGATTCCGGAGCGGGCGATGATCCAGGCGGCGCCGACGGTGCGCCGCAACACGCCGCCGCCGCCGCCGCCCCCGCCGCCGCTTCCGGCCCCGTTCCCGCCCGCCGCCAGTCCGTCCGTCAGTGTGCACATCGTCAAGAGCCCAGCGCCGAGTCCCCGGGTGATCCCGCCTTCCCCCCACTCGTCCGCGTCGCCCTGCATCACCGATGACGAACTCATGGACGAGGCGCTGGTCGGTATGGGTAAATGAAGATTACTTAAACTGTAAGACAAAGAGAGAATACTCGCTTCCTTCATTCTTCGATCGTCGTTCTCAGACCGGGGAAGAAGTTTCCCACCGGAAACGGAAATATTCGAATGAAATTCTTGAACTTTTCCCTCAATAATTGTACAAATTGTATCCATCTCCTTCGAATTTAGACGTCATTCGAGTATTCTCTCTCTCTCTCTCTCGTTCTCTCTTTCTCTCTACTCTGGTGGACCACTCTATATATACGTTATTGACTAGACCTTCGATTGTAGTCTCCGTATTGACCTGCTAAAGCACATCAATGATCGTATTTCGGATAAATGCATTATGTTCGTTATGACCGGCTCAGAAAGACTCAAAACGTATTTCGTATTCCTGAGACGGTCAAGTCGACGTAATTGAAGTCTGAGTGCGAAGAGAATGTTAGAATGTATTTGGTTTGAGTTCAACTTTGAGAGATGAATGAAAGCGTGTAAATATATGTTCGTATTACGGAAAAGAGAAAAGCTGCGAAACTGGCGAGCGACTAGAGATCAGTTTCTATCGAATAAGAGCGTTTTTATCATAGAATTTTAACTGCGATGGAAATATTGATCCACAGTAAACTAGCAGGACGAACGAATGAACGTGAATGAATGTAGTAAGCAGGGAAAAGATGGAACGTGTTCGTCGTAATTAATTCTCGATTTATTCGAGCTTTCAATACTGTTCGCATACATTCGAAAGCAAATTCGTTCGCGTTCATTCGTACTCTTGTTTGAATCGCGCATCCTCACGGTCTTTTCGTACGTGAGTTGATTCACGCTGCAGATTACAGTGATTCGTCGTGCTTTTGCCCTCTGATATTCTTAAATGGAATTTGAATAATTGTGTTCACATTATCGATCATGCTCAGTATGATTTAGTTTCAACGATTCTTAAAAGAAAGTATTGGAACAAAATCGAGCTTTTCCTCATCGATGTGAACACTGCCAGAAACAGACAGTTGGTATTTATATCTACTTTAGGTCTTTCAAGTTTATTATAAGCATTGCATTTTTTTTTAAATTTTAAATTAAATAGTTATATAAAATAAATAACTTCTCAAGAATTGCGATATCTGTTAGAATTAATGAATAATAATATCAGGCAAAGTATTAGGCAATGTATTTGTGTATATTTCTTAAGGTCATTATTTATTAATTACGAAACATACACGGAAAGAACGATTTTGTTGAAAGGTCTAACAATTTCGCTAAATACAGATCTGAAAATTAATTCTTGTTGAATCATTGAAAAAATTTTGTTGAAATGTTAAAAATGATAAGCATACAAAACGTTTTTGATATTTTAGCAATTATTTTGATTTTCCCACAAAATTATTTTGATTATTGAACAAAAATTATTTTCAGATCTGGATTTAGTAAAATTGTTCTTTCCGTGATATACGTCCAACTAATATTTCGAAAAAATTGGAACAAGCCGCAACCGAAGAATCGTTATCTGCAGCGTGAATGAAGCGAGTCAGGACCCGATCGCACAAAAGCGTCGGTTTTTCGATCTTTGATCCATCGTCGTGAATCTTCCTTTTTTCTACCGGCAACGGTAATCCTTCCATCGTTCCTCATGTTCCGTCTTCAGATGTCGTGCTTCCGGGATAACTCGAGCACGTTGATTGGTTCCTTAACCCGGTAATGACGCGACTGCTTGTGTCAAGCCGTATTAAGTGTTCTCCAACACTGCCAAGCGTGTAACGATTGCTTTTAAATTCCCTCCCCCTTCCCCCTACCAAGAAAGGTTGTCCTTCCTTTTCCGCGTGATTTCTTCACGAGAGAGGATTAAATTCTGCCAGCGCCCTTCGCGACGGTCGCTTTATTTTCTCGGACAGGATTTCGTTTCGATGATACGAGTGAGAATGCCGGCTGCGCGATAACGTGCTTCTGATATCAACGCGAGCGTTCGTGAGAGCGTTAAAAGGCTCGTGAGTGCGTAATGATGAAGAAAGAACGCGGAGAAAGGTATCGCGACATTTTTTTCCCTCTGTCTCCTCTCCTTTCCCCAAAGTTTGTGTGCGAACATAGACGATTTATCGTCTACGTTTATCCTATCAAATACCTACAGGATACATGGCGTAAGGAATATAAGTTTAGTGTGAATATAAGTATTCCCCATTGTGCGGCAGAAACAAAAAAGTAAAACAAATTCCAAGGTAACAGGGTAAGGCACTGCGTCTCTTGGAAAACGGAAATCCAAATAGTAATAAGAAGGAATTTACAGAATTGCGGTATTGCGGTCTAGATGATAAAAAATTTGATGATAAAAGAAAAAAGAAAAGAAAAAAAAAAGAAACGTATATCCTTGTGGCAATCGTTTTCCGAATATCCGGAAAAAAAAGAAAAAAGAAAATACGAGATCTGCAGAATGAGTGATAAAAAACGAAATAAATTTTCGATTCGAACGAGAATATGAGAAAAAGGATTAAGAATATCAATTTAGTATATTTAATAGGTGTACCATGACGTGGATTAATTTTGCTACTTTCCCGAAATTGAGAGAAGTAATATTTTGGAAGCTCAGGATCGGCAGTCTCGCTGATCTCGAAGAGAAAAAGAGAAAGAAAATGAGAGAATAATAATACGCTATTCATTAAGTGCAAATCGTTCGCACGCTCGCATCGACGAGGTATCAACGTCGGAAATAACTCGTACGCTGCGAACGACATGATTCAGCAAAGGGATTCTTTCCGTATAGCCGTGTATTATCTTATCACAAGACAAAATGTTGAGCGGGATGGGGAGCTCATTGTTCCGATTAGTCGTTAACGAATTTTAGAGCGGTGCTGTTGATAAACGTTGCGCTTCCGCGTTCGTTTTCGTCGCATATCTTTTTCCCCCCTGCAGACAACAGTGTGCGAAGGTTTGACAGTTCAGGTTCGACTTCTCGGATCCTTCGCGTTGTCGAAAGGAGTTGAAGATCACGTTGAACAATTGTACGTACGCGTACCGGCGATTTCCTTTGCTTTAACATTCGGCGAGAAGAGCATCACCTCTATTTCAAGATTTCCCTTTCGGTCTCGATTCTCATTCTGATAGCATGTATGCAACGGAAATGCCTTTTCGCTCTTCGTCTCAGTCACGAAGTGAATTAAATTAGAGAGATAGTATAGAAAGAGAGACAGCTCAGTTACAGGAAAGCTTGGAATGGAGGATCGATCTGGAGAACGAAGGAAATCCGACCTGTAGCTTTCAAGATCGTTAATCGTATCGCATCGCGACTGCCTGAGCGAACGAGCGCGCAGATCTAGGTACAAATGTTTATAAATAAGATGTGTGCAACCCCGTAAATAAGATAATGGTTACTCCCCCATATTTTTCGATCTAGTAGAAATTGGAGAGAAAGAGAGAATGACGGTGTGATGAGGAAAGACAGTGAGAGAAAATAAGAGAGAGAGAGAGAGAGAGAGAAAGAGAGAGAGAGGCGAATGTTCGACAAGGCAATTCTCGTTGTACAGATTATTTTTACGGATGAAAAGGCAAGTAGCTTCGTCGCGGCATCGAAATCGGGAAAATGGGAATCAAAAGTCGTATAAAGTTAGGGAAATCAACGAACTGTATATTATATATGTACGTGGACGTGTGCTCGCCTCCTATATTTTTTCTCGTTGAATTTTGTTCTTTGTATGAGATAGAGAAGGGGAGAGGAAGGAAAAGGAAGGAGTTATGTAAATATATATACATATATATTATAATGTGAAAAAAGAAATAATTATATAAATTGTGAAGAGAGGATTGTACATGTGTACCGACTGTATGACATAAATTAATTTGTATAGGGAGGAAGATATACGTACGTCTTCTCTCGTTGCCATGCGGAAATTAGAAGGCGTATGTAAAGCTTCAATTAATTAAAAATTATCCCTTTTGATATAAACCCTCGTGCTTTGTATCTTTAATAACGTAATTCCTCTTTATATACAGCTAATTTAATATTACAATTAGTTAGAAATTCAAGCATGTTGTTATCTCTTAATATGACTTCCGGGCGTTCGCGATACACCGCGTGCTTTCGGCATATAGATTTCGCTTTCATTGATTAAGTCTAAATTATTACTGTTCTAAACTATTTTAGAAAATTCGTACGCAACTTCATATTTGATAATTGCTTTATTTTTTACTTTTCTATTACGTTTATAATAAAAGATTATTTTTTTATAAACATCACTTTTTCTTTCTAGCTGCTCTGTGAGTACTATCTAATCGTAATTTTACTGAAATATAAAATAAAAGAAAAACGAAGCTCGAAAGACTTATTGAAAGATACGAAAAATCTAAAATAATAAATAGATAAACATTAAATGGACCAATCACAATAGTATAACATCTTCGAAAAAAACAAATTGGACTAAATATTTTTACCGATTTACGTAAAGTTAATAATTTTTACTGAAAAACGTGATAAAACGGTATTATTATGTCGTTTTTGTATATAATTTAAAAATGGTCAAAAAATCATTAATTATGATAACAGTAGGCTCTTTTTGCAGGAAAAATGCAAAAAATATTTTTGTTGATTTCGAATTTTCATCAATAGAAAGAGTTGAAAGTATTAAAAAACGAAATAAAAGAGAAATTAAGACCGTGCAATTTTGTAAACGAATTGCTACTATTATCATTATTGCTAATAAATTATCACAATTTAGTAACAATTAGGTCTGCACCCTCAATGGTCTTTTTACTATTACGACTTTTTATGTCAACAAATTATTCTTTGCTTTATTCCAGTTTAATGTTAAAATTAGCTTAATATTGTTTAATATTAAATGATTATACAAACTCGTACATGACAGTAAATAGTTTCTGATACCAGAGCGCAGAGAATACATAATCCCATAAAGATTTTATTACCAACAATTATATAAGTATTTATATAGTCAAAGTTACCTTACACCTTACATTCACGAAATGATCAGACGTTAAATTATTCTTAACAACTCCAGCTTCGCGGTATAAACAGGTCCAGATAGTAACTGGAATGAAGTGGACAGTTGATCCGGGCGTAACACTCTATTGAGTATAGACATATCATGATGCCGTTGCTCAGGCTCAAGGTCAGCAACATAAAGACGTTGCTGCTGATGATCTTGCGGACAAAGAACATGGGCAAGCCTATGGCGACGAACTGGATGAGCAGCATCGGGTAGAAGAAGCCCAATATGAACGATAGTATATATTCATGGACGATGGCGGAGGTGAGGAATACGGCGGTGGCTGCCAGCACTTGGTTACGCGGCACCACGATCTCGTACATGTCCTTGTAGATGTACGTGTACAGCCAGTCGTGTACTACTACGTTCCACGTGCGGTAGAACGTGTGATAAGTTGTGGAGTTCCACCAGTCCTGTATAATACAAGCGACAATAATCATGAAGCTACAGTTTACAAATTAATAATTCACGATAGCTTAATTCCGAAATTATTGAAATTGACCAAAATTGTACGATATCGTGAATTCTTTCGCGTGTGAGAAATATCTGCCCCGTAGCTATACACTTTTCATGAAATTATAGCATGTAAACGAGGTTTTTCGAACTTTGAAAGTTCACTTTCAAAGTTTATTTCACATTAAAGTTTACTTTGAAGTAAAAATGTAACTTAAGATATTTCTATAATGATTCATACATATTTTCGAGGCAACTTCTTCAGAGAATCATGATGTATATAAAAGCTATAATAAAGTTGTTACGTATATTTAAATTATCGCGTACACAAAGCTGTCACGTATATTGAAGAGATCGCTTATGTTGAAGCTATCGTACAGTGCGATATAACTCGTAAAAGATATTTTCATATATCTTAATACGTATAATTTTTACTGGACAGATTACTGAAGGCGCGTATATTCACCTTGTAAAACAATCGGTCAGCAAACCGCAACATTTCTGCCCAAGCGTTCATCCACGCGTGTAGCAAGAGGTGATGTGTAATGAAGAAGAGGAAAATACCAGGGAGAATACTATAGTCGATCATGTTTTTGACAAACCACTTCTTTTCTAGAGGCTGTGTTCCGAACACGCTATTGATTGGTAGTACGAGGTCCATGATAAAGGCGATGTAGAAGATCATTACGCCGACTTTGGTAAAATTCTGAATCACCACCATCCATCTGATTCTTTTCGTCCTAAGAACATCAGTTTTGCTCAAATAGATCCTCTTCTAAAGTCTCTTAATATTAATTTTATTTATTACAACATGACAGGACTAATAAATTTTTAATATTATAATGCATTAAAAACTTTAAGCTATCGTTTAAGGTGTCATTAAATTATATTATTCGAGAATTAAGGACATTTTGTTTGTACATTTCACGAATAAAATTCTTCGAAGTTTCTTTCAAAGTTTCTTAAGTATGGACATAATACTATCAAAATACAAATTCAATTTCTTAGTTATGTTATAGTTAAATCGTTTTGTCTTCTTAATTTATCGCTTAATTAAAAGCTCAGCTTGCTGGTTTCTCCCGAAGAATTTGCGAAATATTTTTACCTGGGATATTCGTCACGGTACACAAGAGTCGGTGCGAAAAGGAAATACAAATATTGCGAGAAGTTGGGGCCACTCGGCTGTGGAGTTTCGCTGTGGGGTTTGTACGACAAAAATCTGGACGCCGCGCTCCTCACGAAAGCGTGATTCTTCATTAACATGCGTGCCTAAAGAAGCAAATGTCATTTCAAGTAGAAAAAAAAACCTCCACAATCTACTATAATTGATGTTGGATTAATATTACATGTGAAATATTAAATTATTCTATTTATTCTGTATACATATAATTAGATATGAATTATAATTAAATACTAACTTGTTTCGATACAAATTGACACGGTAATGTCTTCAATGAAAGCTCCATTCTTATTTTTAATAAACGCATATATAATTTAACCTCTTCGGTATGATCTATTGATTAAATGTTGACTAAAGTCGACAAACACAAAGACATACTACTTGTCTCAGTCATTAAGTAGATAATACTGCGCGGCGGACGTATGTCATACCGAAAAAGTTAATCTGCATGCATCTCACATTTCTAATGGAGATAAACTTTACAGTTCTTATTAATTTGCAAATTGAATAAAAGAAAGTTTTCGACACGTTTCATCAATTTGTACTATTGGATGTGCGTGATAGCGTACGAGAAAATTAAATTGATTTATATCCATATAGGTATATTTTTCAAAACGACTTCATTTTTTTTAACGTTCATAATTTAAGACGGTATATATAAATATAGGTTCTTAAAGATACGTACTTGTTCTAACAAAACAATGGCCCTGCAAGCTATGCTAAGATTCGTTTCAATCACTGCTTTGGTAGGAAAAACAATAAAAAGAATTTGATACAACATAAATACTGTTAGCCAGCCGTAATCCCAAAATTTTCGGATGAAGGCTGCAAAAAGGAAAAACAGGATTAGATTGTCTTAAATTAATTATTAAATTGAGAGAATGTCAACACGGTCAAAGCGAATCTTGGTGCTTAATAATATTTATATATATGAATCTACAATTTTTAGTTCAATCAATCTGCGCGCCGAATATTTATCGGTCTTACAACAGAGCTCTAAAATATTCGAATCTGAAATACATAATCTCATAATTAAATTGACAAAGCAATTTAATAATTTGATGCTAATGAGCTTATTTAAATCCTAAATAGATCATAAAAATGGCTTATTGTGAAAAATATTGCCTCAACCAGGATTTAAATCTGAACACAAGCTGCTATTCGAATGGGTATTTTATCTTTCGACTTTAAATTAATTATTATCATTTAATATAAATCGCTTTAATCAGTTGACATTATCTAACAATTTTTACGATTATTTTGATTAATTGTTGTAATAATAATTAATTTGATATAATGTGTTTACACTAATTGCTAATTAATTATTATTTTATACACTACAATTATTTTTTTTAAATTGATATTTTATCTTATATATTATATATTATATACTTATTTCAAAATACTCTTATTCAAAAAATCAATTTAACTTTCTTCATGTTTAAATTAAGCACATTTATCTAAAATTGAATTGAAGAGATTACATACATTTTGGTAAGAATCGGAGTCGCTGATACGCCCAAAGGTTGAAAGCCACGTAGACTCCCAGTATCGAAGCTTGCATGAGGGACCAAATGTAGATGCACGTTGGAAATTTTTCGAAACTATACAATATTGTATCGGTACTAACACGGATCCTTTAACAATAATTAAATAAGGAAATTTAGACGATAACAACTAGAGCGTAGTTGACAGGTGATAAATATGTCCGCGTAAAAACAAATATATCTAAAAACAACAAATATATCTACAATCTAACCGAGTTATCCATTATTATATTATAATTAATCAGATTTTTCTGTTTTCCAATGCAGGGCTTCATCGCACTTGGTACAAGTGGATAAATATCTTATTGATAGTTATCGTATTTTGTTACGAGTTTCCAGTTGTAATGAAAAATAAAATAACTATGTCGTTTACTTTAATCTCGATAATTCTATCATTCCTGAGATAAGAATGAAAGAGGCAAGAAGATAGGCGGGATTACGTTCTTCACATTGCAAACTTACGTTCCTGATTCCATGATATCGGACGCGAGAATTTTAAAAAGTAGAATTATGAGGATCATCACGAACAGATTGTAAACCGTGCGAATGTGCGGGATCTTGAAGAGATCGGTGAGCAATGAGTCTCTTTCGAGGAACTCCTTTTCCGGCAGCGTATCTTTCTTGCCGGATGACCTACAAAAACATCAGAAATGTAAGTACGATCAACATATTGTAAATCATACATTTTAATGATACATTTAAGTTCTCTAATTGTAAGTTCGCACATTTTCTCATTGATAGACAAAAAGTAAAATGTCGTTAAAATGTAATCTATCATTTAACTTTGAAGACATCCACGTCAATCTTCCGAAAGGGACGGGGGGAGGGGGATTGAAAATCTTAATGGCATATATGGAGTCGAGTAAGGGCTCGTTTGAAAGGGCTTTTCGAGACGAGAAGAACGCGAGATTGTTGAAATTTTTACGGTTTTTTTTTCGCAGAGTTATGCTCTTATGTTTCCAAACACTTAATAAGCAATTTTTGAATTTATTGGACTAGATGACAATTTGATCAATTTATATGGTTGACTCTTCAAATTAATGGATAATTCTACCGATTTTATAATATAATTACTAATGTACTGAGGATGACTCGAACTAGAGTCGAAACGTTTGCGCTTTAAATTGTATCTGTTGATCAAATATATATATATATATATATATATTTAAACACACTTACATCCTCTGTCGGCTTATATTTGCTTCTTTTCATACTTGTAAATTTTATGAAAAAATGTTGCATGCATTGCACATATTTGCTGATTTGTCCGAAAGATTTAATATGAATTAGATCAATTTATGTACTTATAATTATACATTGTGGACACTGAGGAAGATCGTTGTTAAAAGGTGGAAACATTTGTTCTAATAGTTTTATTTTCTTTATAAATATAAGCAATTGTCGGAACATTATTAAAGGATTTTGAGCATTAATAATTGGCTTGGCTCCGAAGTCTATATTATTTGTATTATATTGGATTCTTTTAAATCTATTTACTTTATCTGTACTCTTTGTATTTTTGTAGATACGTTGCATTTTTTGCTATCTCTCTCTCTTTTTATCTGTTAAGAGGACACACATTCTAGAGTACTTAATAAATAGCGAATTTATTCATTCATTCTCTAGCTGCCAGACGAGCTTTAGAAGATGTCATACTACAGCGCGTTATCAATCACTCAATCAATGTCTCTCTCTTGATGATATCTCACCTTTTGTCACGATATTTATTTGAACTGTACAAAAAATCTCCATCTTTTGACGTAGGTACTTCTATCTTCTTCTGGACTTCGGATATCATGTCATGGCTATTAACGTGCTCCTGAACATCCTCTCTTATTTCCTACGAGGAAATACGTTTCACATAAATAATTCGAGAGTAGCACTTTATCTCTTATAACACCGATCTTATCGGTTTGAGCTCTTGTGTGATGGGCATTCGGATACATTTGCGCTTTTTCTTTCAATCGGAACGATATAGCTCGATAAACTTAACAAAACTACTTCAATTTGCATTCCATTAAGTCGAATTACGAATTAAGTTGAGGTCAACAATATTCTTTTCGCACCTGAATCTTTTTTCGCAGTACATCGGCGGTCACTTCACTTAAAACATCCGTGAACGCGTTTTCGATGGTCGCTGAAAAGAGAAGTGTATATATACATATATATATATATAAAATATATATATATATATATTATATATATATAATATATACACATATATAGATAATAATAATCAGAAGGTTTTGTTCTGCAATGGAAAAAGCCACTGTGAGCGCAATGATTGACAAAAAGTTATTCTGCACATGAATGTTCTTGAAACTATTTATTTAAAGAAAAACAAATAATATAATAAATGACGAGACATGTCTTCTCGATAAATTTCAATATAAGAAAATAATTTCTCCAAAATTTTATAAATATATATTGGGCTAATATTAGAAATTAATAAATGTATTATATGTTAGTAAATAAAATTAGAGAGAGAGAGGGCTAGTGAGCCGAGCTAGTGTTTAAGCGTTATATCAGAACCTAAGTTAGCGGTTACTTTAATTATTTCTTTTATTGCGTTTGAAAACACGGAAGATGACCATATTTAAATGTTTGTTATTTTATCCCATACAGCATACTTTATCCGAGGGACATCCAGAGGTGTTGCATATATAGGATAAAGTGTGCTGTATGGGATTTAATATAAGTATACATTAGCACAATTATCTAGTTTGGCTCACTAGCCCTCTCTTTAATTGAAATTTGAATTTGTTTCATAAGTCTCACGTTACATCTTTCATTAAAATATAATTGGATTTTAATAAATATTATAAAATAATTAAAAATATATTTATTTTTATCTGCCTGTCTTAAATAGAAGTTTAATTTTATTTAAATTTATTAATTTTTCAAGATTTTTTAAGATTAAGAAAACTAGAGAAAATGCTAGGAAATGTGGAAAAAAGTATTTATCGTGACACTTCAAGTGTTTTTAGGAGAAATGTAATTATCTATCATAGAATTTAATTATCTCAGAAATTATAGGATTTTCATCTTACGATAAGTCGAGCCATTTACTTACCACTTTTAATTTTTTCAAGAAAGTCGCTTGCAACATCGGAATCTTCATGCTTTGTGGTTTCGATTTCAGAATTCATGACTAAATGGGGATGGCCCGTGAAACTTGCTTACGATTCCTTCTCTTCGAGAATATTACACTTTGAGCAATTTGACTTGGAGCAATGGTGCCACGCTCTGAGCGATCCGCTTAGGAAATCCGATTACAACAGCCAACGTATCGGTTTACAAAGACGAACTGGAGTCTCTCGTACTATCAAATGATCGAAGATTTTTTGATCATGGTACACCCGCAATCTACGCCGCCGCGCAAGATACGCTGCTATTATTTTTTAATTGGCAATATATTGCTTTAATTTTCTTTCGGATTTCTTAGAATACAGCAATCTGATACATCTGCAACAGTGCTTGGTGTAATACTGATCTAATCCCTCTATCATACATGCGTACTTCGACTGATAGATCCTCGGATGTACACATGTACGCTAATTGTTCTTTGACCGGTACGCATTAATTAATTTTTCCGACTTGTCGTTGCGTTGTGTGTTTGCGACTTATGTAGATGAGGCTTTAGGAAGAACACTCAACATTTGCTAATAAAAAAAAATTATCTTTATCTGATTGTTTCTGATCTAGAAAAACAAATTTTATCTAAAAATTTAGCAAACTTTATAGTTTTAAATAAATTTTATAATTTTTTTTAGAAACATCTATATATGGCATAAAAATCAAAATTTAAAACAAAAAGTATTTTTAAAAATTAACATATATTCTATATATATTTATCAGTTAAAATATTTTTATACTTGTAACTATTTATAAAAAATTAAAATTTGAAATAGAAAATATTTTTGAAAGTGAAAATGAAATATATTTAATTCAATTAAAATACTGTTATAATTGTAATTGTCAATTCAATAATTATCTATTTTATTTCTGAATTTTACTTTATAAAACCCTTTTAATTTTGTTTTTAGAATAACAATTCATTGTTTGTTTTTCTATTGCTTTATTTTTGATCAATTGATTCTGCCCGAGTTAATATTTTAATTCTCACTTTGGGAAGATATATTATCGCATTATGTCCCGTATTTTTGTCGAATAGTTTATAGAAACTTTAAGAAACTTTAGTTCATGGAAAATTTATAGAAACTAAAAAGAATTCCAACGAAGAAATCAACATTTCAAAATCATATCGTACAGTTACTTTTGAGCCGGCTTTATATCAAAGTCTATGAATCTCTACTTCAAGATTATTCTTTCGCTTCCGGTTTTTTATTTTGATAGCATGTGTGCAATGAAAATGTCTTTTTGCTTTTCGACTCATTCACGAAGTGAGTTAAATTAGAGAGAAAGTTTAGAAAAAGAGACAGCTCAGTTAGAAAAACTTGGAATGGAGGATCTGTAGAACAAAAAAAATCCGACCTGTAGCCGTAAATAAGATAATGGTCACTTCCCTCTGTTTTTCGATCTATAGTAGAAATCAGAGAAAATAAGAGAATGACGAAGTGATGAGAAAAGACAGTGAGAGAGAATAAGGGAGAGAGAAAGAGAGAGAGAGCAAATGTTCGACAAGGCAATTCTCGTTGTACAGGTTATTTTTGCGGATGAAGAGGCAAGTAGTTTCGTCGCGGTATCGAAATCGGAAAAATGGGAATAAAAAATCGTATAAACTTAGGGAAATTAACGAATTGTATATTATATGTACGCGTGGATGTGTGCTCGTCTTCTATATTTTTTCTCGTCGTGAATGTAAAGAAAGAAATAATTATATAAATTGTGAAGAGAGGATTGTACATGTGTATTGACTGTATAACATAAATTAATTTGTATAGGGAGGAAGATATACGTACGCCTTCTCTCGTTGCCATGCAGAAATTAGAAGGCGTATGTAAAGCTTCGATATCAATTAATCAAAATTATTTCTTTTTATATAAATCTTCGTGCATTGTATCTTTAATAACGTAATTCCTCTTTACAGCTAATTTAATATTACAATTAGTTAGAAATTCGAGCATGTTATCTCATAAGATTACTTCCGGGCATTCATGATACACCGCGTGCTTTCGGCATACAGATTTCGCTTTCATTGATTAAGGTCTAAATTATATTATTTTCATAAATTATATTAGAAAATCACAACAATATAACATCTTCGAAAAAAACAAATTAGACTGAATTTTTTTACGGTTTTCGATCGTAAAGTTAATAATTTTCACTGAGAAATGTGATAGAGTAGAGAGAGTAGACAATATTATGTCGTTTTTGTATGAAGTAATTTGAAAATTGTTAATAGGGTACGTCATTAATTATGATAACGGTTGGTTCTTTTTTGCAGAAAAAATGTAAAAAAACATTTTTGTCGGTTTCGAAATTTTATCAGTATAGAAAGAGTTGTAATTATTCAAAAATGAAGTAAAAAAGAAATTAATACGGTGCAATTCTGTAAACCAATTGCCACTATTATCATTATTGCTAATGAATAATTATCACAATTCACTAACAATTAAGTCTAACCCGCCGTTAATCTTCTTACGATTACGATTTTTTATGTCAACAAATTATTCATCGCTCTATTGCAGTTTAATGCTGAACTGATTATACAAACTTGTACATAATAGTATATCTCTCAAATAGTATCTGATTCCAGAGCGAAGGGAATCCATCGTCCCACGAAGATTTTACCGTCCACACGTTACGTTCACGAAATGATCAGACGTTAAATTTTTCTTGACAGCTCCAGCTTCGCGGTATGAACAGGTCCAAATAGTAATTAGAATGAGGTGGACAGTTGATTCGGGCGTAAGACTCTATCGAGTACAGACAGAACATGATACCGTTACCCAAGCTCCAGCTCAGCCATATAAAGATGTTACTGGTGACGAACTTGCGGACAAAGAACAAGGCGAAGCCTATACCGCCAAACAGGACGAACATCACCGGGTAGAAGAAGCCGAATGCGAACGAGAGTATATACTCATGGACGATGGCAGAGGTAAGAAATACGGCCGTGGCTGCCAGCACCCGGTTACGCGGCACCACGATCTCGTACATGTCCTTGTAGATGTACGTGTACAGCCAGTCGTGCACCACCACGTTCCACGTGCGGTAGTACGCATGATAAGTCGTGGAGTTCCACCAGTCCTGTATAATACAAGCGACACAATAATTCATGAAGCTACAGTACAAATTAATAATTCATAATATCTTCTAAAAATTATTGGAATTGTCCGGAATTGTACGATATCGTGAATTTTCTTGGGTGAGAGAAATATCTGCCTCGTAACCGTACACTTTTCACGAAATTAACATGTAAACGCGCTTTTGGGTTGATTTTGAAGTAAAAATGTAACTTCTATAATGATTCATATTTTCGGGGAAACCTCTTCGGAGAGTCATGTATACAGAAACTATGGCGTAATGCGTATAATCACCTTGTAAAACAATCGGTCGGCGAACCGCAGCATTTCAGCCCAGGCGTTCATCCACGCGTGCAGCAGGAGGTAATGTGCGGTAAGCAAGAAGAAAAGAGCAGGGATACTAGAGTCGATCATGTTCTTGACAAGCCACTTCCGTTCCAAAGGCTGTGTTCCGAACACGTTGTAGACCGGTAGTATAAGGTGATCCATGATAAAGGCAAAACAGAAGATCGTTACGCCGAATTCGATGAAATTCTGAATTACCACCATCCACCTAATCTTTTTTGTCCTAAGAAAATCAGTCTTGCTTAAATTGATCCTCTTCTAAAGTCTCTTAATATCAATTTTACTTAACACAACATGACAATACTAATAAATTTTTAATATTAATGAATGAATTTAAAACTTTAAGCTATCTTTTAAGGTGTCATTGAATTGATTGAATTACATTATTCGTGAATTACAGACATTTTCTTTGTACATTTCGCGAACGAAATTCTCCGAAGTTTCCTCCAAAGTTTCTTAAGCCGTAAGGACCTAGTATTATCAAAATACAAATTTAATTTCATTGTATATTTAATTATATAGTTAAATCGTGCTGTATCTTTTATCGCCCAAAAAAACTCAAATTGCTGGTTTCTCCCAAAGAAATTACGAGATATCTTTACCTGGGATATTCGTCGCGGTACACAAGAGTCGGTGCGAACAGGAAATACAGAAATTGCGAGAACTTAGGGCCACTCGGCTGCGGAGTTTCGCTATGAGGTTTATACGATAAAAATCTGGACGCCGCGCTTCTGACGAAAGCGTGACTCTTCATTATCATGCGTATCTAAAGAAGCAAACGTCATTTTGAGCAGAAAAAATCCTTGCACCAAAATTACTGTAGTTTATGATGGATCAATATTACATGCAAGAAATTAAATTATTCTATATAATTTGATGTGAATTATAATTAAATACTAACTTATTTAGATACAAATTGATACGTTAATGTCTTCAATGAATAAAAACTCTTCTTATTTTTTCCAAATGCACGTATAATTTAACCTCTTCGGTACGATCTGTTGACTAATAATGTTAATTAAAGTCGACAAAAAAAATTACAAAAGGCTACTTGTCTCAGTCATCAAGTAATACTACCCAGCGGACCGAAGAAGTTAATCTGCATGCGTCTCATTTTTAGCGGAAATAAAGTTCATTATTCACTGATCATATTAATTTGCAAATCCAAAAAAAAAGCTTTCGACACATTTCACCAATTTACTATCGAACGTGCGTGATGGCGTACGAGAATATTGATTTATTTCCGTACGTATACTTTGCAAGAAAATTTATTTTTATTTTATAATTTAGGACGCTATATGTATATAAATACAGGTTATCAAAAATACGTACTTGTTCTAAGAGAACAATTAACCTGCAAGCTATAGCAAGTTTTGTTTCAATTACCGCTTTGGTAGGAACGATAAAAAATAGAATTTGATACGATATAAATGCTGATACCCAGCCGTAATCCCAAAATTTTCGGATGAAGGCTGCAAAAAGGTAAACAAGATTAGATCATCTCAATTAAATTAATTATTATGTTGAGAAAACGTCAACACGGTCAAAGCGAATTTTGGTGCTTAATAACTTTATATGTAAATTTTACAATTTTTTGTTCAGGCAAACTGAACGTTAAATATTTATCAATCAAAGCACAGCTCGAAACTGAATCCGAAGTACGTAATATCACAATTAAATTGGCAAACCAATTTAACAATTTTATGTTAATAAACTATATTAAATCCTGATTGGATCCTAAATAGAACTCCCTCCTAAATAGATCCTAAGTAGAATCACCCTGTTATTTGGATATTTTATTATTCGATTTTAAATTAATTATTATTAGTTAATATAAATCGCTTTAATCAGTTGACATTATCTAACAATTTTTACGATTATTTTGATTAATTGTTGTAATTTGATATAATGTGTTTACACTAATTGCTAATTAATTATTATTTTATACACTACAATTATTTTTTAAAAATTGATATTTTATCTTATATATTATATATTATATACTTATTTCAAAATACTCTTATTCAAAAAATCAATTTAACTTTCTTCATGTTTAAATTAA